CCGCGGGGGCCGCACGGGCGCCGGGTCCCTGCCCCGAGCGGCCTGGCGGCGCGCGCGCGCGCGCTCTGGGGCCGCCCGCCCGGCCGGGGACGCCCTCGGCTTGCCACCCGGAGCCGGCCCGGGGCGGCCCCGCCGCAGTGCGCATGAGCGGCTCGGCGGCGGAAGGCAGGGTCGGCGAGGAGGAGCCCCGGGAGCCGCCGCCGCCTCTGCCGCCTCTGCCGCCGTCCCTCCTCCGCCGCCTCCTCAGTGTCCGCCCGAGCCGGCCCAGGAGGGGAGAGAGGCCTGCGCGCAGCCCCCACCATGGTGAGCGCCGGCCTGGTCCTCGGCCCGGGCGCCGGGGAGGGCGGGAGCGAGGCAGGGCGCCGCCATCGCCTGGCAACGCGGGCCTAGCCGGGGAAGCCGGGCTGGCGGAGGGGCCGCGCGGAGCGGGGCCCGCCTCAGGCCTCCTCGTTTTCCGGGCCGCCGCTAGGCGGGAGGCCGGGACGCGGAGCGGGTGCGAGGGGGCCTGGGCCTCGGGGCAGCCCCGGCTCGGCCGACCCCGAGGAGGCAGGCAGGCGGGCGGCAGGCGGGTAGACCTTCCTGTGGGGCTTGGATGGTGTGGAAGGGTGCCAGTCTCCGAAAGGGTTGTGTCCCTGGTGTGTGTGTGTGCGCGCGTGTGTGCGTGCAGGCAGGCAGTGCGGTTGCCCCACCTCAGTTTGGGAGCTGTCCCGGCACTTGACCCCTTGGAGGGCGAGCGGAGCAGCCCTGGGCATTGGAAAGGGGCGCTTGGCGTGTGGGGCTCCTCCTGGTTTTGTTGCTGTGCTTCTAGACGAAGCATCATGCATATTTACTCCATATATAATACGTCTCGTATGTGTGAGAGAGTAAAGCGACTCTATGTACAAGGCGTGCCTGTGGATGTAGAGAGATTCAGAGGGGGAGCTGCATTCCTCTGAGAGAACAAACCTGCCCAGGCGTCCTGTGGCAACTAAAGATTTTGCCATTTTATTATGGCAGAAGCTTTTGTGGACTAGATCAGATTCCTTGCATGCATGCCTCTCCTTGGTTGGCAAGTGTAAGCCACGTTCTGTTACTTTCTCTTCCAGGGCTGCCCTGTAGTAGGCATTTTAAAACTGGAATACACAATTAATGAAGTGAAGAAACAGACTGGTACCCAGGAGTTGCCTATTACAAGACAGACCCAGAAGAGAAAGTGACAAAATGCCACTTGCCATCTACCGCTTCCAGCTCAGATTAGTGATCTACGGGAAGTCTGCTCTTCAGTAACAGACACCAGACAACCTAGTGGTTACTCACTAACAGCAGTGGGACACCTACCTAATAGAGACTTAGACCAAGTGACCAGATCCTACAACAAATCCAGGTCCTGTATCTTCAGAGGCAGTTCCACTGCAGGACCTAAAAGCAGTAATATAATCAGGCATGTTCACCTGCTCATCCTCCAATGTGACAGTAATGTTGTTAAAAGAAGCAGGTGCATGTGCCACAAAGGACAAAGATGACACAAATCTGACAGCAAAAATGGCAACATTTGCAAACCATTGGGAGAACACCTAAATTTTCCTGGACATACTTGCTCACCTCACAGTTGAACAAAAGACTTCAAGAGAGACTCTGGTATGAAAACACTAAGCTAGAATGTATCAAGAAATTCAGTTCTGTGCAATTTAAATTTGGCTGTAGTGTTATTTCCCCCACCAGGTGTTAAATTAACAGCATGCCTGGATGGAGATTTAGGGATTATCCCCACAAAGCATTTTTGTGTCATTTTCTTCATGTCCTGCTTATATTACATATACATTATGTTAGTCAAGACATTTTGAGTGTGTTTCATGTGTGAGTGAGTGAGATAATGTCAGTCAACTGAGGAATAAATTTTTATGTACTGTATCTGCTGGGGTGGAATCTAGTCCACAAAAGCCTAATGCAAACAATAGATGTGCTGGTATTTAAGGTACTATAAGGCTGTGTGCATATTGCTCTGTATGTGAAAGAGTAAACATGTGACACATTTTTCATGCATAACAGGCCTAGCATAATGGTGCATCTTTAAAAGTAATCTTTGATTTTGCTGGAACTTGAGTTTGTATAAGGCAGCTACCTAGGAGTATGTCTCACTTTAAAGTGAGTGACACTTATTTTAAAGTAGGTTGGTTTTAAAAGGTATACTTCCTCAGCTAGATGGTTAAATTTTAAGTGTTGAAAGATGCTTCAATTCCAATTCATTTTTCTGCATTTAGAAATGCCTAAAAAGGAAAATAGAGGAATGTATATTACAGATAGGTTACAGCCCCCCAATTACTCTATGGAACTTCATGTTAATGGAGCTTGAAATTTGCAGCCATAGTTTACAACATATTTGTGTGGTTCTGAGATTATTTCAGATATTTTTCCTGATTTTTTGTGGTCTCAATACTTCCTAGTAACTTGTTGCCTCAGCCACACTGCAGAGGCTTTAATTAAAACATTGTAACATTCTTCTGGAAGTACAGTGACTGGTATGCAGGCTCCTGAACTACTTAAGGTAGTTAACTTTGATCTCATATCACACACCCAGGATGTTTTCTCCTTTAGCTAGGCATGTAGCAACACCTGGCTTTCCTAATACAATGGAGTAGTCAGTATAAATGTATGTTAAGGGAGAATATAGAGAGGCAAAATGTATATTGTAGCATAAATAGGTTCATCTTCCTTCCATTTTCCATAAAGCCTGACCAAATAACTAAAAAGTTGAATCATATATTATCAGGATTCAACATGTTTTGATATCTAGTAAAGTTCTAATAGTTCACTTGTGTCATCAGATGTTGGCATTGTTCTAAATTGATATGCTATTAAAATGTTCTATGTATTCATTCTAAACATAGACTGTCCTGGGGCCCCATACCACAGTAAATTCTGTATAGCCTGTAGTGCCTGATGCTGCCCAGTTTTGGAGGTTAAACAGGTTTGGGCCTGGTTGAAATCTGGATGGGTGACTTAATGTGAGCTGCCCAGAGAGCTTTTGCTACGGGTGGTATAGAAATGTAATTCAATTACATTAATAATAATAATATATATATATATATATATATATATATATATTGCAAAATTTGATGATCTTCTCAGGATCTAAACTATTTTACATATGGATTGGGCCTGGGTGTAGGATGGCAAGAATCTGTGTTGTTTTATATTCCCCAGTGCAGGGGAAGAAGAGGCAGCTGTGGCTTTTCCTGAACTTTCCTTCTTCATGCACTTGGAGGATTATGCCCTTTATAGTGACAAGAGTGGGTTCTCCATGATTGATTTTTCTGCTAGTGTAGTGAGGAGTGTAAATGCTTACATATGTATTCTAGAGTTAGCAAACTGGCAGCCTGAACAGGGCAGGGTGTAAGCTTGTGAGTTGTTCAGATGGTCAAAAACTGCACAGTTCACAACAGATACCATGTTTATCCTTGGACTTTATGGCTTGTGTTTTCTCAGGACTCAGAGCTGAGGATAAGTTGTTTAGAAACAGCCCTGCTTCTCTCCCATTTACTTAGTTTCCCATGTTTCATCCTAAGCATGCATTCTTTCTATCAGTCTGATTCCCTATTAATTGGACACCTTTCTGGAGTTTTTTCCCCCTTTGTGTACTGTCTCCCAGTCAACTTTGCAAATCACATTTCTTTGTAGTTGCCCTCTGTTCTATAATTATAATTTTTAAAACAACAAATATTTTCTCAGTTATCTTAGTTTGCAGGATATATTAGTATGCTTTTCAGCTCACATAGCTTAAAGATACACAAATTATCTCTCTTGCCCAGATACATGGGAACTACTTAGCTGCTGCAGAGGGGCATTAGTGGGGTAAAGCGTTATGTTATGTTATGTTAGTCGCGAAGTCGTGCCCGGCCAATCCCCGCCCCCCTAGTTTACTCCGCAGATCAGTGACAGCTATTTGTACACAGAATAAAGGAAGTAATTTGTGAAAAAAGGAATACAATTGTGTAGCTCTAAACATTAACTTCTATTTTATGGTATTACTTATTCAGTGGTTCACAGGTATTAAACTGATGCCAGTCCTACGGAAGGGGATCACATGTGCCAAAGTGCTGAACTGTAAGCTGTCCAGAGACGAACTGTAATGGGTGGGATAGAAATACCCTAATAAGTAAAATAAAATTACATGGACTTATTCTCTGAAATGACACTCCATGCTGAGATCTCCTCCTTGCTATGGCATCCCAAGCCAGGTTTGCACATGCACATTTCCTTACCTTCCATCTGCCTCAGTGGCTGGCAGGAGTGGGGGAATGCACCACATGATGACATGACAGTGTATTGACCCCAAGCGCTTCAGTGGGGAGTAGAGAGATGCTCTTTGGCATCCGCATGTTTGTGTCACCTGTATTGTGCACTTCCATCCTAAGAGAGTTGCCTCCTTAGGATTTTGAGTTGGCACCTTGCTTCTCTAAATCTGCCAATGCGGAGGAAATCAGAGGTTCTTGCTGTTTAGTGTGAGGAACTGAGGTCCCAACCAAATAATATGTTGTACTCACTTATCTTGCCATACATTCTTCAAAGAAAAGAAGGTAAACTCTCTGAGAATGTTTAATGCAGTGTTACGGCACTGTAGTTCTGTAACATGTTTTTTAATTTACTGTGGCTGGGATCTAAAGATCTCATGACTAGTTCTGTAAGACTGCAAGGTGGGGGTGAAATTTGTGTTTTTTATATAGTAGACTCCTCATGTTGCAAAAGTATTTGTAATGAGGCTCTGTGTCTTTTGCTTTTTGAAGAAGAAAGAATTAAGTTCCACAAGGCACACCCAAAGTAGCTCTTTGGATTCTGGCGCATGGCTCAGATTTTCTCATGATAACTATCATCCTCTTATATGCACAGTTTTAGATTAATGTTGCTGTAGTTTAAGTGTTTTTTTTCTTGTTGCGTTACAGCTTTCTATGTTTTAGTTGTATACCGTTCTCTTTATTATTTTCTTGAAGTAAGACTCTAGACATTTACAAAATATCAGCTGCTCCCATATATACCTAGTCCACTTTTGAGATCTTTTTCAGAAGCTTTTCCTCTGAATTCCCCTACCTTTAGAGTTCAGGTGAGTAATGACCAAGGCTAAGGCCTTTTCCTGTGTGGTGCTACATCTTTGGAATGTCTTCCCAAGCACCTTTGGAATGGCATCAAGCTTTCTGTCTTCTTAGGGACAAAAGAAGCTGACTTTTATTCTCTCAAATATTTGATGGACTGCTTGTTTTACTATTATTCTCCTCCCTTAGGGAACTATCCTAAGGTCTCCCAGTATTGTCTCGGAGGCCATAGGATTCTTCAGAGTCCCAGAATTGAGTGAGCATGAAGAGAACCACCCTGGCTCCCCTTCCCACCTGAGAGTAGATCTGAGTATTGGAAGGGAAAAAGACTGAGTGGGGTGAGGCTGCTGATCCCAGTTAATGCCCTGCCTTCCTTCCCTCTTCCTTTCCTGCACACAAACTCAATCTAGAGAAAAGGCAGGAAATGAGGTGTGGTGAAGGTGAAGTTTTCTGCTGCATCTTGCAGGCTTACCTACCCATAGGGAAGACTGGTTTGCAGCCTTAGTTGTTTTAATTTTAACTCTTTGGTTTCTTGTATTGTTTTGCTCAGTTTATATTTTGAATTGCCTCAAAGGCTTCATACTTGTCTACTTAAACCAGGGAAAAATTGGTATCCATGTTTGGATATGGTTCAGTGGACTTTTATGTTCACTGTAATGCTTTATTGCTGGCTTTATCATGTAAAATGTTAGACTAGTACCAGATGATACTATCAATTGACTTAGTGTATTGGCTATGTTTTCTTGGTGTCTAAAGAATCTTGGTTAGGATATAGAATTAATAGTTTCAATAGAATTAATACTTTCTCCACTATCACACAATCTGCAATATTGAGAATTATGCATAGCAGCAAAAGTATAAGATTAAAACTGTAGTAAAGGGGTGTGTGTGTTTCCAAACAATACATTTATTGAATAATTGCACTGCCTTACTTGCATATTTTTACAGGGGGTTCAGATGCCACTATTTCCCATTCATATTCCCATGTTTTCTTGCCAATTCTTCCATCTTTTTTTCTTCCTGCAGAAAATCAGTTAAGGAGAAATAGATGGAATTAATGCATGGTGTTGTAGCACGAGGAGCCCACTGTCTGGAAGTACCCAAACTAAGATGTAAAATGGCATATGCGCCTATTTCTTGCAAGTGCCCGCATTTGCACACTGGTTTCTTCATTGCCACTGTTTGTAGTCTGTGAACAAAACTCGTGTTTCTGTTTCAAGTCCCCTGATCAGTGGTTCGGTGGATTTGATGTGAGAACATATGAAAGGGAATGTGCTGAGTCAATATGTGTAATGCAGAGAACAGGAAGAAAAACTGCTAGTGAAATTACTGTTTCGTTCAGGGTCAGATTTCCCTCTGAACTGATCGCATGCCAAATCCCTAAAAAACGTTTCTGCTACTGACAGGCTGGTAAACTTGGATGCACACGTCTCTTTTGTGTCACAGCTGTTCTCCCTTCTTAATCCCCATGGCATATGCTGAAGTTTTGGAGAAGATGTGGTAAATGTTCCCATGCTGCCCTGCTCTCCCTGTCACAAATTAGTTGGACGGGCCTATGCAAACAACACTGGACGGGATTGCTCTAACACGTACCTTGAGTTATGTCAGGGCTGTTTAATCGGTGCATAGCCTATGCTCACCGGGTTCAGATGAGAGGACAATCCCTGCTTTGTGTCACAGCTGTTCTCCCTTCTTAATCCCCATGGCATATGCTGAAGTTTTGGAGAAGATGTGGTAAATGTTCCCATGCTGCCCTGCTCTCCCTGTCACAAATTAGTTGGACGGGCCTATGCAAACAACACTGGACGGGATTGCTCTAACACGTACCTTGAGTTATGTCAGGGCTGTTTAATCGGTGCATAGCCTATGCTCACCGGGTTCAGATGAGAGGACAATCCCTGCGTGGGGGTTGCATACTCAAAATGGGGGCTACTTGTGCCACACACAGTTGCCGTGCCTTGCATAATCCATGGTGGGTTGTTATGTCCTCTTAGGAGTCTCATTTCTGTAGCAACTTTGGTTTACTGGGCTTCGGAGCTGCCTTGAGCTGCGGGTGGTAATGTGACTTCAAATTAAATTATTAGTAAAATGAGCCTGGAGAAGATAAGGAACTTAGACCTCAAGCAGACTTAATCTTCTGTTTGTCCATATATAACTTATGGACCTTGTTTCTGTCCTTTTGGCTTCTAAGAGGAAGTCAGATGTTCTTCAGCTAAGCACATGTGAAATCTCACTATTCTGTCTTCTGATACTTTTCTAGAACAAGTTGAAGTCATCACAGAAAGATAAAGTTCGACAGTTTATGATCTTCACACAGTCCAGTGAAAAGACTGCAGTGAGTTGTCTGTCCCAGAATGACTGGAAGCTAGATGTTGCAACAGATAATTTTTTTCAAAATCCAGAGCTATATATACGAGAAAATGTTAAAAGCTCACTGGACAGAAAGAAATTAGAACAGCTGTATAATAGATACAAAGGTGAGTATAGTGTGTTTTTGTTAGCTTCTTGCATGAGTAATATGCCTATAAATTCCACCCCAGAAACCTGGATTTCAGCTGGAGGCAAGTGATTTTCAGAATAAATTTAGACATGCACATGGTCTATACTTGTTAGAACAAAGGCTGCCCTTTTACACAGTAATGACCCGCTGATTCTATCTTTCTCCCAAGGCTCAGGGTGGCAGACCTCTTCCCTCTCTGTAATACACTTGCAATAAACCTGTGAAGTAGGTAAGCTTAGTCTGAGAGATCTGACTGGTCTAAGGTCACCCAGTGCTTCACAGCTTAAGAATCGACTTGAGCTGGGTTTTTCCTAGTCTGATACTATAATCACCAGATCTCATTGGTTCTTGCCATGCTGTTTGAGTTACTGGCATGGCATATAAGTTACACTGTTGGATTCCCTTAATTTTTTCTTGATCAAAAATAGGAAAATATCATAAAACGACTTATTCCTTGGCCACAGTTCTTGAAAGGATCCAGGTGTTAACAAACATTGTGTGTCAGTGGAAAAGTAGATCTTTGTCCTCTAACATGGCTGCTTTATGGGCTAAGTAAGGTTCACTTCCAGTGTGGAGCCAGTTTTCTGGGGTGTAATCTGGTGTGGCTGGCTGGAGAACACTGGGGGGGGGGGGGTTGTAGGATTTCATCCTGTCTACATAGGCACAGGGCGGCCTCCTAGGTAACACTTTACAATGTGATTGCAAGCAAGAGGAGGGTTTTAAAGTACTTCTTTCACATTTAAAAATGTGATATAAAAGATTAGCTTTTAATAGCAACTCTTAGTATTTCATGTTGCTCAGGTTAGAACAGTAGTGGTTTCCATTTCATCCTCCAGATGTGTGACCTGATTTGCATGATCCCTCTCAGACTTCATGTGCTAGGGCTTCTGGGAGAAGTAGGATAAAGCATCTGGAAGGCCACAGGTTGCCTTTTCCACTGAGTTAGGAAAAGGATTTTGACACATGTGCTTTGTCTTGAATTCATACATGGCTACATTTGTGTTAAAATAGTTATTTTTAAGCTGCAGAATTTTGTTTCTTTTATTTCATTTTAAACTCCAAGATCCTCAAGATGAGAATAAAATTGGCATAGATGGTATACAACAGTTTTGTGATGATCTTGCGCTTGACCCTGCCAGTATTAGTGTATTGATTATTGCCTGGAAGTTCAGAGCAGCGACGCAGTGCGAATTCTTAAAGATGGAGTTCATGGATGGGATGACAGAATTAGGGTAAGTGTTCCATGGGCATGTGAGAGTAGCCCAGTCCTGTTGGGCAAGCGAAGGTTTGTACTTCTGCAGTTGAAGGAGACAGAGCCATTCAAACTCGCTCTGTTTGCCGATTTCACGCACATGCTGCTGCCTTGACTCGCTATAGGAGAAAATGCTCCAAACAGATCTTTTGCTACTTGGAATTGAATTTGCCTCCTAAATACTGGCAAATGTGTTGGTGCAAGGCACTAGCAAACTATGAGAGAACACTTCTATATGGTAACCTTGGCACTTCAAATAATGCACTTTAAGACCAAGTCTGTACACTAGATCAGGAAGACTTACTATCTGCCGGATCATTTGATTTATATAATCTAACTCCAAAAGACTGTCCTGCAAAGGCTGTGTGTTTTTTATTTTTTGGCACTGTCACCATATTCATAGAGGTGAACAAAAGTAGTGTTGGAGCCTGCAAGCGCTTCTAATCTTTCAGAAGTGGCTTCAGTTTCAGTTTTTAAGGACATTTCTACTCTAGATGGTATATTGGTGAACTTGTATTTTAAGCATTAGTTAAATATTGAAGAGAGGCAGAGGAATTACTAAATGAAACTATTTTGGTAAGGAAATGAATGTAATATTCTTGTTTGCTAAAGGAAGTGTTTGGTTATAAATAGATTTTCAAAACTAGTTTTAAAACATATGGTGTAGTATACTGAGTAATGCAATGATAATCTTTTTTTTTAAATACAGATGTGACAGCATAGAAAAACTAAAGGCCCAGATTCCTAAAATGGAACAAGAATTGAAAGAGCCAGGAAGATTTAAGGATTTTTACCAGTTTACTTTCAACTTTGCAAAGAATCCAGGACAAAAAGGTTTAGGTATGTATGCCAATGTTTCCTAGTACAGAAATAGGTGAGCTAGACTGCTTGCAGAAATACAGAATCTTGATAGGGGTCTAATTTTCCCTGATACTAGAAAATACCTTCCTACCCTCAGATGTGGTAATTATATATTGAGGATAATTTAAGATTGCTCAGGTAGTCATGTCCTCATGAAAAAGTATGTTTCACTTGACATATTGGTCCTGTCATGGACAGTTGCTGTGGATTCAGTAGTGTTTCCAAGACTTCTTTTTTTGTAGATGTGACTTCATTTGCCAGGGTGCAGGTCATGTCTGAAATCTGGGGTTTGTTTAGAACCACAAAAAGCTGTCCTGGGAAGAGAAAGTGAAAACCCTGTCTGGCTGTGGCATTCCTAGATGGGTTGGGGATGGGGGACGACTCTCCAAGATCTTCAAATCATCAAGGTGTTCTGGCATAAAGAATGTTTGTGATCATGAATTTATTGTAGAATTTCAAGATGGTTATGTCTAGGAAAAATGTAGACATTTTAAAAAATGAGGTTTTTTTATTTAATGTTACAGACTTAGAAATGGCCATCGCATACTGGAATTTAGTACTTCATGGAAGATTTAAATTCCTAGACTTGTGGAACAAATTTTTATTGGTAAGCTGAGGTATTAATTATCTCGTTAGCAATGAGTAGATCTTCAGTTCTAGCAGCTTCTGCAACTATCTTTGCTGCCTGGCTGTTGCAGAAGAGACCTAGATTAACCATCTGCTTGCAAGCAGTGGTCAGCAGTTGTGGACCAAATCTGAATTAGGGAGAACTGGAAGATTTCTTTACCTAAAAACCTTGCTTGATTTTAAACTGGGAGGAGGAGGATGTGGGAATGGCAATCAGAAATCCCATAAGGAATTAAGTTTCTCTGGGATATCTTTTGCAAACTGTTTTTCTTGGGCAACTGTACTTCCAAAACCCAAGCATGTGGTCCCAGTCATATGAGTCATATACCTGGCTGTCCTGCTTGCCGAGCTGATGGTGTATTCCATTTTGGTTTATTTCACAAGTCATATCTGAGCGTACTCCACTACCATGCACTCCGTCATTGGACCAACTTGCTCCGTATTGACTGAGCTGGTATGCATGGAGTGTCAACCAGGATAATGGTTAAGGGTGGGTTCCTGAATCCTGGGGTGTTGTTGTTATTATGAACCTAGAATTACGGGTTACCTATGGGGCTCTTAACCATGAACAACCCAGGAAGATAATCCATTGCTTGTTGTTGGGTTGTAAACTCTGGATTGTTGTAACTATATTTGAAAATTTTTCTTTTCTTAACATAAACAAGTACACAAAAAGATGTGAAGCAGAACAAACTAAAATCAAAACAAGCTAAAATGAAATATAGAGTTAGCTGTAGATTGTTATGTGCAGATCCAGAACCATGGGTGGTTTCACAAAGTTGCAGTGGGAGTATGCAAGACTGGTTAAAAAAAACACCATGATCATTCTACACGGTAGTATGACCACACAGAAAAAACATTTGATAGGCAAAGGAGCAGGTGAAGATGGAAGGAATCAAGCAATTCAGAAATAATTTTTAAAAAACAGCCTGTACTTTATGTGATTTTCTGGCAGACAAATCACGGGAAAAGTGGGTAACTTCTTGATAAGGCAATAACCTATAATCAGGGTGAACCAGGTCACTCTGTTCTATTTGGCAGTAGCTCTCCAAGATCTAAGACTTGGATTTTTCCCTACCCTGAAAGGGGGAGTTGGAGCTGCTGGGGTTTGAACTCTGGGCCATCGTCATGCAAAGCAGGTATTCTGCAGTGAGTCCCGCTAGGCCTGCAAAAGACCTCGATGCATCGATACTATTTCTGATTATGACAAAGTGGTTTTCCCTCAACCAGGAACATCATAAAAGATCTATACCGAAGGACACTTGGAACCTTCTTCTAGACTTCAGTGCGATGATAGCGGATGATATGTCAAATTATGATGAGGAAGGTAATTGCGCTGTTTGATCCTTTGCGAACACTTTTGTCCAAGTGCCGTTTTCTGGTGTGCCAACTCTTCTGGCAATAAACCTTCCTCCTGAGAGGCTTCCCACTCCAGTCAAAGCTCCTTTAGCCCAGTTTATGTTACCAGAGTTTCAGTATTTTCTTATTAATCTTCATTACCATATTTGTTAATTTTTGGTACTCTAGGATGGTCTAATGGTTAGGGGCAAAGTGAGCATATTGGAAAGAATTGGGTTTGTCCACCTTCTGAAAAATAAGGCCAGCCATTTTGTACAGATACTGGGCACAATCCAGTAATATAGTCCCCAGCGTCACTGTTGTGACCATGGACATCATTCTGGTGAATAGCCTCCAACGAGAAGCGGCTCCAGTGTTTTGCCCTTGAAAACCTGATGAAGCTTCCAGCTAAACTGCCAGTTGCAAGTCACTAATCCTGCCTGCTCTTCCTCTCTCCAGTCAATTGACCAAGTGAGAACTTGCGGTGTCATTCTAAACGTCTAAACTGCCTTTCCTTTTCTAACCTGCTTGCTTCCCCAGATTTGCTCTCTATAAGCTCCTCGGTTGCTTAAGAAGGGCTTTTTCTAGTTTTGGCTCCTTCCCCTCTTTGCCTTAAGTCAGGAAAAAGAAAAGAAGCCTTAACCCAAACTTACCTCATGCCAGTCCACTGGCAGATTCAAAAAAAATCAAAGACTAAGGGAGTTGAGCTGGAGTGGCAGTTTTGTGGGGTTTTTTTTCCTGGCAGAAGGAAAGATAGTTTATCCTGTAAACAGGTTCCTGATGGTCTGCCCTTATGTACAAACTAAGTTCTACAAAGGGGTGAGTGCAAATATACAGCCTGCCTAAGCCTAGTTTTGGGGGAAAGTAACTCCAGGGAGGAGTTGGCGGGGGCGGGGAACTAGGACTGTTTCTTGGGTAAGAAAGATTCTATTCTTAATTATGCATAGTAAGTATTCTTGCAAGGTTATTGGGTTGTGGGGCAATGCTGAGTGCCTGAAAACGGAAGTTCTTGGGGAAGTGGATGTGGTGGGAAGGTTACGTTTGTCTTGTAAGGGCTTCGCTTTCATGCTGGACTGTGCATATGTGAATAGGGCCATGTCTGCACCTGCCTCTGCTTAGAGGCCTTTCTGCGCTCACTGTTCAAAATTATCATTGATAATTAAGTCCAGCTGCAATTTGTTGGCTCCTGGCCAAGAGGTATATGTTTCTGAAAAAGGATAGGAGGTGTGACTCTACTGTTTTTTAAAAAGTTGTTTTAAAAAGGAAAAAATGCAACAGGGCCTGGTTTTCTATCTTGCATAAAGTTTATATTCCAAGAAATAAAAATATTCTCCCATCTTTTAAAGAGAATGTTAAAGATAGCCTGTTGAATAAAAAGTCAGATTTTTAAAAATTAAACTAGTATGGTATTCTGTAGTATAATATTCTGTGTTGCAGGGCTGCTCTGAGGACTTCTGGGATATTGTGAAGTGCTTTGAATACTTGAAATGCACTCTGTACATGCTTAGTATTGCTGTGCTTCTTTTGCCTGCTCTTGTAAAGACTCCCATTCTTGTTTTGGTAAAGTTTTAGGAAGGCTTAACCATTCATTTGTTTCCCCCACTTTCTCCTAGGGGCATGGCCGGTTCTTATTGACGACTTTGTGGAATTTGCACGCCCTCAAATTGCTGGAATAAAAAGTACGACAGTGTAGTGCTAAGTGAACCTTCTAGAATGTACATAGTCTGTACAAATAAACGTAATGGGGAAACATTGCACAGTCAATTTCTGCCGACTGACTGGACAGGACCGAAGACCAATCCTCAAGAAATAAAGGCTGAGGGTTGAAGCAAACCTTTAAGGATATACCTTGGACCATATCAGACTTTGGGTAGTTTGGGCTTCTCTCCTAGCCTGGGCTGCCCTTGCCCATTTGAAAACTCCAGCATTGTGGATATCATCCTCCTCCTTTTTTAATGGAATACCCTAATCCTTTCCATAAATCTTAAATGTTTTTGGATGGTTATTTTGAAAATGCTGGTTCCACCAAAGCACATGCTGTCTTCACCAAGCAAACTCTTTGGCATAAGAATTTCACAGATCAGCATCGCGACCCATTTGTTTTATTTTATAAAAAAGAGAAAAAAGCTCTTCAGATACTCTACTCTTTGGGCTAGCTGCAAAGACTATGCTGAGAAAAACCTAAAGCAGTGATATGTTTGAAGTGTGTTGGATCGAGTTTCTTACAGTCTTTTTACAGCTACTGTCAATGTGAGTGGTGAGGGTTTTTGTTTTTTTTTGCCTTGTTTGACGCAAATGTTGAAATGCCCCAACAAAATCTTGAATCTCTCCCTCAGTATCAGGCAATCCAGCAAACCAGGACACTTTTGAAACACAGCACAGATTCTGGGCACTTAACAGTGCCTACATTTTAATAAACTAGTCAGAAACACTGGGTGCCTCATACTGAATGCCGAATCATCCTTTAGGGCAGCGGGCAACATGAAGCTTGTTGAATTTTGGCTGGTTTTCGCAGTCTTGTGGTGGTTACTTCCCCCACTGCTCTTTGTGGCCTCCCGTGTCTGCCAGCATGCCTGCCACGGCTGCCCGTGTCCTTCCACAATGCCGCACATTTGCGCTGACAGCTGAAGCATGGGGCTGTGGGACGTGTGTGTCCGAACCTGCCTGTTGCACAGTTTACTTGGATCGTACTGTTCTAGTGCTGGGTTGGGCTACTTCAGGGAATTGGGGCTTTCCTCCTTGTGGCCCATCAGCCCTTGAGACTGGCTGGGATCATTCACCTCCCCGCTCTCTCTGTCCACTTCTCTCTTCATACTGATCCATCTGGGATGGACAAAGTTACGGTGAAGTATCATGGGCCATGTCATTTCTAGCTTCCCCTGGAAGTACGGTTTACAAAGGAGGTCCAGCAGGTTTCACCTTGAGCTGAGGGAACCTGTCACCCTCAGATGTTGGTGGGCCACAACTCACAATACGGGGAATGGTCATGGCTGATGGCAGAGGGAGCCTAGTAACATTTGGAGGGCCACTGCTTCCCTACCTGCACTCTAGCAGGTGGGTAACAAGTTGCTCCCAAGTGCAGATAGAGTGACTGAAAACCATTTTGTAGTATTGAAATGCTCATCTCTTTGTTGAGGAACTCTCCCCCTGCCCCTTATATTCTACTGAATTGTTAAGACTTGAATACAGTGCTGAACATGTAGTGTTCGTTACACAGTACAGAATTCTCGATTAGGGCCAAGGAAGGCTTTTGATTGTCGTATTGGAATAACAATGTGTGTGATGCTAATCTCTTCTAGACCTGATGGCTTGAGCCATGTGAGACCGACCTTTATGATCTTAGCGGTACTGCCATGATAGTCAACGACCCTCATCTGTGACAGGTGTCTTTGCTCTTATTACGTTGGCTGCAGTGACTGTGGTTGCCCAGCAGCGGTGTCAGCACCCTGAACAAGAGTTACGTGATACTCCAGTGCATTAGTGGAGAGTCATGTGAAGGGGGGTAGGGATGCTCCTCCTTTCACATCCATATTGGTCACGGGGATCCATGCATGGAGTCATGGCCAACATTGGAGCTCCTGTTCAAGTGATGCTGCTGCATGTGCTCCAGAGTTGCTGGGTCAGAGTTCAGATGTCCGTCTTTGCCAAGCAAGTAGAGATTATATCCAGCATAATCCAGCCAAAGGGCTTCAGCTGTTTTAATGGCTGAAACTTCCGTACGTATGTGAAGCTTCCATTGTATTCCATAGAACTTAATTGTATGCTTAACTCTGGCTGGATTGTTGCCCTGCCCAACACAGATGCATTGTTTCTCAGTCGTTTAACCATGGTTAAAAAAAAATGGGAGTACCCTGAAGGGTCCTGCATGTGGCTGCTGCTTCTGCAGATTCATTCCCAGTCCCCTTTTCAGCATAGCCACATTTGGCACTGCAAGCTGGTTTGCAGACCGTGACTGAAGTGATTTAGTGTCAGCCTTGGCAGAGATTCCACACTGAATATGGTTAATGTTGAAATGGGAAGGCTAGGAATGTGCATATGTGAAAGGTATGGAGAGACCTAGGGAAGTACCAGTCTTTCAGCCATGATTAAAACACGGAAATATTCATCAGCCCTGGGCTCTAGCATACCTAACTTGACACTACATTTGTGTCTTAATGCACAGAATGTGACTGTTCTCTTCAAACTGTGGTTCTGTTCCTTGTGTTTTTACGTATCAGCAACACTTGAAATGACTTCTGGCTATAATGTCATCTAACACCATGAATGATACTTTGCTGTTTATTGAAATAATCACTTAACAGAAAACATTAGGAAATATCCTGTTCAAGATGTTTTAAAAATCCTTTCTAATTTTTAAAAATGAGAAGTTCAGGCCTTGAATATTACCTGGTGTTTCATGACTGGCTTCTCATTTATCATGGGTCATTTATCCATGAAATTTTGAAGCGCACTTTTATGCACATGCTAAAATAATTTTAGGGGGGAAATGAGTATTAAATTGCTTAACTTTTTTAAAACTTGTCAGAAAGGTGCCTCCCTTCTTCCTAACTGTGTCTTTTTGGAAAAACATAGTCTTGTCTTAATTTAAGTAAAACCATTAGGTAAAATTGGGAATCTCTTCAGCTGCTGGAATTGGCAAAGTCAAATATACTGATTTATTGCATTCATTGTTTCTTTATTTCCCCCCTCTATTCCATGTAAATAACAGTGGAGACTTGAATTATGAAAGATCTACAGGGGGGGTGTGTTTTCTTTCTTAAGAAAAGTTGGATACAGCTTTCTCAGAATGAGTCATTGATGTATGCTGTGTATTGCTTTTCTTTTTGAAATTCTACTGTTCTTGTTTCTTTAAAAAAAACTCAATGAGATGTACTTTATCTTATCCCTGTGCAGAAGGTTGGGGCATAAATGCTGTGCTGTTCTTTTTTTTTTAAGATTATTCCTTTTGCAACATTGAGGCCTTTTCAACAAAATGGATTTTGCCATCAGTTTGGTACTACACAATTTATAATTACTGTGTAATTATAAAACTGCATTACATAAAGCATTGCTGTCTTCAGTAGTAGAGCAACTAGGTTATTTGTGTGACTTTGAATTTTACGAGAAGGGTTCTGTCCACCAAGTACAGGATTTTGGTCACCCCCTTTCTTTTCAGTGGGATGTATGATCTCAAAGCAGTGCTTGGTCGGATTGTATCCAGTGATGGAAATATCTGGCTTAATGATGGTTTGCTTCTGAATGTAAATCCTGCCTCCAGGAAAGACTGAAAAATGTTCATAGATATGCCCATATGTATGTGTGTGGGGTTTTTTTAATTTAAAGGTTGTGAACTGAATATCTACTTGGGTTGATTTGATTAATAAAAGCAACCCAAACTTGGATCTGGCAGTAATCTCCCCCTTTTTGCCAAATGTTAGAAAGATGAGTGACTGTTCAAGGAAAAAAAAGAAGTAAAGCCCAAATACCAGGGTTCTATACCAATACCAGTATCTAGAATGACAAATAATTCAGCTACATAGAAAGCTTTGGAGATGAAGGTTGTATTCCAGTTACACAATCAACATCTTTCTATAAGTCAACTTGAAATTTGCTAGAAAAAGCCCTCCTACAAACCACAGGCAATAAAGTGCCAGCCCAGCTGACATGAAGAAATCTCATGAATTATTTAATTAAAAATATGTATTTTTACAAACGCAATTCATGGCAAGGAAACAGAGGAAAGAACAGAATACTGCCAAACATCCTGTTGACATGACATGAAACACCTCAGTTGTGCATTGGTTGGGTCGTTAATCCCTCCTGCTGCACATTGGTTTAAAATTCTTAATTTCATGTGGGGGAAGGAGAATGTGGTACCTCCTGTGTTAATGTGGTTGGTCCAAAGCTTTAGCATATGACTTGAACAACCTGTTAAATAAAGTAACTTATTTCTTCTAAACTCTTCTTTGATATCCCTTTGGAGGATTTTTAAAAATCAATGTAACTGAATTTAGCTTTTTTGTATGTAACCAAACTTTTCTGTGGGACATTTTAAGCAAGAGGTGGGGATTAGTATAAGGTCAAGTCACAAATTATACAGAGGCAGATCGGCGTTTACCACTGAGGAAACGATCCCGTGCACACTTTCCCGAGAGCAAGTCCTATTGGTCTTTGTGCAGAGGCATGTCAAAGGATTGTGCTGTGAGTGTACGTGCCACAGGTGGCTCCAGACAATCTGGATTCTCTAATATAGTTGTGCAGTATCTTGTTTACATGTACATTTTCAGATGTATACTTCAAAAATATTTGCTGTACACCTAAAAATGTTTTCAGCCGTAATTCTGCAATCCTCTGCACACTTAGCTAGGAGTGAAATCCATTGAACAGTTTAGCTTTGAACAAGCATTCATGGGTTCATTTTATTAGATTTTTTGCACATGATGTCCTTGCTGGAATCTTGTGATAAGTGGAAGGAAGTTCAGAATTCCTTTGGAAATAGATTAGCAAGGTACTGATGTTAGAAGAGCAGATGTGAAATCCTCACATAGCAGGTTTCTGTCCCTTAGCAGATTTCCTAAATTGTGTTTGCTGTGCTCTAGGTGTCTGAGCCAACTCATTTGGTTGATTTTTGAGTATCCCAAGGGATGAATGCGACCTCTTCTGAGCACAGCATGAGGACAGGTGTGCTGTAGTACAAATTTGCACCAGCTGTTAGATCAGTGGAACTCATTGTCCTTATGTAACACCATCTATCAGATAATGGAAGTTCTGTGCTCAGTAATGAATTTTGGTTCATTATTGGAGCCAGCAGATTTGGAGTAGGCCTCTCCACAGCACTGAGTAGTTTTCAGACAAGCTTGACTCTCTTAGGTGGGGAAAGTGTTTTTAAGTGTTCTTTGATGTACACCATTGAGGTGTTCTGTGGAGTTTGGTCTTTGCCCAGGAGAAGCACCTTCCCTATTTGTAGGTATAGGTGTTTGCAGTGATACTGTCTGGATGTGGACATCCCTTCTCTGCAGCTTGATGGCACAGTGAAGCTGTGCCCGTTGAGCAGCCCTAAGTTGTAGGAGGGTGGCCCAGTTCCAGCACAAGGCAGGTAATACAACAGATGGACAGCGACACCCACCTTGAGGAGATCTGAGAGAGACCTTGTGAAGAATGCCCTTCCTTCAGCATGATCTAGGATGTTCGGTGATGCAGAGGTCCTGTGTCCTGCAAGGAGGGCGGTTGCCCAGGCCGCTAATGCCATGGGGAAAGCTTCAGATTCTCTGCATTTGGGGGGGGGGGGGGGGGCGGCTTCTGCCATCCTATCATGCTGTCCACTCATTTGCATTCTTTTTGGGGGGGGTTTGCTATGAGGGGCACAACTGGGGAAATCCACCTGAGAAATTCCCAGATCACCCATTACATCATTCTGAAAATAATAGGATTCCTTACACAAGTGGTGTTGAGATGTTACCTTTGAACTCATCCTGTTCCTTTCTGAGGATATTTTAGAAGCTTGAGGACTCGCTGAGGGTGTGGCTGTGAGAAAAATGTCTGAAGGTCCTGTTGGCTTGGTGCTGGCTGAAGGCTGGCCTCCATCTAGTGGAAGAGAGGGGATGCTGCTCGCTGAGCAAACTTCGCAAGCAGTTTGGGGAATGCTTTTGTTTTGCTGCTTTTGTTTTGGCTTCCCATGTGGGGAAGAGGAGGCCAGCACAGCGCTTTCCCCTTCTGGGCACTTCCCCGTGCACTGGGCTCTGCATTTCTGTGGTGCTGTCTGGGAATGGTGCTTTGCTGGTCATCTCTGGGGCAAGTGTGTGGGAACTGGTGTCAGTGGGGGAGAGTGGAAGACGCCACTCTAAGGGCTTTCATCTCTATTCTCTCCACTCTCCTTGCTTCATTCCTTCCTTGGGGGTTAGCTGTCCCTTGCTTGGAGGCAGATGCAGAAGGCCCTTCTTCCTCTGGAAACCGTTCCCAGAGAGACGTGCCTCCCAGCCCTCAAGGAGAAGCCTCACTGAAGTGGGTTCACCTCCTCCCCTCAGAAAGAGAAGAGCGGGTCTGGGCTTATTTTGTTGATTTTATGAAAAGCATAGCATAAGCCATTACCATCTGTGCTCAGGGAATATTCATTTTTGTCCAGCAGAAACAGCTGTCCAGCTAAATGCTGCACTTCATATCAGAGCCGCTGGTGGGTCTGGTTTTGTTTTTATAGCTTGGACCAGCCTCTTATTTAGCTGTAGGGCAACCAAAATTTGGAGTGACTGCACCCCAGCTTGTTTTTCTAGCTTCTGTCTCTGTATGTTAACCCTGATGTTCTAATTAATTCAGGCACACGTATTCTGCTTGCCATTTCTCCTACGAAAGGCAGGGCTTTGCCCAAGAGAAACTCCGTTTCTTACAGAGTTACTTGCAACGCCTGATTTAATGCCACAAGCCCCTATATGCCCCTTGTGCTGTCTAGCCAGCTAGGGCCTAGGCAGTCTGACCCCAATTTCCACCTAGGCCCACTTCCTGCACACCTTGGTTTATAGCAAAATTGCTGAAGGCCACAAAAAAGTCATGGACATGGAAAGAGAAAAATGCACATATATTTATTTATTTAGAATTTTTATATGCCGTCCCATCGCATAGCCTCGGGACGGCTTACATAAAATAAACAAACATAATACAAATAGTACAAATAAAATCCAGATTCACCCTGGCTGCAGTTAAAACCTATAGATGATGTTAAAAGTTGTTAAAATATTGTTGAAATAAAAAGGTCTTAGCCTGGCGCCGTAAAACAGATAACGATGGCGCCAGGCAGATCTCTCTGGAGAGCGCATTCCATAGGTGGGGCGCCACCGCAGAGAAGGCCCTCCTCCGGGTACTCACCCTCCTAATGTCTTTCATGAAGGGTTCCCGGAGGAGGGCCTCTGCTGCCGATCTCAGGGGGCAAGAGACATGCGTCCCATCCATCTCATAGGCCATAATGGATGGTCTCACTGTCACTTCTGCTGAGATGATGTGCGAGCCCAGCATGAGCTCATGCACAGGGAGTGCACAGGTTCCTGTGGGAATCGCCTGCAAATAGCAAGCTACCATGCCGCCCTGTGCAGTCCCCCAGAATAAAGCATGTGTGGGGGAAACAGCTCACGGGGTGCTGAGACCGCAGCGGCAGGACACCCGTCAGACCATTTTGTGATGGTCCATCCATATGTAACTCACTGCATGGCCCTGATGCTTCAGCTTACTGATCTGAATATTTAGAATATATTTAATAAATATTAAATATATTTAATATTTTAGAACCCTGCTCTAAAAGCATGTTCCCAACATGGCCCTGAAAAATATCAGTGATGGCTTTTCATTCATTGGGATCTAAGTATTTGGTGGGCAGCTTGGCCAGCACCTCTTGAATCTGAACTTTTGCTTCTTCCAAGGGTGTAAGGTTAGAGAATAAGGTTGTCTATGGACAGGAGTGGACAGAAGGTACATGGATGTATCTAGTCCTCAAACACACGTGCTTGCATGCACACAAGCTTGCTTGCATGCACACAAGATACTCTAGGCCAATTTTTTTCAGATTGCCTTTGCCGGTTGATGAAGATACATACTGAATGCTCAGAGTACCCAGGCACAGTGAAGGTCACCACTTTTCTGCTTTGATGATGATGTGGCTGGATTGTAAAGTGTGTGGAGGGCAAAGGGAACTGAGAAGTTGACGTGCTTTGCTTGTTAGCCTGTTGACCCATGATTTTTCCACCTTTGGGAGAGCATATCTTGGTAATGATATGCTCCATCATATAATTAAGGTCAGCCGAGAGTGCTCTGGTGATGTTCCCTGATGCAGTGAGGCAAATGGTGGCTATTCCCAAGCTTTGAAATTCTGTGGTTAAGGTCTGCAGAAGAATGTTGTCTCTAACCAACCCCTTGTATAAGGAGATGTCCTCAAGAGACAGGCATCGTCACCAGCTCCCCTTCTCCAAAGAATCCTACTAATTTGGGCACTGTGGGTCTAATGCGAAAAACTACAAAACAAGGTCCTATTCTGTTATTGATTAAATTCAGCACACCTTAGAAACCCCATTTGTGTTTCTAACGACAGCTTTTTGCAGCCAGATAATATTTTCAGCAAGCTACTGCTTAGTTGTCAGTGCGTCTCTTTTCCAGGTATTTTGAATTAATACACTCTTTTCAGCAGATGTTTTCTTTCAGAGAGAAGTCCTGTAGAAAGTAGCTGCTCTCTCTGTTAATCTCCCTGGATTTCTGTCCTGGAATAGCTGTACTCTTATACATCCTGGCAGTTCTGGAAAGTCTTCTCTGGTTAAGGAAGACACAAATTTACTGCTGGATGTTCTCCTTCACTCATGTTGGGTTTTCCATCAATCTACACACAAACAGAGATCTAACTGCCTTTGCTATGCATGAATTATGGAATTGTATTATTTATTTCAACAGCTCTCGCGCTTGGTGCAGCAAATGTGGTTTTGTCTTATTCATCATTGTGCAAAATGATTACTCAATCTGTGTGGGGGGATGTAATAATTTTTAATTAATGTGAGTGCTAGCTGTATGGCCTACCTGAAGCCAGGTGCCATGTTGACCTGGCTTTGAACGCCAGAATGCCTGCAAGCTTACTTTCATCTTGTGCTAATACATATAATTTTTGAGCCTAGTGGCAACCAACCCTGAAATTCTGGAACGTGCATTGGCCTCGTGTGGAGAGAGTGCTGTTGTTAAGAATTTGGAAAGCGTGGAACACAAAAAGAGACCGACCTTTTCACCATCCTGGCAAGCTGATTGATAACAGACTTAACAAGCAGATGAGCTTGTAGAAAAGCTCACCAATTGCCAAACCAAAGGGGCGGGTGAGAAATGGAGAAGGAAGGAATGTTGAACAACCTTCTCAGCTGTCAGTTTGAACAGGCTTTCAAACTGTTGGTAGAGGGAACTTTGGGGATTTGAGAAGACGTTCATCATTTTTACCTATTGAGACTCACTCCATCTCAAAAGGAAGAAATAATGTCAAAAAAAGAGTGAGCGGTTCACCATCACATTAGCATTACGTTGGTTTTTAACTGGAAAGGATGTGAAGAGTATACAATGCATTTTTCCCTAATAAAAGCAGTAGCTGGGTATTTATTTTCACTCTCAGAAGGAGAGGATGTACTTCATAGGATTTTCTGCCTCGGGTGGCAAAACTGGATGGCTGACCTTGGGTCCTTGGCATCTTAAGTGTGTGCGCGTGCCAGTTATCTGCTTCTGGCAGAAAACTGTCTTGGGTCAACCCCTGGTTGCAACTAGTAATCCACAGTTAACTGAATGACATTGAAACCAAAGGTGATACACGTTAATGGAAGCAAACATGAGATTGTTGGTCGCACGTAAAAGCAGCTCATCATGCAATGTTTGCGTGTTTTGGCGCATAAAATGTGTGCTGGAATGCAGAATGTAGTGCAAGCGTAAATCAGCTGCCCAGCCCGCCAAATGCCTTTCTTGCCTAACTAATTTCCCAGGGTGGTCAACCAGTTGTCCAAAGGAACCCGTTAAAGAGGACATGATGCAGTGTCCTCTCTTCCCCAGCAGCTGCTATCCAGCGGCTCTTGTCCCAAAAGCATTGTGACTAGTAGTCATCAGTCTTCTTACCTTCTACTTAAAGCTCTCTAAACTTAAAAGGCATCTGCCACACATTAAATTGCTCCAGCTTCCACCGGTTTGACTGTCACTGCAAAAAAGTGCTTCCCTTTATCTGTCCTGAATACCCCACCATTCAGTGACCTTAAATCCTAGTGGTGAGAGGGAAATTTAACAATAGTCACCTTCTCCACATACGCTTTATGAACTTATGTAGCTTCCCTCAGCTTTTTCTCCCAAACGAAAAGAACCTGTAGGTTGTGAGCTTTCCTAAGAAAGTTGCTCTTGTGCCCCTCCTTTCCATCCGTACTGGGAGGAAACGATTTCATCCTTCCACTAATTCTGGATTAACAATTAATTTGCACAGTACTGTACATCCTTGGTTGAACTGGCAATACATCCAGGTGAGTGCAAAACACACACGCAAAAACATTTAGTGGTCAACTTCTAATGTGCATGGTCAAAACATCTTAAGCCATGCCTGCTATACATATTTAATTTTAGCTTTTTAGTTTTAATGTTAATTATGTTTTTGAGCACAAATAAACTTATTCAGTTTAAAAACAAAACACAGAAGTTGCAATGTGTGCAAAGTAATTGCGTATAGCAACCTCCCCCCCAAATGCCGCTATTCTGCTGAAATATGCATTCCATCTAGCTTTCAATAGTGCTAACATATATTGAATTGCGGCTAATAGATTTAGTTTGTCTGAAAATCACTCACTTTTTAATGAGCTAAAGTATTGCTGAATGAAGTCTTGAAATTGAAAGTTGCAATCCTGGGAAGAAACTCCATGGATCTCAGGGAAAGCTGTAAGTAAATGCATTGTAGGACCTACTCAAGAATAGACTCATACCCATTTTATGGGCACTGCTATACTTGATTGGCAGAAACCCCCCTTGGGGTTGGTGAGCTTGCTATGCTCACCAACATGAAGCTATGGCCACTGAATGCGTGCTTGTCTGTGTGTGTGTGAGACAGAGAGGCCTCCTGGTCTTATCTGAAGTCTCCCACAAGCAACCGCATGACTGCAGCAAAAACAGCACCTTATCTGTGCAAGGGCTGTGAGCAGTTTACAGTGGGCTAGGTTGACACAACTGTTGCTCCATGGCAGAGAGGCATCAGGGGCCTTTTCACTCTAAGTCACAGAGCAAAGTGGAAACTCAACGCAATCCCATGAAAGCAACGTGTCCATATTTCTTGCTGGCTAAGGCACCAAGTGTCAATCAGGGATGTTCTCCACACCTGGGGCAGATTTCTGTAAGATTTGCAGTATCTGTGAAAGGGATTCTGTGCTCGCCCTCCGACACGAAGAAACAAAGAAATGGTCCCCTATAACCCAAGCTGCAGAAATAAAAGGCACTGGTGAGAAACTCAACAGATCATGAAAATAGGATGTTTTGGCAAAAGAGGGATTCCTTTTTCGCATTGGAAGCCAATTCTTGGTTCAAACATACAGGCAGGGGCACTGAGCTGTGCAATCGCAAATGCATCCCACCCGCTACCACTTCCCGCCCTCATCTTGCACTCAGCACCAGTTAATGGGGTTCTGCAGTCTGGTAGTAAAACAATGAAAGCCTGAAGCATGACGGCCCCGTGCAGAGGGGCCTTCAAGATATTCACCCGAGCGCACGGTGCAGTGGGTGTACATGCCATTCTCTTGGTATGCACCCAGCCGATGCCTGTGACTTCTGATTCAGTAGATGAGCTATGCATCTTCTTCTATTACATGCACTGAGCAGGTTGGTTGAGCATAAACCCTTGCCAATGATGGGTGCAGAACCAGCATTTAACGGTGATCCGTGTGCCAGGAACCCTGCATGGGTCAAGGAGTGGAAAGGAATGTATATGGATTGTAGAACACACTTCACATGCAGTTCCTCAGCCACGAACAAGAAGCCGAGCCAGTTACGTCAAAATTTTATTCAATAAATATAATTTCCATAAACCTCTGTAGAACATCGACATAGCAGTACAGTAAGCACGCTGTATTAAACTCCACTGCCAGAGAGCAGCTGAGCCACGGTGGCTGTGGCCAGGATGGCTGGGTACCCATTATTGCTTCGGGTTCCGACTGGCAGTACTCCTTGAAGGGGTTCCAAAACGTGCGGGCACTTTCCAAAGCTTGGGAGCAGCACACCCAGCCATGCATGTGGTTCAGAACTAAGACAGCTGCCGATTTCTTCAGGAGTCCAGGGGCAGAAACAACCCGACCTGAAATGAAGCATGTCTTCTGAAGCAGTCTTTGGTGTAGTCAGATCGATGTATCGGAAACCCTAACTTTAAAAAAATATTTCACAATAGAGTCTTCAAAAGGAGTGTGTACAGCTTTTATCCCATACTAAAAAAGTAAAGAGAGCTCCTCTGAGGCAATGACAGTACATGGTCAAAGCAGAGTGCAAAACATTAGCACTGACTGGTTACATAGGATAGTCCTGAAACACAAATTTGGCCCTAATCCAGTCATCCAGGGAAGCTTAAATCAGCGCGTCTACCCAGTGCAATCCCAAGTATGTCCTGCCATATGCAATGGACCTTACTCACAGGTAAGCATGCACAGGATGGCAGTCTTAGGCACGTCATTGCTTGCCTCTGGATTGGGGATGATGAGACACTGAAGAACTCCCTACAGGCTGCCCAGTCCCCCATTCTAAGCCCTTGCATACTTTTTAGGCACAGACACCTGTCTGTCGTTATGGCGGTTCAGTGCCTTTCTAAACATGGCCAACCAAGGATCCAGTGCCCCTTGTGGCGGCAGCTGACATACTGGTTAGGCTGGCTTGACCTGGAGCCCTTCCCAAGGCCAGGACCCACCTGCAACCCTACCTTCCAACATGGATCCAGACTGAAGGAGATGCCCTTTTCTCCTCAAGTCATGCACGGCAGGTGGACTGCTTGCCCGGCCTTCTTCCTCTCTACCACGTACTTGTCCCAAGATGGCTGATGAGCTCGAGCAGAAGTGTCTTACTATTTGCTCTGAATTACAACCCTGAGAATGCCGTGGGCAGGGGAAGCAGCAAAGAGTGTTTCCAGCTGAATCCTTACCACACACCTCAGGTCTGCCACAGGGAAGGTGGCGCGTGCTGCTTCCAACAAGTTCAACATTCCGCACACCACAGCTCTACTGGATGCCCGTCACCTGAGCCAGCGTGGCTGCTGCAGTGGCTGTCCGAGTGCCTTCCTGGAAATACCAGGCACCGACCTGGTGCTGTTCTGCAGACTCAGCATGTAGAGCGCATGCGCAGAAGCGCTGGGCCACCCCACTCTGACGATTTGTAGGCCAAGAGCCAGGGAGACTCGCAAGCACCCAGCAGGCACGGGGGAAATTCTGCATCACTCGGGGGCCTGCTGGGTGCAGATGATGCTCAGAATGTGTCGTCACCGTCTTCTCACTTAACCATTTGTTCACTGACAACCTCCGGATTAATGTAAATGGAACCAGGAGTAAAAGGAGTGGTTGGAGTCTATTACCGACCACCCGGTCAAGGAGAAGACGAGGACGGAAAGCAAACGCTAGTGTTTCAAGGAGGCACGATGTCATCTCATGGGAGACTTCAATTACCCCATTATCAGCTGGGAGACTAATCCTGCCCAAATACCGTTCCTTCAAGAGATTCCTAACGCGTGTTGCTGGTAACTTCAAGAGAAAGTGCAGGAAGGAGCAAGAGCAATGGCTATCCTTGACTTGATACTAACATGGAAGACCCAGTGGACAAAGGAACAGCTATGGGAAATCGGGGGGAAAGTGACCGTGCCGTTCTTGATTCTAAAGGAAGCAAAAATTGAATGTAGCCAAACGTGTACCCTGGAATTCTAGAAAGTCAATTTTAATAAATTCAGACCAATGATAGAAAAGTCCCACAGCAAGTGATTCTAATGAGAAAAGGAGTCCAAGATGGGTAGAATTTTTTTTAAAACAGAAATTCTACAGGCATAATTACAAACAACTCCAACAAGGAAAAAGGGCAGAACTGAAGCAGCTCACATGGTTTCACAAAAAGTGTAAAGATGATGCAAAGAAAAGAAAAAGCATGTACAGGAATAGGAAGGAAGGTCAGGCTACAAAGGAAGAATACAAGCTAGTGCCACGGAATTGCAGGGAAGGTGTTGGGAAGGAATTGCAGGGAAGGTAGGCTAAAACTAGGAATGAACCAAGGCTAGCAAAGCAACAAAACAGCCTTCTTCAGATACGTCTGAAGTAAAAAAAAAAGAGAGGAAAGGAATGGGGGTTCAGCTTCTCAGTGTGGATGGCAAAATAACAGATGGCAGATAAAAGGCAGAAATGCTCCACTCCTACTGTGGATCAAACTTCTCCCAAAAGATCATCTATGGCTTTCCTGAAAAGGGGGAAGTACAAGCTGGTGGAGCAAGGTGGTAGCTCAAGATTAATAAGCAAATGGTCAAAGATCATCTAATTGGGCTGAACGAGTGCAAACCTTCAGGGCCTGATGAACCTCCTAGAGCTATAAAGGAGCTGGCAGAAGAACTCTCAGAACCACTGTCCGTTATCTTTGCGAAATCATGGAGGACAGCCAGATGACTGAAGGAAAAAAGTTGTCCCAGTCTTCAAGAAAGGAAAAAAGAAGGACCTAGGAACTACAAAGCAGTGGGTCTGACATCAATCCCTGAGGAACTTCTGGAACAGATTATAAAGCAGTCTGCAAACATTTTGAAAACAATGCAGTGACTATTAGAAGCTAGCATGGATTTGTCAAGAACATATCCTGCAGACTAATCCAATTTCACCTTTTGAGTGAACTGACGGACTGTGGGAATGTTGTGGATGTAATCTATCTTGACTGCAGCAAAGCTTTTGACAAAGTGCTCCACGGTATCCTGATTAGCAAGCTTGCCAAAAGCAGGCCAGGTGAAACTACCATCAGGTGGATCCACAGCTGACTAAAGAATTGGACTCAAAAAGTGCTCATCAATGGCACCTTCTCAAAGTGGGGAGAGGAATCAAGTGGGGTCCTGCAGGGTTCAGTCCTGGGCCCAGTGCTCTTCAACGTTTTCATTAATGACCTGGATGAGGAAGTGCAGGGAACGATTATCATATCTGCAGATGACACAAACCTGGGTGGGTCAGCTAATGCCTCGGAAGACAGAAACAAGTTGCAAGGTGATCCTCGAAAGGTTTAGAGGGCTGGGCTGAAGACAACAGAATGATATTTAATCAGGACACATGCCAAGTTCTGCATCAAGGAAAAAGAAACCAAATGCATCGTTACAAGATGGGGAGCACTCGACTGAACAATACTGCAAATGAGAAGGATCTTGGAATTGTAGATCATGAGCTGCGTCTCGGTCGACAATGTGGTGTGGCTGCAAAAAGGGCAAATGCTGTTCCGGGATGCATCAACAGAAGCATCACTTCTGGACAAGAGAGGTACTGGTTCCCCTTTACTCAGTGCTGGTCAGGCCTCCTCTGGAGTGCTGTGTCCAGTTCTGGGCACCACAGTTTACGAAAGATGCGGACAAGCTGGAAAGAGTTCAGAGCAGGCCAGCAAGGATGACCCAGGGATTGGAGGCAATGCCCTGTGAGGAGAGATTGAAAGAACTGGGCATATTTGGACTTAAGAGAAGAGAAGAGAAGATTGGGGGGGGGGGGCAGGATAACACTCTACCAGTACTTGAAAAGCTGTCACGAAGAGGAAGGACAGGATCACTTCTCACTGATCCCAGAGTGCAGTGCATGAAATAACAGGGTAAAGTTAAAAAAGGCGGATTCCAGCAAGATATCAGGGGAAAAAATCCTGACTGTTAGAGCAGTGCGGCAATAGAACCAATTACCAAGAGGGGGTTCTGGGTTCTCCCACACCAGAGGCATTCAAGATGCAAGTGATGGCCATCTGAGCGGGAGGGTTTGGAGTCCTGCGCTGAGCCGGGGGATGGAACCGGTGGCGCTCTGGCCCCTTCCAACTCTATGAATCTGCGAAGCAGCTGCAAACACTTAACATCCAAGTAAGCAATCTGACTGAAATTAGCTGACTCTGGGAGGTCACTAGAATCACCTAGCGGCTACATACAGGAAGTGCCCGAAGCCCAGAAAGTCTCTGAACACAGAACAACAGTTAACACTCCCAAACCTGCCATTCCCCTGAATTGGTTGCCTGAAAGAGTGGAACAGCCCTGCCCTCCTGGATCAGACCAAAGACTGTCTGGTCTGGCCTTCTGGTTTCCAGAGCAGCCAACTGGATGCCTGTGGGAATTCAACAAGAGCGATATAATGACAGTAGCACTTTCCTAGTCAGGTTCCACAGAAACAGTGGCTGAACTTGGAGTTACTCCAAACAGACTTGTGCCCTCGACTGGGTGCCCGATCTGGTTCTATGGGACTCCAAGTCTTGTTGGTTTCCATGTTCCTTCAGCACATCCAAGCTTCCCCTGAATTGCACTCTTGAACTTAGTAAGGCTGTGCAATTAAGCGTAATAAGAAAAGGATGGCTTCCTTCCATGCTCTTTGAGTCAATTATATCTCAAAAAAAAAAAAATAATAATTTGGGGGGGGGGCGGAAATTAAAGGAGCAGAAGGCATCATCAAGTTTGTTAGTGAAGCCAAAACAGACTAAAGTTTGCTTAAAGCTGCCTCCACCTCAAAGGAAGGCAGGGAACATACTCCAAAATCTATGTGTGATATTTAGAACAGTCAGAATATATTAAGAATAGGGTTGCTGTAAACCTGGAAATGTGTAGCTACCTGGCACCAACATACAGAGCTACCCTGAGACATGGAAAAGCTACTGTGTGTGTGTGTGTGTGGGGGGGGGGGGGAACCACACTGGCCATTCTTTGTAGGACTGTGGCAGAAAGGAGGGGTTTGATGCCACATCATCTTGCACAGAAGAAAAGGATTTCTGAAGCTCATGGACACCCAACACCAGCCGCCCACCCCCTCTGCTCAGCAATTCTAATGAGCAACATGCAGGGAAGACAAAGTTTTCCACTGGCATCAGTTCGAAGGAGAGCTCCTTCTTTGAGGGCCCTACTGCAAGCAAAGCCCTCCAAACTCACACGGACCCCACAGGTCTGGGTCAGAGGGGCATCATGCTCATCCGCACTCCATGGTGCACAGGGCCAGGAATCACATACAAACATCTGACCGGTGAGTCCCGCAAGCTGGGATTGTGGGGCTCGCTAGTTCTGATTCTGTCTGAGAGGCAGCAGTGCAGTGCATTGTAACAGAGACGAGGCGCCTTGTTGGTGTCCCAGCATTCCCCCTGGCAGAAAAAACATCGGCACACTTCCCCGTTCTCGTATTTGCCCCATGTGATCTTACTCATTAATTTCACATTGCATTTCAAGACTTGGTCCATTCTGCTCTGCATACACATCCACCCATGACTGTGAACCTAGAACTAAACATACCAAGTTATCAAAATACACAAACATGATTCTTTCTTCTGTTTAAAGGAATTAGAAAAGTAGTTGTGGTCCAATACAAAATATAATTGCTCTGCTTCCATTTGGCCCAAGTCCTGTTTATCATGTACACACAAATGGAACAATGAAATACATCTTCACTTTATATGTCTGCTTGTTTCCTTAGATAGGTGGTTATACCTGGCTTGGACAGATGAATTCTTATATTCCTTCTGAATTTGTTTAAATGCATGCTTCTTCTGTACCCTTACACACACTGAGGAGGGGAGGAGAGAGGGGGGAGAAATGGGGAGTTCAGAAAAATGGAAGTCAGTTCAACTTCAAATAAGAATTGTACATCTGTGGATAAAATATTTACAGTCTAACTCTGCTAGTGAAACACAAGCAAAACAATTCTACAGCATGGATGTGAATAAATGCTTGGAGCTGAACTGCTTAAGTCTGATGCCTTTTCTAAAAAGCTTATTTGACACGATGAAATGGCAAACCAGAATGGCAACGCTGTCTATGAAGGAGTGATTTATGAAATTGATGGAGTGGGCCACTTGTGAATAAGAGCATTCAAAGAGGCAGGGGAAAGAAGCCAAAGTAATTGGTGCAAGCAACAGTCATCTGATTACAGGGTGGTGGGGGTGGGGGTGGGGGGGCATGATCCTTTGGAAAGCTGTCCTTGCAAACCACACTGAAATGAGTAAGAGTGTTGCCAGAGCAGAACAATTCCTCCTCCTCTGGAAAAATGCACTTGTGAAAAATACAGCTGGCAGACGTTCCTAGCAATGGTACAATTTGCAAGTATCCAGTGGATCATACAATAATCACTATGCGCGATGAGAAATTCCCCACCCCTGTCCCAGGTGGGGAAGAAGCCACGCACCCCACTGGAAAAGGTGCCCTCAAAAGTGGGAAAGAAGTGAGAGTCCAAAGGCCAAGAGCAGCAGCCCCGCTTCATGCCAAGGGGGCCTGGTGGAAGGACGGGGCGAGGCACTCGGCTCACTCTCCACCCTTCCGGAACAGCCCTCAGTGCAGTGGGACTGGGGTGGGGGTCACACATGCAAGGCACTGCAGGACCCCCACTGCCATTTGCTTGATGGCATTAGGAAGGGGCAGGAAGGAGACACAGGGCCTGCTGCTCTCAGCATTTCGCAAAGTGCTTGGTCGACAAGCAGTCTTTGGATCAAAGCAAGGAAAAGCAAAATCCCGTTTTGCAAACACACAAGTTCTTCACATTAAGGCCACGTTCTGCAGTCTCATTCCTTACATAGCTTTGAATAGCATGGGGTTAATTTGATGTTAACAATCTACAAGTGCCACCGTTACTTTTGCAGCTCCTGCAAAACATATTTTTATGTGCTTTCGTCAAGTGTATAGTATGGGCTCCATACATATATTGGGGAAGGGATATAAAAAGCAGCTTCCATGCCGTGTCCAGAATCTCCCAAGGCTAGTTAACAAAAAAGCATGAAGAAGCTATACTCTGTGCTTCCCATCTGTGGAGTGCATGGAGCTGCTACCACGTCGATGCTGGGTGGTCCAATACCTTGATTATCTTTCTAAGCTGTGCAGATTTAGGAAGCAAGCTCACTTAAAAATGAAAAGTGATTGCAATGTATGGTTGATCTGATTGACCACAGAAAGCCAAGAATCCATTAGAACAATGCTAAAAGGTTACAGCTTCAACGAGCAACATTTCAACACGTCTTCCTGCCCATACTAAGTTGAAGCTTCCAAAAATCAACTTTTCTATTTTAATCATTCGATCACTGCCTCCCAAGTGACATTCAAATCAAATGTCACCAATTCCACCCAATCTGTTGGCAGGAAACAAATAATCTAAAAAAAATTCTCCCATAATTGAGGGTTGGGGGCACTGGGCTGGAGGCAGTCAGGAAACATTTTTCTAAAGTGAATTAGAATCGGGAGACTTGTTAAAACAGAGAAGTGGTTATGGAACCCATTGATAACCTAGGTTCTGAGCAAGCACATCAATTTCCATAAGATACTGAGAAAAGTCTCAACATGCAATTGAGTCCATTGTGGACAGCGTCAAGATGCTTCGGTCGTTGGTACAGAAGGGTTCCGTAGCGCTCCATGATCTAAAGTAACAATAAGAAAGAAGTTGCTGACTGGAAACATTGATTTTGGTTTGGGTGTTTTTAAAAAGAAAATCTAAAATAAAAAGGACTCTTAAGAGGCTGATTCACAGCCCAATATGTTCTCTGAACATGATCCAAACAGAATTATGCAGAGATGCATAAATTTCCAGACTGCAGAAGAGAATGGGAGAAATTCCCTGTGTAGTTTGTGTGTGGATGATGGTAAGAAGTTATTGATGGATCCCAGCTATAATGTGGAAACAAGGTTATTTTGCTTGCGTGGGGCTTAAATTCACATAACGGCAGTGATCCAAAATCCAACACGTACAGACAGAGCTGTCGCAGTATCTTCAATGGAGGTGAATGCTTAGCACATATGCAGGCAAGTGTGAGCTCATGCATGTGCACAAGCACGCAGGAGCACCATCCATTGGACACAGATCAGTTTCCTCTCACAGGAAAGACAGTCAACCCATTGTGTTCCGGGTTAAAGATAAATGCCGGAGTAACTGAATTGTGCCAGACCTATTTTAGGAAAAGGGTGTAAATGAGCACAGCAAATATTTAAAACCAAAACTGAAAACAAGCCGCAGTGGGAGTACCTATCCACTCCACACAATCCATCTGAAATCTGTTGAACACGTTACTGTAAACATGAATGGTTCAATGAAACTGTAGGACCCAACATTAATGTTTGAATGGCTGATGCAATGGCAAACTGTGATGGAAGACACATGAGCAGCATGTTTTGGCAATCTAGAAAAGCCATGCACAAGTTCTGCTTTGAAATCAGTGAAATCTCAGGAATCCTAGAATTGTCTCTCCAAGATTATATTTTCAAGGGCATTAAGGAGGAATTAAGTCCAACATCCCTGTCCGCCCCACTCCAAGCATTTAAAGACCATTAGATAAAGCAGAAGAGCTCCCATGCAGAATGTCACCAGGTAACTTATTTCACACTCCAATCCTCATATTTGACAGAATATGACAGGCCAGACTGAGACTTCCCTGAGCGGCCCCTTCAGCACCGCAAAACACTCCCAGGGTGGGTGAAATCAGGAGGACTGATGACTGCGGCAACCAAAACGCAGGGCCAGCCTGGCCCATGTTATTTGTACCGCATGTGAGGTCAGCCGGGCTGGGGACGTTCCAGAGTGGTGGAAAGGCAGAACTACACGGTGGCCACGGGGACGTTTCGTCCATGCTATCAATCTTCCTATGACAGAAGCAGACTAGAAGGTGAACTATAATTTGTTTGGCCATGGGATTATTATAGGCACAACTTCTAGCGTGCCTATAATAGCCGAGCATTTCTCAGTTCGTGACCAGACCAGGTTACATATCATTTGTGGAAGGTACACCAAGTACGGTGCAATTTTCAACCTGCTTAAGTCAAACAAACTACCACTGCCTGAGAACTTTTGATATTTTGTCTCTTTCAAGGAAATGGTCTGCAATAAAATCAAATTTGAGCAGAGTTTAACTTTGATCCAGTAAAAAGCTGTAGCCCTTTGGCAACATTCATGTATCTATTAGCTTTTTAATGAACCAGGTAAGGATGCATTCAATACTCTCTGAAGTGCTCTATTTTGTCAAATATGAGACTTTAATCCCTTACGATGGTTGTACATTTACAGATGTCCCAGAAAGAAAATCAAAAACCACTGAATCTTTATTTAGACTTGAGCACAAAGCAGAATATACCTACCTTTGCAAGAACCATACTTAGGCAAAAACATTCGTGACCTGATTTAGGGCACAAGCCTATGCAGGATGAGGCAGAAAAATCCTAAAACTCCCACCATGACCCAGTCAGCCGTGCTGGAAGCTGTAGGATATTTTCCTGTCTCAACAGGCGTAGGACTGTGTCCTTTTCCTTCTTCTTCACACAGAAAACAGAACAGAGTGTTATGTGTCACTTCTCTCTCTAACAGATAGCCCTTCTCTCTCTAACAGATAGCCCTGACAGCCCTAACAGAAGAGCAGGCATGGCAGCAGCAGAAGATGCACTGAAGCAGCGGCCGTTACAGGGGGGGAAATGCTAACACCAGACCAATCAAAAACTCCTCTTGTTTTAAAGCTCTCTCATAGAACTTTTATTTTATAGACCATGCCAGCTCTGTATACAAAGTGAGACTGGTTATTTGAAAAAACAAACAAGCCAGATTTGGAACTATTCCCTTTTTTTATGGAATGATGGCATTTAATACTTGTGAGGGAGCCACAAACATAGGGTTAAGATGTAAGTTTGTTATAAAAAAAAAACCTGAAAAAGAAACCACCAGGAGAAAAGTCAGCACTGGAAGTACAATTAATACTGGCAGATGGTGTCCGTACAAGTTATGAAGGAGATCACAGACTTTAAACCTGATCATAGGCACTGATAAACTGCTCAGGTGTTTTGTGTGTCTCTTCAAAACCACCCAATGGAACGGAATCCTGGTGTATCCCCAGATGGGTTGCGGAATAGGAGAAAAGGACATGCAGGCACTGCAGCGCTCTTTGCACACACCTACGCACACCTGAGCATCACCTAACCGAAGAGCTTTCCCATGGTTCTCACATCAGCAGGAGGAAACACTGCCAATCTACTGTCCAACTGTAATTCGGATTGCAAAATGTGCTCCCGGCAGATGCCTGAAAGCCTTTCAGTGATTCACGTAGAAGAGAAATGAGGCTGGCCGTGATATCATGAGAAGCATTTAAAGTGACGTGCAAAAGCTGATTTTCTTGCCTGCAAATATCTCTGCATTTTTGTCATTTTGTTGTTTTTATTCTTCTTTCATTGGGAGGATGCAGCTGCAAATACTTTCTGCCGATTATGAAATTGCTGGACATAATTATACTCATCAGGGATATTTATCAACACTCTCTTGAAAGTGTGGCTTTAAAAATCAGCAGCTACAATTTCAGAATAATTTAGCACTTAAAAACTGAGTGGCACACAGAGCTGGTAGAAGTAGAAAATGGTTGAGTTTTTTTTTTTAAACATAATTTTGGAACATTTTGGCACTGTTTACGATGTGTTCTTTGTTCAATTAAGTGTATAAAAGTTGCATTCCATATTATCTAAAAATACTGTTCTTTGCTCCTAATCAACAGTAAGAAAAGCCTCCAAAGCAAACCTCCCAACCTTTCCTTCTACAGAGAGATATATACTGGAGAGAAAATGCAATCTGTGTACATCTAGAATCAGAAGTTGTAGTATGACTAGTGAGCAGACGAAGGATAATGAGCATAAAAGGGATAAGCCTTTTGATACCACAAACAGGTTACCAATTTGTGAAGGCAAAAGAGCTAAAATCAGGAGAACAAACGAGGCCACTGACCGAATTTTAGGGAAAAGGATGCACAAAGCAAGAGGAAAAAGCTGCACTGATACATGAGCAGAAGAAAAGCAACAAAATGATGTCCGTTTCAAGGGTTCTGGCACACACATGAAGCTCAGCGTGAGCAAGAGCTGCCTTGTTCTGTTCATTGGCACTGGGGGGGATCAGAGAACAAGGAAGGCCGAGCTCATCCGAAACATCGTGCGCATGTCAGACCTGCTTTAGGCACACAACAGCTGCTGCATCTGAGCAAACATGTTATCAGAAAGATTTAACAACTTCTGGAACAAGTCACAGCGATAATACGAAGACACCCTATTATCTTCCCTGCAAAAGCAAAAGTGTCGCTCCTTTAAGACCTACGAACGTGCCCATGAGGGGTGCTTTTTCCTGCCTTTTGCTAGACAGCTACAGCTGCTGGGTCATCCCGCTCCAGTTTATAGGAGAAGCGTCTGCAGCAAAGGCAATTGAGAGAAATTCCACACCTGTTGACTCGGGTGGGGCTGCACCTTCTCATCATTCGTTCCAACATTCTTCCAACAGATGTGCACGCTGTTTCCCCATCTGAGATGCAACACATGGAGTCCAAGCAGTTGATACCTGTGCCTGCCTCAGTAAACTGAGGGGAGGAGGAGGAAAAGCAAGGGGGAGGCGTAAGACATGCATATTAGCAGACGTTATTCATTCATTAGCTAGCACAGGTCATAAAGCGTTTAACCCAAACTGTAGGGTCGTGAATGCCTTATGCACTCGCTTCCATGCATCCTTCCTGCAGACAGTGTACACCCATCATGGTGGGCAATGTGATGTTATAAACACCAACGTTCGAGCAGTGATTGCAGCATTCGGACAGAACCTGATAAATTCACCATTTGTTTATTTGATCCCTTTCCTGTCCAACTCACAGAATACCTTTCCCCAATCTGATGGGTTGGACTAAATGAGGTGGACGACACCGAAGTGGGGCTGGGCTAGGAGCTTGGGGGCAAAAGCCTTGTCTACCTATCCCCGCCCCGAGGTGCTCCATTTTTTGGCAGCTACCTGCGACCTGAATGCAGGTTTGGCAATCTATTCCCCAAGTCACGCGAATCTCACAGGAGGTCCCAGCTATGCGTGGGGGAATCTCTGCCACATCTGCGTCCCAGAAGGCCTTTCAAACAGGAAATGCAGGGGAATGTTTCTTTGTGTTGACCATTCCTGGCTGCCTGGCCACACGTGCTCCGCCAGACCAGTCCCCCCGTCCACCAAACTGCCCCACATGGCAATCTGAGTGCGAGGTCTTATGCACGTCCTATTATACACAAAAATGATATTGTGGCACGCCAAGGGAATTGTCCATATGCGAGAGGTGAACTGGGAGCTTGATACACATCAAAGCATTTGCAAGCCCAGTCGCTACGTCTCTGCCTCCCTGCTCCATAAATCCATTCAGGACGGCACCGCACAACACCCACACACAATCCATGGTTGTTCCCACTTGGATTCCTTGTGTCCTCATTTTCCGTCATGTTGCCGAGCAACTTGGAGGAAGGGTGTGGTACAAATCTAATAAATACATAAATACAATAATTCAACTCGTATGAAGGGGCCACAGCAAATTCTAATTAGGAGCCTGGTTCAGGAGGAGTGGGCCAAGGCAAAACGTATGTTTCTGACTGGAAACAGAGTAATCCCATCAACACGAAGGTAAACAAAAGAACTGCAGGATATTCAACTGAAATGTAAGAAAAGGAGGCCTTATTAGTTAGTCTAAAATGGAAAAGCAGCAACAAAGGCACTGAGGATTCATGGGGGGAAAAAAGGTTAGTTAGGAAATAGCAAGTTACTCACATGCATGAACAGCTTAGGCAAGACGCATTATCAAAAGCTTTCTAAGATTTTTGATGGACTTTCAAATAGGTGTTAGAAATAGATGATGAACTTCAAACAGGTGTCACAACACTGCAGAGAAGCTCAGTTGTAGCTAAACGTCTTTTTGTGAGAGAGAAAATGTCTACTTGTTTGTTTTGACAGCAGCAGCACTGAACTTCATAGTAATTTATCATCTGGCCACATTTAGAGCTGGAAGGTCTATTTTCTTTTGAAAAGCAGTGCTTTGATCGGGAATGGGGGACAGTCATTCTAACTCAGCACTGTGTGCAAGACAACACACTTGTTTGTTTCTTTTTCTTGAAAAAGAGAGATGCCAAACTGGTTTGCCCAAATGTGGGCTAGCCCTGGACGTAAAACAAGCTTTTAATTTAACTGGGATTTTACTAGAGAGAGTACAGAACATGTGTATACCGATGTAAATTAGTACAAGCAATAAGCAGCAGATCAAAGAATCACACCCAGTGTGTACACAGTTTCTGAGAACACTAAACACATTCTGCTACTGTGATTGGTAATCTAATCAAAAGAACAGATTTCTGAAGCACCAAAACCAGCAAAAGGAGATGGCATGTGACCAACTGCTGGGTGGGACTTGCATGAAGTTTAGGCTCCTCCCACAGAAAAGAAACACAGGGAACTCTGCCTGTAGCTCCTCCCACGTGCACCCAGAAAGCAGGATGCAGGAGCTAATCCTTCCTGTTGGTGTAAAGCAGCCTTCCTAACTGGGAAAGGTGCACATCTGATGTGGCCACGTATTATCCTTCCTGCCCAGCTAATGTTTTGTTCTGGGGAAGGGCCATGGTCTCACGACACTTGCAATGCTTTCGGCACAAGGAGCCTGTGTTGGAAACCCCCGGGGGGCCCGAGGCTTGGAAGAGCACTGGTCTGATGCAGCAGGGTGGGCGGCTCCAAGCAGGCACCCTCCAGAGCCGATGGGCAGGACTGCACTGGTACGACCAGCAGCCATTCTGGGTGGGGATGATGGGAGCTGTAGTGCCATCTATCTGGAGAGCACCAGGTTGGACAAAGCTGAAGCGGGAGCTGAATCAGAAGATGGGAAGATTCCTCCGCATCTGCAAATCCAGCCAGGGGGAGAATTTGATATAAAGCTCTGTGGGGTGAGGATGCTCTGTGATAATGACCTTCCCACAACCCCCACAACCCCCCCCCACCACTATTTGCTTTTTCCAGCTGGGGCCTTCTAAAGCTGGCATGAAAGTCACACGGCATGAGCACATTTCAGCATCAATCAGATGGGAGAGGCACCCCTCAAATATGCAAACGCCTATTTAAAAATCATTTGCCATTATTCTTTCCCCTATATCTGCCGCCATCTTGTTTCCCCCTCTCTCTGTTTGGGGCTTCACTGTCTCTTCCAGTGCCAGTCACACAGCGCGCCACCGACTGACACTGAGCGCAGCCGCGGCTTTAACAAGTGGCGTTTCCTGTCAAAAGTGCTCCCTCTTCCCTTACAGCGGAATCCATGTTGGGCCGTGAGCTTGGACCCTGCCTCTGCGTGGCCGCAGTGATGTTTCGTGAGTGAAGCCCTGTGAGATCGTGGTGCGAAGTAAGAGCATGCAGACGAGGGTGAAGTGCCGCGTTTACAACGAACGCGTCCAAGTTAGAGAAATCTCCCTGCCTTTCCAGCCCCTAATGATTTGCTCAGATGTGCTGAACCACATTGCCACCACACACACAGGACCTTAACGGGGGATAAAGCAACAAACCACTCTAAAAGTCATGCCTATAGTATGACTTAGAAGCAGGTATGACAAAGGCAGGTTTAGTTGGGAAAAACAGCAAGATGTAAGGCCTCTAGTTGGTCACATAACCTCACATACAGCTGCACCACCATTCTATACTACCTGACCAGAAGCAAACAAATCAAATCTATAAGCAGACTATTCCTGAGGGTCCCCGAGTAGCATTCAAGGTGGTCAGAAGGACTGTAGGTGGCAAAGAAAACTAGCCCCCCCCCCCACACACATATGGAAGTGTTTTCCTCAAGTGTGTGGATCTCTTGGGCTCCTAATGAGGAAATCATGAAAGCAGCAGCAGTGGAGGGATGGGGGGAAGTGTGTGGCTTCTCGCCTTGATTCAGAACGAAGAGGCATTCTGGAGGAAAACGGGAATGGGGTGCTGGCTGAGGCTTGGCACACGTCCAGTTCTTTGTGAGATCGCCACTAATGCCTTGAAGGCAACGTGGTAGGTCTCCTCCGTGCACACACTCTGGAGGGAAGGGCTGCAGTGGAGGGGCACGGAAAAATGAAATTAATGTTCTGGGATTAGTGGTCCCATCAGCAAAACAAACAAACAAGCGCCAGATGCAAATGCCAAAATACGCTGTGGAGAAAGATGCAGGAGATGGGGAACAAGAAATGGGTCCATGAAGGTCTAGACCATTTAGTGTGGCAGGGTGTGGGAAGGGGGGGGGGAGAGGGAGAGAGAGAGAGAGAGAGAGAGACATCAGTACTACTACCTAGGGCACTGGCCACCTAAGCCCAGCGTCAGTCAGCAGTTGCCTGCTGTCTTCCCTTCTGCGTTTGCTTTGAGCAAAACCATATGCTGAGAAGACTGAACCCCTTTCTTCTTCCATCTAAAAAAGGACAGAAAAAGCAACAGACCTTTTAAAGCTGACCCTCTTTTGAAATGGTGGTGGTGCTGAATCTCCCTGGTGAAGGTCCGTGACGCCACGGTACACATTTTCCTTACCCTATGGCTCAGTGTCCCAGTATTGGAAAAAAAGGCATTTAAACAGAGCAAGTTTAAGTATTTATCTAAGCACGCCATGAAAGATCTTGCAAAGAGCGCCCTGGGTGCTGCCCCCCTGAGCCTGGGGTAGCATCCAGCACTATGAGAGACTAGTAGTGCACAGGAAGGCATGGGATGGGCAAACCTGCCCTTTAGTGGGACTAGGACTACACAGTCCCCACAGCACAACCTAGGCGACCTGCCTAGTAGGGTGCCTTGGGAAGCAGGACAGGGCCAAAAAGCTCAGGCCCACAAACTGTGGCCCTTTTTAAAAGACGAAGAGGCTGCAGACGGCTGGCAATCAGAACCATTCCTTTCTTCTGCAGCTTCTCCTGGGGCAGGGCAGGGCTGCCTCAAATGATTCTTTCAGAGTGCTCTTGGCCTGCCATGGTGCATGGGATGACCCCGCAGGAAATAGAAAATTTTAGGATTTTCTGCAGCAGTTTGCACTGTATGGAGGTTTTCTTTCCACGGGCAGAGATTTAGGGGCAAAAGACACTAGGCAAAACCACACCCCCTCCTTCAGCTCTGTTTCTCCTGAATGTTGGCTTCTTTATGGGGTAAAATTGGACCACATGCCCAAGCAGTAGATTAGTGGTATTTAACACAACTGCTGAGAAACACAACAGAGCTTCATTCATAAACAGAATGAAACTGACAGGATTTTTTAAACCTTGTTCCAATAATGTAAGAAATCCAATTTGTGAAGTACCTTAGGACTTGAATCAAAACAAAAAATGAATAGTGGCAAGTTGTTAATTGTCTCAGATAGCAAGGACAAGCACCTAAAACTGTTTTCTTATGATTTTACAATGTGTTTCACATACAATACCCACTGTTCCGTTATCTCTAACCTAAAATTCTTTACTAAAGGTAGATTTCAACCACCCTGTTTTATGAGTGCTTTGGATCACTGCTTTGGATGTATATTCCTGCCTGATTTACTTCATAATTTTGGTGTGGCCAACCAGGAATTCATTCTTATGGAAATAATGCCATTTATATTAGGTATTTTCCAAGATTTTGGCAACTTAGCCATTGTCCTGACGTTCCAGATGCTTTGATGGAAAGAAGAAGTTGTACAAATCAAAACCTCACCCCTCGAAATCGAAAACAACCCTAAGCAGCCAGTATACTCCTCACATAGCCAGGCTGTATGCTGCCCTCAGTAGCAGAGGCAGGATGCTGGGGAACGTAGCTGAACCATTCTGAAACTGCACTCGTGTCCTGCCTGAGGGTTCCTGGCTGGCCACCTTGCACACAGAACGCTGGACTAGGCAGCCCCTTGGTCTGACCAGCAGGGCTCTTATGCGCTGTGAAGTCGTCTCCCCAGTGCAGCCCTATCAATGAAAGCCCTCCAGAATGAGGCTATATAAAAAGATTATTCTGGAATCCTAAAGAGTAAGTACAGTTTGAATGTCAGAGAAAAGTTAGAACAGAGGCCACAATATATGCTGAGAACTTAAATGTTAGCATTAAGCACTCTACTTCTAATTTACCATAAAAATGAAGATAATACTTGCATTAATTATTGCAGGTTTCAAAATACAGACACCCAAGTGTCATTCATGAAGCGCCTATTACCAGTGTGAAGGTCTCTCTATAAGGATCTCCGAGCCAAGAATACAGGGTGGACTTACTCACAAAGGCACATTAAGCTTAAACTCCCGAGTTCTACATATCAACCATTTTAATTTTTAAAAATTATCTGTCATAGTAATACCTTGCTTTTCAAATAAGTTAATGAATAGAACTCCACTGTCCACAGACTCCTAAGACAGGACAATGCCTGCTTGGCACAGGATGGCAATGTTTTACTGCCAGCTGCAGACGGTTAACAAAATAGCTACTCCGTGCCTCTGAAGTATGGTGCATTTTTAAATGAAGCCGCAGAGCCTGGGATTTTGGCCTTTACAGGAAATGGCAATGAGCACTTAGCAAGTTGAAAGGGGCAGAGGGAATCGGGGAATTCTGACATTTACCAGTAAGTCTGAAGAATCATTGCACTCTTTGGCTTATGCCTCAATGACATCACCGTTGCCATTGCTTCTCTCTCTCTCTCTCTCTCTCTCTTACTGATTTACTGAGGCATGCTGGTAGTAATTATAAAGTTTCCGGGCATTTCCAGTATGTTTTAATTTTATTCATAAGTACTGTAACTAAATTGCATTTACTGTTTTCATTGCTTGAAAGTGTGGTGTAGCGGTTAAGAGCATGGGACTGGCACTCAGACGATCTGGGTTCGAGTCTCTGCTCAGCCATGGAGCCAACTGGGTGACTTTGGGCCAGTCACAGACTCTCAGCCCAGCCTACCTCACAGGGTTGTTGTTGTGGGGATAAGATGGAGGACGAGATATAAGCTGCCTTGAGCCCTTTGTAGGAAAAAGGCAGGATATAAATCGAAAAATAAATAAATAAATAAATAAATGAAGGGACACATAAACTTGTGCCAGTTTACCAGGAGAAGCCACAAGGAAGCTGAGAGGCCGAGATCCAGTAAGTGCGGAGAAATGAATAAGTTGTGTCTGGGCAACAAAAGAAGCTTCCTCTTAATTCAGACTAGATGTCTTTCATACTATTCCTAATAAATTATATGCCATTTCCATATTTCTCAACTGTAAAACAAGGGAAATTGGGTCATTTACTCATAAGTGTCAACAGTGGCTGTGGCATTAAGCTTGGTAACTGGGCATTCATTAACATGCCCTGAGAAATGTCAAACATTTATTAGTAAAATGACGCAAACTGAAATAAGAAAGTCCTTCAACAAAGGTCCCTGAGTTTTACTGGCTGATAGCTATATCCTGACTTTTCCCATTGTAAGCACTGATTTTGAAACCATGGGGGCTGAAAACATTTTTTCGTTTTTGCAAGCGTAAGAACCTATGTACTACTCGAACTGCGGCTGAAAAATTTTGTCCACTAGCACAAACGTTCTACCTTATCATTTTAGTACATTCAGTTACCAGAACCGCTGCTGGCACTTCATTCTTTCTTATTGTGATGGTATTCAGCATGGCAGAGGGCCAGATTTAGGGTTTTGTTTTTAATATTCCAGGTCAAATTGCAACAATAAACTTTCATGTAGTTACAGGTTCATCCTTACAGACTTTTTGATATATATCACTTCCAATTATTCTTGTACCATTCACATATTGGCCTGGTTCAGATGCATGCATTTTTGCCTTGTGCTAACCACATGGTCCCTCCTCAAACCATCCTTTTCTCATGTCCCAATTTGGAATGTCCTGCATTGGTTAAAACAGCTTCTTTACATCAATGACAATGATGACTGTGATGGAACATGTTGAGAGTTCTCACCAACTCTAAATTAGGGTTTAAGATCCTGGTAACCATTACTCAATAGTTCACTTGACATATGATGTTAATTATAAAAGCAAATAAACATTTAAATCAAAATACTAACATTAAAAATAATTAATTGTGGTTAATTAATGTAGGAAGTGTTAAACTGCAGCACCCCAAAAAAAAAGGAAGAAGGGCATATAAGGAGAAGGCTTGGGCAAATTAATAATATTGACTAATTAAACAAAGATATGCATATCTTTGAGCCAGTGCGGTGTAGTGGTTAAGAGCATGGGACTGGGACTCAGACGATTTGGGTTCAAGTCCCGGCTCAGCCATGGAGCCAACTGGGTGACTTCGGGCCAGTCACAGACTCTCAGCCCAACCTACCTCACAGGGCTGTTGTTGTTGTGGGGATAAGATGGAGGAGGAGAATGATGTAAGCTGCCTTGAGCTCTTTGTAGAAAAAAGGCAGGATATAAACCAATAAATAAATAAATAAATATCTGGACCAGATCATTATCTCATAATTCAGACTGTCAGCGACAGGCCTCAGATGGGAGTCAGAGAACCTCATTTTTCATGTGGTCTTTATCCAGCCAAACTCTATGGAATTTCCTCTGCTGACCAAGTGTATCAGCAATGTGTTTCACATGAGCATCTAATCACCCCACTCAGTAACAGCATCTCATCAACCTCTGAAGATAGTAAAATGCCCCCCGCACACACACACTGATCCAACACACAAGACTAAGCTGTACAAATGCAGATAACAGTATAATATGGAAAGCGACGCTTTCCTCACCCTGCATTTTCACGTGAAAATCAAATCAGCAAAAGGCAAAGCAATCAACAGTGTCTGTTTTGTGGCTGGGACTGCTCCACATGCAAAAAGCACTGTTAACATCACAGATGGGTAAGTTAAGCAGAAGCGCTGGGACCATGCTTGAAAAGTTTAAATTATTTTATAGAGCAACACAGGGAGTAAACTTGGACTCCGTGCACTAAACATCATGCTTTCAACTTGTCCCTGTAAGTATATATAGAAGTACATGCTGTGCTCAGCCAGCAAACACGGAGCAAAGCTAAGCAGGGGAGTCAGAAAGATACGAACTTGAGCTGCAGTCATTGCCCTTAGTCCACACTAGTAACCATGCCTCTTTCCCTTTTCTCTCTCAGTGCTGGTTAGCGGACCTTCAGCATGCATAAAAGTGGATGAAGAACTGCTCCTCCTACTCTACCTAATTTTGCTCAGCTGACTCGTTGCCCTGGACAATGGCTGCAGTGCGATGCATTCGTCACTTAAAGCAACTCTGCTGGAGTACATCTACAAGTGGACAAAGAAGGGATGGAACATACAAGTCAGTGAGAAGTCATCTTTCCAAAAGACAGACAAAGGACAGGATCTTTAAAGACAAGCATCTCAAAATGCAGGGACAGACTTCATATGCAGTCCACATATGCTTAGGGACACTGGTTTCTGAAGGGTGACATACAGTACATAACACACTGTGGGGTGAGAGCGACTTGCCAAATGCAGCAGGACGTTTTCTGTTCACAATTTAGTACACGAGTATCTACCACACTGAAATGGCACACAGTTGCCCCATTTATGGGCTGCAGGTACTGAAATCTGTGGCTGCATTTTTTCTGTTGTACACCAGTGTTCCTATACACAGGTGACTTTGTTCAAGCTGGTGAGTTTCTAACACCATCCGTGTCATTCAAACTTTGCTGTCACATCTGAAACCTTCCACATGCACATTTAGCATGGGGGGGAATGGAGACAGAAAACATCTAATCTGCACATACCTGTAACGGTATCATTTGTGCTCTTTAATCAAATCTTTGCCAGAAGTAATGTTGATTTTTTAAGAGATTCCCTGGAGGTCATTTCTTCTCATATGATCTGAACAATGAGTTATGGTGCAGAATGCAACAGCAAGAGGACCCACATGTCAAACCAAATGATGGCTTTGCTTCCATTTAGAGTTAGATACAAACATTCCACAGATATGCGAACATGATGCAGATTAAGGGAATCAGGGCTTTCAGGAACACACCCATCCTTGAGCACTTGTTTAAAGTGGATTCCCTACACAAGCATGGGAGGGACATAGCTAAATGTCAGCAGTTTCTTTCATGTCCACAGATCAGTGTTTATATCGTTATATTAACAACGCACATGGCAAACTACAAGGCAAAAGTTTGACTTTTGAGAACATAGCACTTATGGTTAATGGAATTACAGTTACTTTCACATTTTTTCAATTATTGGCATATGGGCACAATAATCATTAAATGTTTTATTACTGATTATATTTATTAAAACACTAACATCCTTAGAGATTACATTGTCCTAGCCACTCTGATCCTGAAGCAAGATTATTTTTACTGATACATTATCTTATTGATGGTTATGAATGCATATTCTGAGTAGGTAGATGCCTGTTTTCATCTGTTCTTTTTACTTTGAAATGATGAACTCACATTAAATCAACATATAACTAACCCCTTGAAAGGGATGTGATACAGATTTCACCCCATTTTCACATCTAGTCAGACCTGTAATGCTGCTTTCCACATAAAATGTGCTTCCTTTCTAAGTCAAACAACTGCTTATTAAGTTCTAGTTTTAGTTCAGTGTGAATGCTGAATTAAGGCTGGAATGAGAAAAGCCACCATTTAAAAAGCTGTAAATGTTACTGAAGGCAATTAGTGGAACAGATTTGCCCAACAGAATTTCAGTTAACACATTTAATGGGATGAAGGTTAGCAAAGAACCTTCTGCATCTGGATGTAGGCCCTGATTGTGCAAACTGGCGAATGCAAAGCTTTATCTGGGCTGTATCATTTCAAACTGCAGGTGGGAGCCCACAGGAGCAATACAGGAAGGACCATCCAGTGTCCAAAGGGAGAATTTCTGCTTAGTCTTTCCCCAAGCTTGTCTCTAGGTGTCTCTAGGTGTAGGGATGTGTCTTCTCCTTGTGGGTACAAGCATCTTTAATTCCATCAGACATAGTTTTGCCACCCAGCCGAGAACCAAAATTTACATTTTGACCAAAGCTGACATTTCCTTGTACATTTCTTCTGGAAACTTTTAACAGAAAGGTAGTTTATACATTTTAAAATAAAGTTCAAATAAAAGTGAGTGGAATGAGCCACCTGAATGAACAGGCCGTAAAACAAAGCAGTCAGAGTACTTTTCCTGGAAGAAGTGCTACTCTTAAGTAACCACATTTCATTTCTTCCTTATGAGGTTAAGTTGGAGAGTTGCTTACAACAAGGCAGACAGAAAATAACCTGAATGTGTGGAATGCATTTTGTATCCACTGAAGAAAAACAGGAAGCCCACAATGGTGTTTTAAGTAGATTTGACAAGAGGTGATGCCGCATAGCTGAAAAGGAAGAGGCCGAGTCTGGTATGGCTGTACTTCTCCAACATGACAGACTTTTCCGAATGGAAACTAAAGACATTCTGTCACTGCGGTAATTTTTTGGATTTGACTGGTGAGCAGAGTAAGTACTCCACGTTATTGGAGAGTCATGAAAGGATGTAGACATAATTTGTAAACATTCCTAAAGCAAAAGGCAGCCTTCCCAGCAACATGAAAAATTCTAGAATACATATTCGTGCAATGCCTTTATTAAGCCAGCTGAAAGGTCACAGAATTGGCCCTAAGAATGGCATCACACTAATAGGTGTGGTTGTCGTTAGGTGTTACATGCTGTCCAATCACCTCCGACTTATGACCCTACGAATGAAGGCCCTTCACAATGCCCTGTCTTTGACAGCCTTGCTCAGCTCTTGCAAGCTCAAGACTTATGGCCTCCTCTGTGGACAATTCGAGGGACGATATGTGCTGACATTATTATTTAAAAAACGGGATTGAGCTTTTATATGGCCCATGTGCACAAAAGCCAGGGCTGGTTAATGCTCTGCCTATCATAGAGAAGAGGATGCCTAAAATAACATGCCAAACACATCTGCAACATTCCCAACAAAACGCACACACAGAGAGGTTTTCCCTCTAGCTGCAAATGACATTAACATGACTAGAGGTTTCCTTGGGCTGAGGAGCCTGCCGCTCGAAGCAGTATGTAAGTTACTCTGGACAGAACACTCCCCCATGCCACCAAATGCTATTGCCTTCAGAAAGGCACTAACCTTAATGCATGGTGTTAAGGAGGGCAGGGTTAACTACAGCTGCTGAACAGCTACTGGTACAGCTTGAGGCTTTGTGGGATCTTGAACATTCGATGAAGATCAGTATGCTAATCCAGTTATTCCAAGAATGGGAAAATGTTAGCATATGTTCTAAAGCGGACCCTCTGTCTTCATGGAACACGTCACAGCACTTGGCCTCATATGAACCATTATGCCTTTGGTAAATCTGGTTCTTCACATCTACAAGCAGAGCTTCTCCAGGCAGTCTGTGGCCTCCCAGCATTGCATGGAGCAACATGGAATAGGTTGGCATCCCCGTTCGCACTCCAAGGCTTTTTCAGCACCAGCTGGGCTCCAAAGATGGAAGACCATCTTCAGAGCCTGGGGGGGGGGGAGTTCCAGGGGGGCAGGGAAGAGAAAAGCAAGGCACTTCTGTCTTCTACAAAACCCCAGAGATGCTTGAACCTCTCCTCCACTCAAGGAGGGGAAAAACATTTTGATGGCTGCACGTGGCGTCTTGGAAAGAAAGGAGGGCACAGAGAGACCTCCAGCCTCGATGCTCCTCTCACGTTTCACTGGATGCCGTAAATCCTCTGAGTTCAGAGGGTTAAAGGCGACAAATTCGACGGCTACCTCAAAGACAAAGGTACGTTCAAGTAGACTGTGAAAAAGGCATTGCCGCACTGGGAGAGTCCCTTGTTAAAGCAGCAGCCAGAAAGTGCAAGGGAAGCCCAACTGTTGCTGGAATAATCTTATTCAAGAGAGCAACGGATGCAGGAACACCTTTTTGGCAACTGGCAATAGTTCTCTTACATAACTCTCACCAAGAACAAACTAACTGCCACCGAAGGATAACAGAGGAAGCACTTCATCTTCACATGCCAGCTTTGCTTGTGTGGGAAAGAGCAAAAAGGGGTTTCCCCAGCCCGTTCTCCTGTCGTGTGCAGAATGGGAGATGGTGCCCCCAGGAGTTTTACTGTGCAACAGACAATCTCAACACGCATGCAAATGCCCATGAATGTACATGTTGTGTGTCCATGCATACAAGGGGCATATATGATGACATTTTTTAAATGCTTATTAACTGAGGAAGTTCCCCAGGTTTAAATGGAAATGTAGAAGGGAAACTTGGGATGGGCATGTATAGGTGGCACTGCGATGCTTGCACCCTGGCTCCTCGGTGCCACGGCACAAGGCGGCCTCCTCCCTGCCACCGAAACGCTAGCATCTGTCACGTGAGGCCATGCTGCCCCAGGAGCAATGGCCAGTGGCACCACAGCACAGCGTGGCCTCCCACAACAAGCACCGGTGCGAGGGAGTGATGCATCTAAAGGAGCCTTGTACCACAAGTGGCAAACTCAGAAACGGGGGGGCAGGGCTCCAGACACCGGAACATCTAGGCTTCCCTCCCACTGCTCTGTTGACCCCACAACGGACACATTAATGCTTCTGGTCATGGTACTTGCTGAGGATGTCAAGCATCTGAGGGATTCCAGGAGGAAATGCCGCTACTGCAGTTCCCATCATGCCTGGATGCTGTAGTACATTGGAAGGTCACCAGTGATCTGCTCTTCACTTCGAATAGATAGCTGGTGATCTGTTATAACTGGCATGGCCAGAGTGAGAGCAATTTACATACATGAGCTGCTAGCTTCTAACATCTGCCTGCAGCTTAAATTACATATACGCATATTCCTGAAATTGCCCACCCCTTGGCAAAGTTGAGACATTCCAACAAAGTGAAGGTGCTGAAAAAGAACATTTACAATTTTAAACGTGCCACGTAGAAGGAAATTTCTGTTCTATATGCTACAAAATAAAATAATTTAACCATGAATTGCAGGTAAGGTTTCTGTACAAGCACAGAGAAATTCCCACAAGTTGAGACCTAAAAAGTAATCCTGTAGCTCCATACTGGCTGAAGCATGCTGGGAATTGTAGGACGTTTTCTTGCCTAAAAATCTGCAATTACACACTTAATCTCTCTAATAAGGCCTCCTCTTTTAATGTTATACAAACCACGTATAAGACCAAGTTACCTGGGCTTTTTCTGTACTTGTAGGTTGCAGGTGTCTGTACAGTACTTTTTTCACAATATCAAAACACAAACAAGTGGCAACTATGATGATTATGGCAAACCAAGCAGAACCACTGGACAGCAATTGAACAAATACGAAGTACATATCTTGGGTGTGCAAAAAGGGCCTGAAATGTAAAAAACAAAACAAAATAGAAAATGAAGGTCAGACCAGGAGAAACAAGCAAGCAAACTAACACACATTAAGAGCATGAAAAATTTGTAAATACCACTAGCTAAAAAAATTATACACAGAAAATATTTTAAGTGACTTTTAGAACAACTGAGGCTTTCAGTCTCTCAAGGTGGAGAACAAGCAATAAAAATATGGTTTCAATTTTCAAAATAACACCAGTAGCAGGTAAAGGTTTCTCCTCAACCAAATGCAAATGGTAGAAACTTTCAGCAGATGGTTGTTTTGTTGTTGTTTTCCCACTTTTTAAACTAGGAGTGATGAAGTCACTAGGAGATGAGCCAATTTTGGAGCAGAAAAATCTGGACTTTAAGTCTACCACAGGCAATCAATCAGCTCCAAAGTAATGTTAGAGAAGGAGCCAGTCATGGCATAGTATGCCATGCACTTCTGACTAAATAAAACACCTTAAGAGCATGTCCCTCAACATGCGTAATTTCCCAGCATTTTGGATAGCCCTTGACAAAATACATTAAACTGAAAGCGTAGGAAGCAGAAAGGAGCATAAATGTCCCACTTTCAATGCCAGAATAAAATCGCGACTGCAAAATACAGCTGGTGTCAAACAGGGAAGATCCCTCAAGCTATGTGTAAAAAAGATGGCAGAGCAGCTTGGAAGCAATTGCTAGGTGAATATGGGGGTGCTAGAAATACATGGGATGTCCTAGAATTAAATGCTGGAGAGTCTCACTTTTTTCAAGGCTTAATACATAGAATCTTTTGCAGGATCTCTAACACAGTTTTCACAAGGAAGTGTGCCATTATTTCCTAAAGAATGCTTTGTCATTCTGTTGCTCTTGTCCACAGGGCTGTCACCTGGCAGCTTAGGCAAGTGCAGTAACAACACATCACATTTGGGGAATGGCTCCTGCCACACCTCAATAGCACTGACTTCAAGGGCAAGGAATCAGACAGGCAGGTTCCACTCTCTGACACATACACTTACCAGATAATTCCACCATAGAACAGGGAGAATACAAAGTAAAAGATAATGGAGCCCCAGGTAACAAAATGGTTTATCCACGTCCAGAAATGAGTTTCTAATGCCATCTAAAATAATACAAGAAAGTTGATACATGTTGAGCAGGCAGCCAAGACTTCTGAGAAACAAACATGTTACTTGCAGATTAAAAAAGACAAAAAAGGAAAATATATATTGCATGGTGAAGACATTCCACCAAACACAGCAGAGGATGTCATTAAGTTTTTATCTCAGAGTTAACATGTAATTAAGGATGTCCGTGGCTGCCATGCTGCACTTTGCGGTCATTCTGCACAGTCTTATTGGTAATTCTTGATCACAAAACCTTGAAGTGGGCTTAGAAACCTTAAGACGTGCATGGCTCCTCCCTGTAAAAAGCTCACACACAAGTAGACTGACCAGGCAATTCTTGGATCAAAAATCATCAAGTACACAGGACAGCATCAAGCCTCAGGACTATGGGAAGGGGGCATCTTGATGGTATTTATGAAGAGCAGGCAGCTTGTTTGGGCTTCAAAAGTTGCCCCGCAGGAGCCACTGGACTATCTTAGTGGACATGCAGCTTTTTCAGGAATATAGACCTTCCCCAAGCTGAACCCACTGGCTTAGGTCAGGAGCTATACCGCTTCTCTTCCACAGACTATTTTAGTCTGCTCCATCATGGGTCATAAGAGGAATAAGGCTCTTCCAATTGTTGCATGCCTGAGAATTTCTTGCCTTCAAGAATGAAAAGTTCTCCTTAAAATCCCTTCCAAAGACAGATGTTGCAAAAGATGCCTTCCTTTTCCAATGAAAGAATTTGACCTCACTGAAAAGGGAGTGGTGTATGTGAAAAGGGGACAAATATTCAGCTCAAGCCTAACTTAAATGTTTACATTCTACTTAAACAGAGTCAACCTGGAACTAGAACCAAAGCACGAATACTTTCTTTTTAAAAATGGTTGCTATAATGTTTGACAATGTAAAACAATTATGTATAGCAAAATCACAACTGTACTGCTGTACCTTCATCGTAACTGTTATAACCATGACAGTGAAGACTAGAGTTCCAAATGTCCAGTTTCCAAACATCTAAAGAGGAAAAAAAGAAAGAAGATGTGATGCATTTAATCAGGTGGAAGTTATTTAACTTTGTGTGTGCAGTGATTGCAACTACAGGCAATGCAGCTGCTCTAACAAAATTAATTCTCCTGGTATGCAAAATGCTCACGTGTTCATTTAGTACAATGTAATATAACAAGAAGGAAAGGTGTGATGCAAAACAGGAGAAGTTTATGAGTTACAAAAACGGGATTCCTACTGGACAAGCAATTTTCCCTTGCACGGCATTGCAAGTTTAAGGGAATGGATTGAAAGAAAACAGGGCATCAGGGAAATAACACTTGATCAGCCAATTATGCATAAACACCAGCTAGTCAAAAATTCTACAGCAGTGTGAAAACAATTAGCCTCTAATTATGAAAATGGTGGGACTTTTTTTTTTTACAATGCAGCATCACATGCAGATTTTAGAAATCATATCCTCCAAAATTCAAAAATAATAGACTTAGAATTCATAAAGTTCTAAGCTTTGAAAAGCTGAACCAAAGCAGTACTATAAAATTATTTTTGCTTTGCTTTGTTTCTGTCTTAGAGTTATGCATACTTTTCTGAAATCAAACAATATGGATTAAGGAAATTCAGATCCTTATCAGATTAGATGAAAAAATAAATTCTCAGAGTGATAATATATGTCTATCTCACCCTGCAGATAACTGTAAGTAACAATCAAGGAAAAAATCTGAAAGTTCCGTTTATATTCTTATGTTCCAGAAATTTTACACAAAGCCATATTCCAAGTTTAATTTCAGTTATCGCCTCTTAGCCAAAAGCAAACCCAAAACTTCATCAGATGCAAAAGGCCTTGGCCAATGTCCTTCCAAGGACTACCTAACTGAAGACGTGTAGTTAATGACTCAGTCCGGCCAGAAACTCTGGGGAGGAAACTGGAGTAAAGCAGGTTAACAGAAAGGCGCCTTCCCTGCAGGACTGTCCTTCCACAAGCCATGCGCTCCCCTTCTCTTTGCCAAGAGGCCCTCAGGTGCTACTGCTGTACTGCAGGATGGTGGCACTGCACTGGGTGCTATGGAGAGCCTCGCCAGTCACGCTTCACTCTGGCATTTGCCACACCATGTGAGCGGGGCAGAGAAGGCTCTGAGGGGCCATGGTCCACCCGGAGACATACTGGAGATCTCTTTGGACGTCCTCCCACAACGCCTGGCCCTGAGGAAGGGCCCGCTCAGAGCTAAGCATTCAGAGCTGGCTGGCTGGCCTTCTGAAGAGCCACGCTGCCCACTTTTTCCTGTTGACAAGGCTCTTCAGAGAGCTTGTCTCTCCTCTGAATCCCCCTGAAAGGAAACCAAAGGGCAAACAGTACCAGAGGGGAGCAGGGAGGGATGGACGGAGGGCAGCGGCAAGGGGCGTGCGTATGACCAGCTCTGCTTCCTCAACTTCCTGCTGCCCCAGGGTTTTAAATACCTGGCAACTGCTCAAGCTGGCTGGGACTGATGTGTTCTAGGCTGAAGTGCAACAAGCTGGGAAAGCCAATGTATTTCTGAACTTAAGGGGCTTATTTCCAAAAATATTACAGGTCTATTAGTTCAGGATAGTTTCTTCCAGTTTTATTTACCACCTTTGTCTAATCAGCTTTTAAACTAAAATGGTTTCATTCTGCTGTAAATTCTTATTGTAGTCATAAGACCTAATCATGATCTTAGCAAGTTTTGATGCTTTTTAAAAGAAGAATACAGTATGGTAGAAGGTGTTGTGTGTGTGTGTGTGTGTGTGTGTGTGTGTGTGTGGCGGGGGGGGGGGGTTCTTTGCTAATTGACAATACCTACTTACAAACTATCCTACACTGAAAACTGAGAAAGGGCACCCTTTGTGCTTTTGCTTATTTCAGACCAGAAGGAGACTTCAAGGACTTGGAACTATTGATCCACCATCCAATGAAGCAGTTACTCTCAAAGGAGAAACCTAGGAAATTGGGAGTCCACCACAGTCTGTTAAAAAGGCTGTGACTGTCATTCCATATACAGGTTCTGCTCTTGCTTTCCCTCTATAAGCATCATTATACGCTTTCCTTCCAGAAGTGGCTGGATTTCTTTATTTCCCTTCCTTGGAGAGACTTCAGCAGCCAGGCAGCTGAAGGTCCTGGGAACTGACAAGCAGGACCATCATTGCGCTTGCTTGAAGGCCTGGCACGTGTGTCCCGTCCCCAAAATGGATGGTTTGTCCAAAGAGAGCTCTCCCTTGCAAGCAAGCAGCAGGCAGTGCGCATCAGCAACTGGTTGCTATAGAGACACTATTCCATGGGGGAGAGTAGGATTCCTGTAAACATCCAAAATTGGCCACAACCGCTGAAGGTGATGGGGGGACGAGGGGGGGAGGGAAAACCAGCACACACTTGAGTTGTTAGGCTCACTGCTTTGCACTCTGCGCTTCCTAGCAAGTAAGAAATATATTGTCCATCTGTTAACACTGACAGCCCTAAAACAATGCAGAGTGGATTTTTAGCGGGTCGCTTTCTCTATCTCAAGCCACCCACACTTGAGAGATTAAAAGCGTGGAAGAATTATGGTGCAGAAATACTACTGGAATGCAATTTCACTAAACACATAATACAGTTTCCTTCCACAGAAAAGTTTGCCCCTCTAAAATCAGACTTTGCCATCATTTATTTTTGAATGTATTCAGGAGGACAGATGCTGCATTCTTTAACCCAGATACAAAAATATCTGGCATCTGGTGTTTTCTATGTTGTTTTTCCTATAGCACAGACTCTTACCATTTGCTTGTTAGGTTTCAATATCTGATGACAAGCACAGCATGAAAAAAGTGGGGGGGGAAAGAAACTAAAGGATCAAAATTGAAGTACAGAAATACAAGGCGAGGTTATCGATCCTCTAGAGACACGTTCATAAAGCAACTTACAATCTTTCCTAATATATTCCTATCAAAATCAAGGGTTAAACTACTTTCTTTTTTCTATCCAAGGTATGATTAGGTAAAAAGATCCCATCAAAAAGGGTCCAACAATGTGTCTGGCCACCATTTTGCCACTCCTAGTTCCTGAGAAAGTTTTCCCCACCTGGGTGACAGGTAAAACCAAGTTCACCTCAGGGGAGTTGGGTCATGTGTATGGCTCAGGTGTTGCAAGCTGCAGGGATAGTAACTGTGCCAGATCCGGAGCTGAGATTTTGTCCGGCAGTCTCAATCTGGGGCGGATGTTTGTGCCTGAACCGCCAACAAAGGGCAGAAAGTTAATACCTGTCAGTGCAAAAGTATGCAAAGAACATGCATTAACAGAAGGTTTGGATGGGCTGCTTTTAATATACATACATTTAAAGAAGGTTATGCCTAAGTGACAGACTTGTGAAGCAAGTAGTTACTGGTTCAAACGCCGTCACTGTCAAGAATTCAAAAGAGAGTCTCAAAAGTCAGTTTCTCCTCCTCTCACTTCATTTTTGCAATTTTCCCTGCAACTTTTCACACCATTTTTGATCAGAGTAGCATACCATACAATTCAGAGAAGTGCGAAAATGGAACGATAATCACATCCCAGATCATGTATTGCTTAAGGAAGCAAGAATTTTCTCCTCCATTCCTAATGACTCTAAAGGGTCAATTCTGCTTCTGCTCTGCATAAGGAATCATCATCAATAGCAGAGAACACTTACACTTACATACACCCGAGCTTGATTTTGCAGCAAACATAGCATTAACTTCCCAGAACTATTCCAAATAAATAAAAACCTTTGATTGCAAAGTCTGTTTGTATTCTACTTTACCTGGCCATTTCCTAGCAAAGACGTGTCTTCCCCCATCAGGAAATATGAGCCAAAGAAGAAAACAAATGCATGAGAGAAGCCCAAAAAGGTCCAGTAAAGGAAAGGTCTGAAGCCCAAATGGGCATTTTTACTGATGTCTCTGTAAAGTGGAAGGGGAAAACAGAATAATGCTTTTACTGCTAATTTCCAATTAACAAGTATTTGGCATCCTATCATTCCATCTACGAGCATCTTTTAATATTTCAGTACAGATTTCAAGACTATCACTCAGCTCGTCACCTGTCACACGCTGTCTGGATGGACAAACAACACAGGCACAAAGTGCAGTTGCACTAGCTACCTCTCCTGCCACAAATGTGCACAGAAAGATGACACAGCACCACATGCTACAGGGCAGAGAGAAAGGCAGCGGCTGATCCCAGCTGAGTGCCCCATTCTTCAGTTCTCCTGCAACATTCCACCGTCAGTGAGACAACTTTGCATTTGCCAGCATATAACCAGTTTGCCTGATGGATTTGCAGATGACAGCATTTCAACAAGTAAATATGCAACAGATCAAGAAGCATATTTCAGATTTTAAAATCTCCTTCATGGCCTTCTTGCAATAAGTCCAAGTACAACCTTCCCCTCATATTACGAACACAACATTCTTTGGCAAAATCTTCACTGAACAAACCCTGTACATTCAAGTTTAAGCATTCCATACCATCTTAGTTTTCAAAGCTCAGAAATACCATCTGCGACTGATCTCCCTCGTCAAATGCAGAAGGTAGCCAGCTGCCCATTAAACAATTTATGTTGAGCATTTGCCATGAGCCACAATGTCCAATTAGAATCACGCCAGGTTCAAATGTTTGCTAAGGCAAACACAATAAATATTTGGCCGAAGCCATGTCTCAGCACCTGACAACACTGCAGCTGCAAATTTCTTAATTTTGCAAGGAAGGAAGAGGGCAGACACCTGGTGTTCACCTACACAAATATGTATACTCCTCATCTTTATTAAAGACGGATTATATCAGCATATGGTTGCCTTATACAGGGGTAGGAAAAGATTTATCTGTGTGGGCCAGACTCCTTTGTAGTGTCATCTACCAGGGCTGAGCGCCAGTGGCAGACACAGCAAAGGACAATAGACACAGTGAGAACCAAAAGTGAGGGTACTTAGTAGAAATGCTCTTCTTTCTTTCTGTCTGTCAACTCCACCCCGCTCTTCCATCTCTGTTCAGTTCAGAGGTCTAAACTTACTGCTTGCAGAGGGCTTCTAAAATCAGAAGGTTGGGGAGAACAGGTCGCCCGCCCCACCTTCTGTGCTCTGGCTCTTGGACCATTTAGCTTAAGATAGTCTTTGGTGGCTAGCAAAACCCTTCAGGATCTCAGGCGGAGGTCTTTTCCAGTCTTCTTACCCAAGATCCTGTAACCAGAGAGGATTCCAGGACTGAACCTGGGATCCTGCACATGCATGTCAGGCCTCCACTCCGCCACTGAACCGTGGACCAGTGGCACTCGGGTAATTCTCAGATTTTGAGAAAGACTATCATCAGGTTACACGCTGCAATAGTCTACATCAGCTCACTGTTGGCAGTTCACAAGTAATTTCTGAAAGGTTTCTTTCCCGCTACTGGTAGTATGGTCATTCACCAAGCATGACTCTCTTGAAAAGAGTGTGCTTACCGATAGAGTGCTGGCTTGCTATGTAACACGTGAGGGTTCACATGCTGCTCAAAGAGACTGTACATAAGGACTGGTAGGGAAGTGAAACAAATGTTGTACAAAGTCAGATATACACTGTCATACAGAGTCTGAAAAGTGAGAAAGATGGAGAATTAGTGTTTTTAATACTGAAAAGAGAAAATAGGGTATCTACTGTTTACTTATTTGTTCATTCATTCATTCCACTATATACTGCCCATTCAATATTGCCCATTAGCTGAAGCTTGTCTCTTCAAGATGTTCAGCTCAGAGCAATCCACATGACCTAGAAGACAGTCACAATGATCAACCATGCAGCATAACATGAGTGTGGACATGCGCTCCCAGTCCAGGTTGCAATGTTTCAAGTTATAACAACTAGCAAATACCACAAGTGGATCCCATTCCTTGGTAAAATCTCTCTCTCTCTCTATATATATATACAAATTATCTCATACTTTTTCCTAAAGATCACTCTAACTGAGCACTCAAGGGCAGGGAAAAGTCAGGTTTCATTCGCATTTACACTCTAAAAAACTTTGCAAGATCTGAGTTCTCATTTGAAAACCCATATGTCAGAAAGGGGTAAGAAGATGGACTGGTGTCCCCCTGCTTCCTCTTTATGTTAGCTGACATAATGGCTTAAAGGCTGGGCTTTGGTACAGGAAAGGCAGGTTGATATCCCCATTTTTGGCAAATTACTCTCAAGCATCCATGCAAGTGAATTATATTTTGGATACAGTGAGTATGGACTGTGACAAACATCAGTGTGCAGTCGGCACTTGGGTTTTCTGCATAAGGTGCAGAACTGCCATTGCCCAACTCCTAAACTATTTCACAGACCACTAAGTGATTAAAAGAAGCTAATTCTTCATGTTGCCTTGAATTCCTTGGAGGAATAGTAGAAAACAAATATGGTAGATGGCAAGAACAGACATGTCACAAACACAGAACGGAGTAAGAGCAGGCGGTGGCAGAGGTGCTTGAAAGCAAGAACGGATGGGTAAAAGCAGGCAAAACCCACACCATAATTCTAATTTTTCTAAATCTGATATTTTAAATCCCTTCTTGACTTGGCCATATTTGTGGCAACTTGGGCCTAGACCTGAAAGCAAAATTTCTTCAGATTTTTTCAGCTGTGATTTCTAGTAGTCCCTAATACTAAAAGAAAATGTTCATTAGGTGAAAGAGAGAGGGACACCTAACCAGCACTTCCTAAGACTGAGACCCCTTCACATGTGTGGTGAGTTTCATCTCTATAATAAAGTTTTTAAAGGACCCTTGACTCTATTTTCACTTCCTTGAAAAATCTTCCCCACAGAAAAAGGTAGCTCTCAGATGCACTCCTAGTGCTCTACAAATGAGAACTTTAAAAAGTACCTAGACAACAGGGGGATACTGAGATAGTCTCTGCTGAAGGATAATCTGGCTGTCAGCAACAGCCATTCAATTTCAACTTGTATATAATATGATGAAAAATGTTATTCATGGGTGTTCATGGGTATTCATATACCCACCCATAAATAAGGGAAGGGAAGAGGGAAGGAAGAAATCCAACTGAATACTTACTTGTTGTGAAAACAAACAAAAGAACTGATATAAAAACTGTGGAGTAATAAAGCACACATTCTGGAAAACAAAAAGCGACGCAACCGGTTAGGGACATAAGACAAGTTCTGAAGAAAAACCAATGTATCTTGAATATTGAAACAGCAAGATGATATTTAAGCTTATATACTGTAAACCATCCATTAGGAATCTAAGGGGGGAAAGTAAACCTTAATCCTATATACTCTTAATTCTACATGCTGTTAAATCCAGGATTACAGTAATTAGAACTAATTAATTGACAAAAGATAACGGCTAGGCTAAAACCAATCCTCTCCTTGAAGGGAGAGGCCACTGTGCATGACAGACCTCACTTGACATCCCAGAGGTGAAAGCTAAGCTGGAAAGTCTATTCCAATTCAAGCTAAGTGGCATGCTGCCTTGGTGGGCCCTCTTTCTGGCTCATGCCCATGAGTCAAGTCTCGGCTCTGTGTCCCGAGTAGAGTCACTCGACTTGGCTTGTGCCTGCAGGACTCAGCTCCTACACGGACTGGTTAGGGTGCCTTCCATGCAGAGAGGGGCGCGTGGAAATAACTGGGTGGGGAGCTGGTGGCCATGTGATGGGGAGGGGCGTGGGCCGCACCCCGCTGACATTCTCCAGCCTGCCAGGGATGGACTGGGGCACAGCACAGCCCCCTGGCCAGAAGAAGCTGCCACCCCTACCTTACGGCTTCTGTCTAGTGAAGACTTCACACCTCTATCAAGTGCAGTCGCAAACAGGGAGCGTATGCGCCTTCCCCTTCCTCCTCCCCTGCCTAGAGTGATTTCTTCCATTCACCTGTCTGTTAACTATGGTTTGCATTAGGCATATGTTAGCCCTCATAAAGTAGGAACTGAAACCATGGTTACGAGCAGATTAATACACTATAGCTTCAATTCTTATATTTTATGGCTTGGGTCTTAATGTAAGTTATCATGTCATGAGCGGAGCTGGCTGGAGCTGGGGTTCAGACTAGATGGTCTGGGAGGCCCCTTCCGACTCGCTCAGTTTCTATGTTTCCATAAAGAAGCTCTAGGAAGGAAACTTCCCTCCATCCCCTCTTCCACCTACAACCTCTGGATGGTGGGAACACTTTGAACAATGTGGAATGGGAAAAACTTAGCCTTAGGGTTCAGGGTGCTATGTTTTTGTTTTGTAAATATTAATTTCTTTGCAATTTATTTATTTATTTATTTCGATTTATATCCTGCCTTTTTCCTACAAAGGGCTCAAGGCAGCTTAAATCTCCTCCATCTTATCCCCACAACAACCCTGTGAGGTAGGTTGGGCTGAGAGTCTGTGGCTGGCCCAAAGTCACTCACTTGTCTCCATGGCTGAGCGGGGACTAGAAGCCAGATTGTCTGAGTCCTAGTCCCATGCTCTTAACCACTACACCACACTGGTGTAGAGATATTTTTATATTTTCTATCTTTACTGGTCACCTTAAATTATTACAGACATTTGCTTGAGTTGAGCACAGTTTGAGTCAGTGCAAATGTAATGCAAAACTATGGCTAAAAGAAGGGGAAGGAAGAAAAAAAAAAGTACGTGGGTGGGTGGGACAGAGAGTACGCATGCACGTGCAAACGGAGAGCGCTTGTGGTCCACCCCAGACCATCTTATTGTGGTTATGAAATTGGCCAAGTTACATCTGGGCTGGCCCTTTCTGAGACCCTGGGAAACTGAGCACAAGAATAATGAACCAGGCTGACATAAAAGCACCTCTAAATTTTAAAATGCAAATAATTGTTTATAATGCAAAGATATAATGTGCTACACTGTGGAATGTGGTGCAGAAATCCCATTATGAAGCTATGTGTTTACTTCATAGTGCTCTGTCTGGACGTTCCCAAATGTCCTTCCCCCTATTACAGTTAACTCCAAGGATATAATATTAGAACAAATTATTTCTGGCTAAAGGAATCTCCCGTTATAAGCTGAAGGAACTTACCTTGTAAAAAAAGTACTGTACAAGGGTTGCTATTCTAATATAGTAAAGATGGCCATGAACAAAAAGTAACTTGGAAAGGAACTTAAATCTTGCTATTGCATAGTCACTATTTCTTACAGCTTGCCTTCCTTCTTTGCCCATGATACCTGTAAAATATGAGATGCAAGAAAAATTAAGCTAAATTCATTCCTTTAAAGCTCCATGCAGAGGAAATAAACTGAAATAGAATGAAGGGAACTTACAAAAGGATTAGAAGAGAGTCAGACATTTCAAGTGCTGTTGATTTAAATAACCCCTGATAGGAGGAGAATAAGCCTATCAACTTGAGTACCCCCTTGAATACTACAAGGATGAGTTCAATATTATTCAGAACAGTGCTTTAAAAAGTCATTTGCCTGTCCATCTTTGATAAAGATTGTATCTATGTGATCATATAGGGAACTCTTATTTTTTAAAAAAAGTTTTGTACTTTTTAAAATTAACACCACACATAATTAACAGTGGCACATGACACAAAATAGGTTAAGAAAACTAATGTAGGCTGGCAGTTATTTGTGGACTTCATTGCAACTCTTTAAAAAATAGCCTTCTAAAATTTTATGTATGGATATTACAGATGCTGTAATTCTAGACATGTAGCTCTCAAAAGGCCAGAAAATATATCCTGACTGTATTAGTTTATATGCATATTAAATAAATATACCACCTTTCCACTACAAATAGTATCCAATACAGCTAATGATAAAAGACAAAATTATAATTAAAATATACAAACAAATCAATTAAACACGCATCAGTGAAAAACAGTAGGACCTGTAAAGCAAGGGCACATATTCCTAAGCATCATATTTGCTGGGTTTTTATCTTCTCTTTCAAGAAGGGAAATGATTGCTCTTGTCAGAGGAGAAGCAGCCAGTTCCAGACACTGAGATGAGAGAGGAAGAGGCGCTTATCTCAAGGCCTGACTCCCCATGCAGCCTCTGAGGATCACCGAGATAGGCAGCGATCTGGAAGGCGCTTGGAACAGGGGAGTTCCGCAGAGATAGGCGAGGCAGGCATGGCTCAACTCCATGATGTGATGCTGGCAGAGGAGGGCAGCCCAGTTAGAGGATCAGCATACAGAGAGAAGGCAAGGTCACTGCTAAAAGGGCCATCCTGAAAGGATGTTGTCCAATCATACCCATAAGTTCCTAGAAGTAAATACTAGATCGGGTTCAACAAACTACTCTGAGCATGCTCAGAGATTTCTTTTGGAAATGCTTCTGGAAAATGCTTTGGTCAATAAAGGCGGAGTCCCTCTCCCAACAGCTCTCCAATTATATTATAGTTTCATTTTAAAAGCATGAGTCTCTTTAACAGGCACTCTTAGATGACAACTGGGTCATTTTTCATTCTTTGCTTTATATTAACTGGGAAAGCCTCACACACACAGAACCTCTGGCTCCAAACTCAGGTCTTTATATGGATCAAATGATCATTATAATTCTGATTGCTGAGTTTAAAATCCAGCGAGATGTTGACATAAAGCCAAAGCCAAAAACCTGAATATAGATGCATGATGAGAAGGTTCTTACCTATCCCAACATGAGCTTCTTGTATCATGCTCACATCGTTAGCCCCATCACCAATAGCTAACGTGATAGGTTTCTCTGGAGAGGTTTTTATCAGTCGAACGACCTGTAAAGGGAAAACAGGATTATTTTTAAATCATTTCACGCAGTCCAGGAATACCAGTGATTCATCCTGAGCTACTCAGCAAGGGAACACCATCAACAAAACTGTCGGAGAGGGCAATGCTTAAGAGCCACCCACATTTTCTGCGCTGTTTACTAGTAAAGTGAAAAAAGCAACAGGGCAGAGATGTAAAAATGCGCCTCAATTTGAACTGTGCTGCTTCTGTGTGTTTGCTAGGCAAAGCCTTGTAGTCACTTGTATGGAACAGGTGGACAGCCTGTGTTCCCTGCCCTGTATTTAATCCCCCCGCCGGCTTGAAGTTCTCTAAAACACAGTCCAACTAGGAAGACCTGGATTTCGCTTCTTGCCAATTCAAGAAGGCAAGATAAGCTCCTGTGACCTATGGAATACTATTCTGGCCTTTTCTGATGGAGTGGGTGATAAATCTGCAATTGTGGGAGCACACAAAGTGGCAACCAGACAAAGAGCTTTTTGTAGCCGAATCCATGGCAAGACAGATTTAACTGCTTTGAAGAGAGGTTTAGTCGATGTGGACTGTGGGAGGACTCTTGAGAGACACGCTGTGGAGACCATTTTGCTCTCTGAGTGTGAACTCGGTGATCATTTACCAGGCTTGAAAAAGATAAATGAGAGGGCAGACATTTCTCTAGGTTTCAAACCCATCTGGAGGCCTTCCTGGAGGAAGGCTAAGAATTCCTCAATGCCTTCCACTTGTGCAGTGTTTCAAATATCCTGGTGGTAGAATCCCTGCAGGATGTCAGCAGATATTTAGGACACATTCAAAATAGCCCAGGACTATGTAGCAGATGGACTTTTCAGCAGCCAGGTAGCTAGTCTGAGTCAATTTGTTGTAGGTGGAGGGATGAAATCTGACTTCTGTTGGATGACTCATGCCCCTTGCGCTGCCAGGACTAGGATCTCCAACAACTGTGGCCCATGTAGTCAGAAAGAGGTTATCAGGAAAACAGTTATTTGTTCCTTCCTGATTTTCCGCAAAACTCTAACAGGTAGACTGGAGAAAATGTGCAAAGCTTTTCTTTTGGCTAGCTAGTGCTGGGCACATCTGTTCCTCCAGCCCTGTAAGTCTGGAACCTGGAGAACATTTTCAGCTGCTTGTGGCCGTGTTTAAGCAAACATAGGTGGGCCAAAGCACTGCAAGGTTTGGCAGTCTGCCGACATGGGTGCCATTCTCCAGATTCTATTTGCTGCCAACCCGCAGAAACCCTTTTAGACAGACTCCCTTTGAAGCGTTGGGCTGATATGGCAGCTGAGTTCTGTTTGGCTCACACCAGCATGGTCAGGGTGTCCCTGTGCAAAAAGGAGGATTTAATTCCCCCTTGATGTTTTGTGCGCACTCCAGCTGTGGTGTTGTAGATTCTGATTAGTGTGTGAAAAGTAGCAGCCAGTATGAGAAGCATTTCAAGCCAGAATAGACTGCCCTGAGCTCCAGCCAGGTGATGATGTGGCCTTTGTCCCCCGCGTTCCATTTTCCTTGGGCCCAGAAGGAGTGGCAGTGGACTCCCCATCTTCCAAATGCAGCATCTGTTCTAAGTGTGACCTTCTCTGGTTCAGAAAATAAATATCTACGGTGATGTGGCCAAACGGGGACACACAGGCATGCCTCATCGAAGTCTAATGTTGTCAAATACTCCGTTTTGTGCAGAGCTTCCCTGACGGTTTGGAGTGTCTCCATATGGAACTGCCAGTATCCGACAAACTTGTTCAGGTATTTGAGGTCCACCATGGCTGTGCAGCCTTTGCTTTCTTAGGTGGCCAGAAAGAAGATGGAATATAACGTTGTACTTTTCATGAAATGGTACCAGTTTTCTCTTTCCAGTGTGAAATAAATGCCATGCTGCAGGAAACACTGTTTCTTGGAAGTGAACTACCATGTGGTTCTCCCATTTTTTCTCAGTTTTGTGGGTCCCTGCTTTTTCTGGGTAACGGGAAATTAACCCTTTGTGGGCTACCTTCCGCATGCCAGCCTGGAAAACATGGTGGTTCAATGGCTCCAACAGCCCTTCTTTAAAAACAAACAAACAAAACCTTTAAAAAGTTACCTTTGCTTTCTGCAGAGGTGCCATGCGACAGCACAAGACTGCCGAGCAATTCCTGCAGACTTCCATGAAGAGCTTCTCATGCTGCCTAAGTGCAAGGGAGAGGCTGGTCCCATCCACCACCAGCCCATGCTGGATCACGTGGTCATCCTGTATTCTAAACAAAGAAGGGAAGAAAATGTTATTGTTGGCAAACAATGCCGTTTTGTGCAAGCGGCCATTTAGACTCATTGGAGGCTCAAAGAAAGGGTGCCTGTGCACAGCAACAAGCTGGAGAACGGCGAGTCCTGCTCTTCTCCCAAAACAACAGCCTCGTTAGCATTAGTGGGCATTCATTTACATGGCAAAGGAGTAGATGCAAAGTGATTGGCTTATTTTTATGCCGGAGAGTTCTGCAAGGAGCTGTTAACATTATCCATTCAGACACAGGCAGCGTTTTACCTCCTGGCTAGCAGCCTCAGCTGCTCTGCACATGAACTGTCTGATTTGTGCTGCACAAGTTCCAGGATATTCATGGTTCTATGGAAGTGTCCACACGACAAGCTGACATTAACAGCTGTTTCATGTTTGTCGCCAGTGAGCACCCACACTTTGATACCCGCCAGTCGGAGGGCTTCTATGGTCTCTTGGACTTTATCCTGGAGTCTGAAAATAAGGAAAGCATAGTCATAAAAAATATGACAACTGATCTTTTTAGCAATATAACCTGTAGAGGCGGTTCCACTTTTGCCCTGCTCTCTCACCATTCCAGCACTGCTCTAGTTTTTGAGATTTCATGACAGACCTGTTTGCACATTGCAACATGTGGCTTAATTTACCAGCAGGGCCTCTTGCATTGTGCTGGGCAGCCAGTTTGCCATGGCTTGTCATGTCATGTAAACTGAGAGGACATGGGCTGTTTGAGGGTTACGGACCCATCAAAAAAACCCATTTTAGCGGTGTCTGAGGGTTGATTAATTCTCAAGCAACTCCTGTTGCTTAACGTTGCATGGCATGACAACCCAGGGGCCATTAAAAATGGTGCCAGTGGGCACCTGGCAATACATTTATTTATTATATGTCCATGCTTGCTCCCACTGTGGAACTCAGGGTGGCAAGAAGTGGTTCCCAGGTGGTCCCCCTCTAAGCTCAGGCTAGCCCCAGACCTGCTTGGCTTTCACATGGTGGATCCTCGATGTGCCTTCAGACCACAGATAAATTAAGCCAAAGTGAACTGTCATGTTGTGCAAAACAGGCTGATGCATCACTTTCATGCTCACACCAAGTTTTGCATTTCTCCATATTCAGACTTGCTTTTTCCATGTCAAACAAGTACATTTATTTTTAAACATGACCAAGAACTGAAAAATGCTCCTAACTTGCTACTACAGGAGGACAATTTAAGGCTAGCCGAACCTACACCCCAGCAGCTACAGTCCCACCATAACCGTTTCTCATGCTCTAACCACTGACATTTTTGATGCTGGACACAAATGTGGGCCTGGTATATGCACACAGGTGGTCAATTCGCTTTCCAAGGTGCTTTGGTGGGTGCGCATCATTCTCCCCCATGTTAAAGTGAGCAAAGAATCATGCTATGAAGCTGTCAGCATCAAGTTATTTGTATCCTATGATATAGCAGAGGCCTAAATTTAATCAGATGAGAAAGCAATCAAAACCTTGTAGGAACTGGGCTTCTCTGAATTAATCCTCATGACCAAGCACCAAAGTATTATGCAACTAGCAAACTATTATGCTGTTAGTCCCTCCTCCCAATAATTAGTTCAGGCAGTACACACTTGTCTTCTACTCCTGTAGCTCCAAGTAATACCAAGTCGTCTTCTATGAAGTTATACACCTCTGCCACCCGCTCTTCTCGTTGCTGTAAGGCAGTTCTGGCCTCATGAAGACGCTTTTCCACTTCCTGATATTCCTCTGCTGTGAATGTTCTGTACGCTACACACAGAGTCCTTAGTCCTTTCTAAGACAAAGAATGAAAGATTATTGTTAGACAGAACATTGGCAATCAAGTCTATTCTACTGTTGGGTGCATTAAGACAAAAATTACACTTCGATCTTTTACTTAACATCCCAAGATCAAGTAACGTTTTGATATTTCAACTTCTTTTATCCTGCCTAATAGAAAAGGAGGAGGAAGAGAAGCAGAGAGTAGGCATGAAGACCAGCCAGGATTAAGGGCTGCTTGGCAGATAACTATCTGGACTATGTGAGTCTATGAATGCTGAAAGACCAAGGCAAGAAGTAGTACTTTTGGCTTTAAGTAAGAATTATACTAGGATGAGAATGATGTATACGAGTCTTCCTGAAGTGGTACTCTCACGATGTTTTCGGTAAATTCCTATCACCCCAACCATTGGCCATGGTGGCTGGTGTTGTCTAAAGTGATACTCCGAAACATCTGGGGGGCACCATGTTGTGGAAAATTCAGCTTATACAATGTTATGTAAAGACTATCCCATCTAAACAGCTGAATTAACAGGTGTGCAAAAATTCAAATCAGAAGCCAAGGTAAGGATGAAAATTTGTCAGTTTAAGAAAGGGAATAATTAAATGATCTTTCAGGCACTGTTACCTACAAAACAACACTTGGGAGTCTCAGAGTCCTCAAGAATACTTCAACAGCACTCTGAGCTGTGAGGTTTTTCTAAGAGCTACTTACAAAATCTTCTATCCTGCCTCACCAGATACAAGGTCAGGACTCCCCAAGTCTTAATTAGCCAACAGAGTGGAGATGTAAGCCCAAGCTAAGCTAGCAATTTTTAAAATAAAAATCCATTATTTGCTTCCACCCTCCTTTTGAGGTTTGAAAACACAGAAAAAGGATGTGGCCAGAAACAGCCCATATGAATCAGGGGTTGGGCAAATACTCTTTATAATGATGGCAAGACACAAGGTAAACTGGACCGGAAATTAGAGGGGAAGTCAGGACCTCTGTTCAGGGCAGCCTTGTAAGAATGTCTCAGTCAGTCAACAGTTAATTAAGCCTGACCTGATGCAGCACTGACTGTGTCAGACTGCAATCTGAGAAGCACTGTCGGTACGGGAGTGCCCTAAAAAACCAACGACATGGAAAGGAGTGCTCTGCAGCTGCTCTGTGCTCTGCCAGGAGTTAAAGCTCATGCACAATACTGTGGTCACAGCATCCCAATACACATTCTCTGTGCTGGCTGCCAAATGTTTCTCAGTTACTAAGATCAGCAGGAGCACCCCTTCCAAAAACCTTCCCACTTGGATAGACCCAAAGATGCCCCCTTTGGAGCTGCAACGGGTCTCCGCATTCCCTCTCTTTGTGTTCAGGAAGAGGATCGAGAACCTCTTTTTCATATGGCTCTTGAAACGGTTTCAGTTTTAAGGCTGCTTTTAAGGTTTTGCCATACTTTTTTATTTGATTGGGAGCTTATTTTGTAAAGCATCTTAACTGGTGCCAGGAAGGCAGTGCAGAAATACAATGAATCAGCCAAATAGAGGATGCAGAAAGGGGCAGCAGCATGTTCAGGGCTCAAGCAGGTCAACTCTGTTGCTGCTCCTCTCAGCTTAGCTGTGCAAGCACATATTTATCCAGGCCTGGCGGTTTCCCGAAGCCTTATGTTTCTTTTTTGCTTGTTTGCTTTAACCACCTCCCGGCTTTTAAGATGGAGAGGGCAAACTTTACACACAGCCATGGACTGAAGTCCAGTCCCCATTGAGCAGGAACAAGGGCTCACAGGCAGCACAGTGCTGCAGTGTGGAATGCCCTCTCTTCAGGATCCAGCCCCTTGATTCCGTTACCTAGTTTTCTGTCTTCTCCTGCTCCCACTCCAGTCCTTCGGCATCCAGTGGCCGCTGAGCATGCTCAGGACTTCTTTTCTAGAGATTTTTTGGACTTCTGCAAACCTTGGGGTTTCCCTAATCCCGCTGATAACTCATCCGTGTCCTTCGGTGGTGGTGCCAGTGCTTGGAGGACTGAAACCAGTATTAGCCTTCAGGGTTTATAGCTATGGCAGCCCCCATGCAACTTCTCCAGGCTGCCTACAAGTTCTTGGCACTGTGCAACTTTTTCAAGCTGTTTGTCATCATGGACATGCCAGTGGTCAGGAAAGGACTGCCTACATGGGAGCAACCATCACACAGACAATATTTCTAGACAATCCCGGCAAGGCTGTGGGCCCACAGGAGGCTGAATAGGAATCATGGCCAGATGCATAAATCAGCTCTTAGCCCCACATTCAACCAAACTGCATTATATCTACATCTAAACCTTCCTTTAAAAAGAAAATTGATTTTCATATTTCATTTTTACTGTTGTTTTTGATGATGATACTGGACAGTTATTTTTCATTCTGACCTACCAGGAAGCTTGAAGGTGATGTTCTCACTTACCAAAGCAAATTCATCCACATGGATTCTTGTTTTTTCAATTTCTCCATCTTTACTCCGAGGAAGAATAACAGATTCTGCTCCTTTGATGAATAAGAGTTTTTCTCCTGCAAAGAAACAGTTTTAAGGGAAAAATACAAGCCCAAACCATGGCTAAATTAAATGTTACTTTTTTTTAGGAGCTGCAACTGTCCCTTTAACGAAAGTTCTTCAGACTTCTGGTAGTGGTAATAAAACATCTCTTTCACATTCTTTGGCCTACCTGATGGACTCTCTACAATTACGCTCATCCTTCGACGATCTGCACTGAACTCCAAAACATGTAGCAATCTGTACCTTTAAAGAGGGGAAAGATAATTTTTGTAGTATGCATTGGATAAATGGAAAGCCACGGTATTAGCTTAGTTAAACATGAAAAACCTTGAGAAAGTTGCATGCCTGATACTACACTCATGGACTGCCCCTAATGAGCTACTGGAGAAGAAAAGCAGCTGAGAGGCTAGGCGGATGGTGGGAAGAGGTGGCCATCTCACAGCCTCAGGTATGGGTGGAGTACTGAGAATATGGAGCTAGCACTAGCGGTATGTGGAGGAGATGAAAAGGAGCAGGCGAGCACACACTGTCTTCCTGTTGTAATCACTGTCCCAAAGCTCTTGCCCTCAATCTATATTTCCCGTTTCTGAAGCATACTTTCTTCAGGCGATTTCTTTTAGGGTATAATTCATTTTCTTCTAACGATATCTCTGCTAACTCTTTGGGGGAAGAAAACACTTCAGCTACACAGGTATTAAAGGGTGCAATCCGTTTAGTTGTGACCTGTTCACGTAAGGAGATGAGCTTCTCAAACATAAGAAGAACCGTGCTGGATCAGAGAAACCATCTAGTCCAGAGAAACCTTCTAGTCCATCTAGTCTGTTCCCCCAGCAGCCAACCAGCTGTCCACAGTTTTCCTCAAACAGGAAATGAGTGCAAAAGCATCGTCCTGCTCGACTTCCCCAGCAACTGCTGTATATTTGCATGCTGCCTGATACCAGAGGTAGTACTGGCTATGTATACCACAACTAGTATTCATGCACAGACAGCCACTCTTGCTTGCGACCGAGAAGGACTGACGGGATTCCCTCCGTGAAAGACAGGAATATCATTGTTTCATGCAGGGCATGCAAACTAGGTATCGTTTATTGAAAAGTGAGAACTGAGCAGTGCCAGACTAACCGAGATGACAACTGCATATGTTGCAACCGTACCGGCCTTCCTTGCTAACAAAAGTAGGAGTTCCAGCTTTGTGCTTTATGAATCACAGTGTATGACCAGACAAAGTATTGGTGGTTGGTTCAGAGAAGCAAAGAAAAGGAAGCTTTGCTTGGCTGCCCAGAGCAAGTTTCACTGGTTGACCTTGGACTGGTCACAATCATTTAGCCCCACTTCACAGGGCTGTTGTGAAGAAAAACAGGTAACATCCCATGGACGTGATTCTCAAGCTCCTTGGAAGATGCTGGGATGCAAACTGCTAGAGTTCGGATATATGCCAAAGGTCCGTCTAACTTCGCTCTACCCTGGGCAGCCACTCTCTGGCATTATTCGTTGTTATTCATTTCCCTTCTATACCACCCAATAGCTGAAGTACTCTGGGCAATTCACAACCATTTCACAATTCATAACCATTCACAAAATTCACACAAAGAACCACAAACCAAATGGAACATAAAATTTCAATACCTCAACTTGAAAACAATTTAAACTGTGAAAACAATTGCAATAAAATACTAAACCCATTAATGGCCTCCTGGCAGCACTGCTCTCAGCTTCCCTGACTCTCTCAAACTCTGTCAGCATGTTAAGGTGTGCAACCAAGAGGGGAATCCCTGCCTTACAGAATCTTTCTGGAAAAATATTTGTAAGAACAATTAATTTTGTTGTTACCTTTCTGGCTTTCCATAGCTTTTAAGGTCCATAAATTCTACGCTTGCTCCAGTAAACACAAAGCCAACCCTAAAAATGTGAAACAAAAATCAATTAAAAAGGTTTCTAGTTAGGAAAACTGTGAACAATTGCTTGAATAATATAAACAGTGTTATAGTGTTTATACTATCAGCTCCGCAAAGTAGGGATTGGTTCTCTTGTAATGGGTGCAGCAGGGTTGGGGAAGCTTCAGACAAGTGATTCTACTTTGGTTTTTTTACTAGAACTTCAAGATTCATCAACCACAGCCTGATGTATAAGGCATACAATTAGAACTAAAATATTCCAAATCTAAGATTTGAGTTCCATAATGGGATGGCCCCACAAAATTCATTCCCAGTTACTCCAAGCTTATGCTATTTCTATTGTATGCTTTAGGATACAGGGAGCCAGTTTGCTGCTACTGATCCTAAAAATTCTGAAGTTCAAAATCTTTGCTGATCTATTACAAATCAACCAGAGATCTACCAAAAAATCCAGATTTAGCTTCTATCCAACCCTGCAAAATAGTAGTTGCCCAAATTTTACACACACACACATCCCATCAGAAAGGGAAAGCTGGCATCAAGATACCGGACCATGGAGTGCTCTTGTTCAGAGTTCCGGCCAGCCACGTCCAGTTTCTGAATACGCCATTCCCTGGTTTTCTATCCCCTGCCAGTAACACTAACCATTCTGTCAAGCAACCCGTGTTACTCACGGCTGATTGTTTTGCATGGCAGCCCTCGGGTAGGTAGGTAATTTGTTTATTATATTTCCATCCTGCCTTTTTACCTATCAAGGAACTCAGGGCAGCTGACACAATTCTCCTCCTCCTCTCAATCTTACTCTCACAACAACAACCCTGTGAGGTAAGCTGGGCTGAGAGTCTGTGACTCAGTTACTCAGTTGGCTCCACGGCTGAGCAGGGACTAGAATGGTGATTCCCCAAGTCCCAATCCTGTGCTCTTCACCACGACACCAGCCTGGTTTTCGACCCCCACTAAGGATTTTCTTTTAATACTTCTAGAGACTTTGGGTTTCTCTGAGCATTCTGATACCGAGTTTTCCCCTCTAGTCTTCCCTTTGTATTTACAGTCCTCATCAGATGAGTTTGCTATTAGAGCAAATGATGCTGTGGAATCCTCCTAAATGTGGGTGTTGAGCCAGCTGGTGCGACCTCTGAGGTCCTGCTCCTCTTCCATGCCGTTTCACTATGTATAATTGCCCCTGCAGCTCCACTGGACCTCTCACAGGCTCCCAGTAAACTATGACCCTTTGGCACTGCAATGGACACACCATGGAACAAATGCTATGAGTGAGTCTTAAAAAGATAGACTGTTTCTTAGGGATGCCTACTCCATCCATAGCACTTCCAGACTCAAGACAAAGACGCAAGATTAACTCGTCCTGCACTACCAATTCCATCTCCTGAATGAAGCACAGAATTTGGGCTTCTAATCCTTACCTTCGGGCAGCTTCGACTAAGGCCTTTTCATCAGGGGAGGAGGCATAGTATTCCAGCTGAGATGATATGCCATTGCTATGCCAGGGACTGTCACAGATGCCATCAGTTTGGTCATTATTAATCTGCACTGTGTGACAGAGACAGACAGCTTTCAGGAACATTTCTTCCTCCTGTGTCTGTTTTAAAAAGTTAAAGACAAGACAGCATATTAAGAATAGACTCATCCAACTGTCGGGAAATTTTGCGCTTTTCTAATTAAGTGAATTTCTATACGTGTGTAGATATATCCCTCTGCACAACTGCAGGATTGTAAACCAGGATGAGCGACTCCCAGCTGATCCCGCTGGGATGACTCTTCCCCCACAAATCCCAGGATCATGGTAATTTGTCTGCTGCCAGATCCAGTTCTCACAAGCACAAACATCAGTCAAGAGGACATGCAACCCATGTCATCATAAGCCATCCACCTGACATACAGGATGTGACCCTGGGTACAATTAGCTGGCCCCACTGTATCCTAAACAAAGAGGCACTACACTGTACAGCTGCAAGTTAATGAATGTTTGGAAAATATCCCTTCACCCAAACAGGACCTGGCTCCCAATGCATGCACAGTATTGACTGTTAGCTCAGCACAATGAAGCCTCTCTTCCTCTCTCAAACCTCACCATTTTCTCCTCAGCTCTTCCAAAACCATCATTCATTATTCTGTAGAGTGCTTCTTTAAGTCAAGTTTGAAATATTACCTTCTTGGTGTACCTAAAGTTATTTAAATTGATGATCACACAAAGCTCTAAATCAATTGTAATTAAAAGATAGAAACTCTTACAAAACTAGGCTTTATTCCATCTGGAACATCCTCCATCAGTCCCTCTGGAACCAATTTGCCATTGATCTCTTGGTACTTGATACCATTAATAGAACATTCCCGAAACTGCATCACATTTTCAGTCAATGTACCAGTTTTATCTGTAAACACATACTCCACCTAAAAAAAATAGAGAAGTAGAATGAGCCCATTAGGTTTACGGCTGTAAAACTAAGCGTGTTTCCACCTGAAGCAGAACAGTGGTGTGGTCTGCAGGATACAGGGCATCATGGCATTCAAACCCCCCAGAGTGGCTTATCTGTGGTGTGCTGGAAAGACCCTCAGAGCTGCCTGGCAAGAGGCAGTTGGCCACCTGCTGTTCCTCAGTATCTATCCCTCTTCTAATGCATTGTTGTCTCCCTGGAAGCAACACTCTTGTCAACTTTAGGGATATTTAGGCATATTCAACAATATTTCCCTACCTTCAGGGAGATTTATGCCTATTCCATGGTTCTCCCACCCACCCACACGGGGAGATATGCACATCTTCAACACATTTTCCTCCTGCTGTACTGGATGAGCTGTTCCGGAAGAATAGCAAGGAGATTTTTAGAACTGAGCAAGTAGCACAGTGAACTTTTTGCATGTCCAAAGGGCAGGATCCTTTCCTCAGAACCATGCCAAAGCTTTACAGCCTTCAGCCAGTTAGGAAGAGCACCAAAGATACCCTGAAGCGACTCAAGTGTATTCTTTAGCTAAGAACCATATGAAACAAAACAGTTCCCTTAACTGAAGCAGCTTCCCCCTGGGTCCTCCATTTACTAGGAACTGGGGAAGTCAAGCGTCCTGACAGCCTCTAAAACTGTGCAAGAACTTCCTAAAATCCATGGCAAAAGGCACTGTCTTTTGCTCTTGGTGTGGAGAGAGGGACTGATGCGTGACTTACCTGGCTACTATGGATGCCCATGAAACATTCTCTGGCTTATGTACAAACCAGTAAGGCCACAGATAAGGGGAGTGTAAGCTTTCTTTTACTTGCTTATATTCTGCATTCATACTTCAGCATCGTATTTCATCCATGGCATACAGAATACCCCAGCGAAGTCGTGGTTCAGCGTTCGCCGTCTCAGTCTTTCGTGGAATTTTCCGTGCAGTGGCGTGCTCGCAAGGAGACTATTTTCTCCGAGCGAGTCCAAACCGATCTCCTTGCGAGCATCCTTGCTCGCAAGGGGATCAGTTTGGACTCGCTCGGAGAAAAGGATCTCTGCACACCTGCTCCTGCCCCACCATATCCGCACCGACCCCCGCCTGCACCGCCTTGGTGGCCAGTGCCCATCGCCGGCACCAAATTCGCCGTTTTTCACAATTTGCGGTTGCACTAGGAACATAACCCCTGCGAATTCTGGGGGACTACTGTATTCTCTTGAGCACAGCTGGTTTTGCTACTTCCTAAATATCCTCAAATCTAAGAAGAGGTGTCTTGGGCTGGACTAGACCCCCAGACAACCCACCTTTGCACACATGTAGAATTAGTTTTCCCATCTTGGGTAGATTTGCACAAATGCAACTTAATTCTAATTTTTAACTTGCATGGGGATTTGTGCAAAGTTGTAGCAACTACTGCGATTTAGTGTGTTTTTGTGTATCTCCCTGAAAGCGAAAAATGTAATTCCACAGAATAAATAACTAAGGAGCACACTTGTACTCATTATTGGCATAGACTGCTGGGCTTTTGCTGGGAAGGCCCACGGGATATGTGCCAGGAGAAAGTGGGAGCAAGCTGTAGAGTGCATGATTGTCTGTTGGGATTAATGTGGGCTAATAAGCAAACAACCAGCCCAACCACAGCTTATTTTTAGGTTGGCTTATCATGACAGGCAAACTCTCCCAATGACTTACATATATGGTTACCCAGTCAGAACTTCACAAATGACTGGACATTTGAACCTGGGTCTCTCCACAGTTGTAGTCCAACAGTCTAGCCACTAAACTTGACCAGCTCATTAAGAGGTTAGTGGTAAAGTGTTCCAAGGGAGGTAAATAAATAAGGCAGAAAAACAGTTTCCAGTTAAAAGCCACCTGAAAAAAAATCTAATAATTAAGAACAAGCAAACAAAAATATAACCACTACGTACCTGTCCCAGCTCTTCATTGAGGTCTGAAGTATTTACTTGTGCCTTTTCATTTGTTTCTTCATGATAAAGGTCAAGATCCCAACCAATAAAGAAAGACCCAAGAAATTTCTGCATCTCAACAGTCACATAAAGTGAAATGGGTATAATAAAGTTGTAAAGTACCAGGAAAGCGAGGAAATCTGAAATAAAGCTCAGGATCTGAGAGAGAGGAGAAGAAATCGTATTAAATGAAAAGTGGAAAATTCTCCCTTTCTACCATTTACCCCCAAAATAACCCTGTATGAAGTGGAGTAGGCTGAGAGACTCCAACTGGCCCCAGATAACCTAGAAAGACTTGTAACTGAACAGGGATTTGAACCTGACTCTGCAATTCTGCTGCAATAACCCAAGAGCACTTTTTGCATATATGGAGGTAGGAGGAGATATAAAATAGTAGCAAGACACAATGGGCTTGAAATGCTACAATGAATAATGTGGACAGAATGTAAGTAAAAGCAGTGGCCCCTTAAAAGGGTATCATGCAGCACTATGATGAACAATAAATACTGAGTATGTGGGAGATGCACAGGAAGATGCAGAGTTGAGGGGAAAAAAAGATGAAATGGTGAAACTTTGTGTGAAGGGTCAGAGAAGTGAAAAGGGAAGATAACTAGGATGAAAACCTTTAAAGCAATATTCTAGAGACTGAGTCAAGCACTGAATAAAGATACACACATATAATTTCCGAAAAATGATAAAGTTGGGTAATATAAGTGTGCTGGTCTCCCACAATTAGCTATGACAGGGTGGTCCAACTTTTCATACCTCGAAGGCTGTGTGAGGACTTTGACATGGAACCTGGAGGCTGCATAATCAATTGCATTTCCACAGAGTAAATTAAAGCATTCACAATCTGTTTAATTTAATATACACAATTAATATCTGCTGCAAGAATCAGGGGCAGTTGCTTAATTTCAAGATGATTTTAGGACTAACTGAAAGAAAAAGAAAGTTTTGTGGGCCTGCTCTGACCACTAGATTGAATATTGTGAAAACTTCAGATTAAAGCGCCAAAGCTCACGCACAATCTTGTGCGTGTGGAGAGGGGAATGCCCCTATAGCATCCATGCATGCATAGTTTGTCTCATAAAAATACACATTACCTTACTGCTGTTTTTTTCATGATCAGTTTGCTGGTTATACCACATTTCCTCAGATCGCCACACGAATTTCAATATTGTACTCAGAATGGCTTCAAAAAGGAGGATTATTAGGTAGATAAGCAAGAAGGAATTCATAGACCTAAGGAAACCAAATTGACAAATGCTGATTTAATGTACAGATATCGTTAAGCCTGAAAAAGAGGACTCAAGACTTGAAGATGATTCAAGACTTCATATAATGTAAAAAGACACACTGTGCTTCAAAAACTGTGTGGAAAAATTAGTCAAGATAGCTAGAAATTTGCTTGAACATGACCTTCTAGTTTAACAAGTCATTCAACCTCTTTGGTTACTGACTTAAAACTGCCTGCAGCAGAGGAAAAATCTAACCAGCCATTTTTCTTTATGACCAATACTTTCAGCCAGACTGCATGTCATTACGGCTCAGCTTGGGACAGGGAGAAATATCATCTTGCTTCTTTCTCTAGCCATCCCTTAACTTGAACAAAACTACTTTCCCTTGAGGGAGACAGAGGATGCAAACATGTCTACTTACTGTCTTTTTCACAGCAGCCACACCCTGGATCAACATTTTCATTGAATTGTCCACCAAAATCCCTAGACGTTTTTCTTGGTCCCTGACTGCTGGCTCAGATCCCACAGCATATGCTTAAAGCTGGGATGTATTGCCCCCCTGTGTAATTATTTTACACTTGCTTATATTGAACCAGATTTGCCCTTTCAACGCCTGTTCCCCAGTTTGGAGAATTCTCATCACATCAAGTTTTATTGTGTACTTTTGCACATACCCTTGCACAATGAACACAGCCATTTAACAAATTAGGATATTCTGAATAAAATACTCCTTCTAATACTATAATATGAGAATCAGATAAAGGTGTCTGGTAATAAGTATATCTCAAATGGCTCAACAGGGTTTCAACACTAGATACAAAAGCTAAGAACAAACATGAAAGCTGAGTTCTTTTCCAAAACTTGAAAGAGTACAATAGCTTATTTACTTCTTCCTAGGAAAACAGTAATCAAGCCAGTTTTATGGTTTACAACATGTTCTACCAGAGCTTTTAATTTATAACTGGAATCTGCAACTGTATGAAAAACCATCAAGTACATACTTTTCTACTACTGATCGCTTCTGAGATTTGCTCTTGTAATTCAGTGCCATCTTTGTCTCCATTCCTGTATACACTGCAACACCTACAAAAGACAACAACAAGGTTTAGCTGATAAAAAAAGCAGGATGCTGCTTTTATCGCTGTGGCTGCTAGGCCAAAGCTGTGGCAAGGAAGTGCTCAATATTGATATGCTATTATGACAAAGGTTCAAGGAGTACTTATCTCTCATCAGAGCTGGTCTGCAGTGTGAAGTATGTGCGACTTTTCAGTACACGACAAAGTGATAATTTCATCTAATATTCTCTCACTACACTAGTCCACCGTGTCATTTTGAAAGCCAAATTCATGACAAACAAATGAAACTGTACTGTTCTACAAAGCTGCATAGTTAATATGTAACTCTAATCTATAGTATGGCTTGTTGAATTATGGGTTATCTTGAGGTCTGTATCTGGTTGTACTGACAAGCAATGCTTTGTTAACCACGAACAATTCAGAAAGAGAACCTATGATTTGCTGCTGGGTTGAGAATGCCAGGTTGTTTAAACCATGGCTCATCACTGCATATCTGCCTGGAACTTGGCCTATCCATGGCCTATTTTGCTAGACTACAGAGGAACTGGGCAAGACAAGTTTGTTTCCTTTAACTTTAATCAGCTGCTCTAAATGCCCATGCTTCAGTGCCATAAAGGCACTGGTATACAGGGAGTGAGTAGATGAAAGACAAGGGAAACAAACCAGAAATTCAAAAAGCAAACCATGATAATCTGTTAAACTCTGGACTGAACAGCAAACTATCTGTTAAGGGAGCACTGGGTTTGTTAAGTGCAAAACATGCCATTTTATTTCATTGTAATGACTGCATTAGTTTCTTTTTTTGATATGTTTGACAGATATTATGGATTCTATTAACCTTTTGTTCGCTACCTTGTTACAATATGTTTAAATCAAGGAATGGGAGATACATCTTTTACTAAATTAAACAGCAGTAACTCTTCACTGTGGACAATTCAGCTGCCTGCTTCTATGCTTCAAAGCAGAATGGTAGTAGGAATATTGTATGAATACTTCTCCAAGATATTGAGCTACAAGGAACGTTTTTCTTCAGGAACATCCTTAACAGCAAAATAACCAGGGTCCACGCCCCATATACAGCAGGTGGAAAAAAATCGGGGATTTCCCAAGAAGAGTGGGACTGAAGGAACAATTAAGCATCCATTAAATTGCTAGAGGGGAGAGATTAGTACATTTGAGCTCCATGCGGCCACAGTACAATACTAGTGCAATTGCTTCTTGATGTGGCACACCCACTAATCAATATAGGGGTTTAATAAATGTGGCTGGTTGAACACCGAAGCGCACGGAACGCTGTTACCTGTCCACCGAAGTGGTACCTTTTTACCTACTTGCATTTGGATGCTTTCGAACTGCAAGGTTGGCAGGAGCTGGGGCGGAGCAGCGGGAACTCACCCCATTGTGCAGATTCAAACCGGTGACCTTTCGATCAACCAGCCCGGCAGCACAGTGGTTTAAACCACTGCGCCACCTGCAGTCCCTGAAGGGGGTGGTACTGCGGCAAAAATGAAGGTGCCCCACACTGGCTGATATGCAAGGCATTAATAAATGCTGAGGGGAATCCGTGTTCCTCAGGAAGCTTTGCACAAGTAGTGAACACCTTATATAGTTACAAACCAAATATTTCTTTTGTGTTTTTCAGTCTTGCTCCACGGAGTAAGAGACTTTCAGGCCCAAGAGGTCTGGAAAAAAAAAGGATGTCCAGAGTTACAAAAGACAGCACAACTGCTGCCACCACATCCAGGACACAAATTCTGATCAATGGTACATATTGATTTAATCAGTCGGATGGTATACCGTGAGAATAAATCAGGATTTGGTCAAGTGTGGAACTCTGCATGCCATTTCATTTTAATTTTGGAGAATTGTCAAAACGGCGAGCATTTAGGCAAGCAAAAGGCAACATTCTTATCTTGCCTAAAGACACTCGAACAGAAGCTCTGACTGCAAGGTGCAGTAGGGAGAGAGAACCTATCTTGTCCCTCTCTTTTTTGAGGCATCATTTTTTCCCGTTCCTCCTCCAAGGATCTAAGGGTTGAAGTCTTTTCTTGCAGAAGTTTTTCCACAGCATTGCTAATTGGCTTTATGGTGCCAGGTGCTGAATCCGGGGCCTTCTGGATGCAAAGGGGACACTATCATCAAGCCCTGGGCACTCTCCCGCTTACTGAACCCCTGACGGCTTGCCATTCAGAGTCGAGGGACTGCATCCAGCTTGATAGGTCACAAGCTCTGCAGACCATCTGTAACTATTGTTGTTAAAAAAATTCAAACAAATACCATTAAGCTTAGAGTAATAAACATTTGGCTTACCGTACTATTTCTTCAATTTGTTGAGTTATTGTTATTCGGCCAACAAATCTGTGAAACAGATTCATGAGTCAGAAGAATACACTTCTGGAAATAATGACTTTAATCCAGCAATTTTGATTTAGGAATGGCATTCAATGGAAGGAGTAGCTCATATTTTGATCTGTCATTAACCCTTCACCACTACATAATAATGATTTCATGGAAGCATGTTTAAAAAGTTGTCAGAGAGAACAAAGCGTTTATATTTCAAGATAATTTATTATTATTAAAATAAACCCTGCGAAAATCAATGACATGACAAGAGTCATGCAAGAGAAGTGTGATTTTCTGGTTGATACAAGTTCAAAGCCACATATTTTAAATTCCTTAACAGGCAGAAACTGAAGGAAAAACTTTATTCCATTTTAATACAACAGTGTAATACTGCTTGTGCCAATTTTAGAAGTAAATAAATTGTTACGTTTGGCATTTTTTCCTAATACATACATTCTTTTTTCTGGGCTCTGACTGGCTTTTCCCCTAGGGACAGTTCCTAAGCTAGCCAAGTTTCATGTGTACCATCCCTGATTCCTCACTGTGGGAAAAATGAAAGAATATGCCCAGATGTAATATTCCCACAGCCAGGCAAGATCCCCAAGTCTGTCTAAAGTAGGGAGAAACACAGGGCAGACGTGTGGAGGGAAGGAGCAGAAAAGGACTGAACATTCAGTCAGGCTTTTTGAGGTCTTGCCTGCCACACTATCCATGTTATTCTTGTGGCAAACTGTTCACAGCAGCAATAACAAATCATCCTGTAGCAAGACGCTTATGCAATTCTGCCTTGTGAAAGGTTCGCCATACAGTTGGACCAAAAGCTGCCATGCCAAGAGGAATGGCAGCTGTTGGCAGGGTGTCCCAATTGCGAACCTTACATCCTTCCACAAGATGGAGGACTAGTTCACCCAAGCATTTAGAGCATCTTGTCAAACTTGCTTTTGTTAAAGCAGACAAGGCACGGTGAAGCTGTTTTTCCCAAGCACTGCATCACAAACAGGGAAAAGGGCATGCTAAATTAGGTCGTGGATGCATGGTGAAGACTCCAGATGATCTTCACATGAATATTTCATCTATGTTCTGATAAAGAACACCTCCTGGATTAATATGGCTCCTGCAGGGAACCAGCTCAGAACAGGTCAATGCAATAATCAGTGAATTAAAAAACATGCAAGTATTTCCCCAAGTTTTGAAACCAAGGGGAGGACGATTGTACTCTATGACTGTGCACTTCAATGCTAAAATGCAATGGGATATAAACTGTGTACTCTGGTCTTGTCCTTGCCATGCCTTGTCAGCCCACTTATAACTTAAGAAAGACAATTATTCAGACAAACAAGTGTTATATATGCCCTGCCTCAACACAGAGCTCTCTGGTTGCTACTTCTAGCCTTTGCAGCATATGCATTTACACAGAGTGTAACCTTCTAATTTTTGAAGCAGCTTACTTTTACATAATATTTCCAAAGAGAATGCTAAAAATGGTACCTGTAGAGATCTGCTTCTGGTTGCTGGCATTCTATAACGGCTACAAGCTTGTCTAGGTTGGCCACTGACTGCAATACTGCAGTTTCTGGAACTGCAACATGTGTCTAAAAAAGAAAGACCCCCGCCCCCAAGCACACAACATTATGAGAAAACCTACTGGTACGTGCCTACCTCCTTTGTATACCTGGATACCACCTGCAGGAACATAAGAAAAACCCTGCTGGATCGAAGCAGGGGGCCATCAGCCCAACATTCTGTTCACACAGTGGCCAAACAGCTGTGCATGGAAAGCCCACAAGGGCAGGAATGCAGCAGCACACATCTTCCCCAGCACCTGGCCTACAAAGGCACATTGCCTCTGAAACGGGAAGCAGCATTTAGCCATAGGACCTAGGAGGCACTGATAACCTCTCCTCCATGAATTTTTCCACTCCCCTTTCAAAGCTGTCCAAACTGGTGGCCATCACTCCGTCTGGTGGAAGTAAATTCCACAATTTAACTACGCACAGTGTGAAGTTCTTCCTTGCATCTGTCCCAAATCTCCCATCAATCTGCTTCATGGAGTGACTATGGGTTTTGGATTATGAAAGAGTGAGAAAAGGGTCTCCCTATGCACTTTCCCTAGATTATTATGATGTATTGAGCATGCACACAAGACTAGGCTTTGATATGGCTGGGGCCATCAAGTCAATGACACTGAGGGCAACAGCACCTGGGCCTTGTATCCCAGCATATGGGGCATAATACTGTTATGGGAGGTTTAGTTTGCATTCCCAGCATCCATGTCTGCACCAAACTCAGCAATTGCAGAGTCAGCAGGATGGACTTCTTGAAGGGAATCTTACCAAATTACTCTCATGGATACACAGGAAGTCTGTAAGGTCTGGTTTTGATAGTTACCACAGCCATTTCTTGCTGCCGTATTATGAAAAAACCATCTCTAATCTGAAAGAACCCTTGCATCCCAATGTTTGATAAGGGCTCTACATTGTAAGCAACCTGACCTCAGTGAACACACTGGGCTTTACTTCCAAGTAAATTTGCATAGGATCAGGCTGCCCAAGAGCAGGGTAGACTCCAGCACAATATATGCCAACTTTCCAGAAAGTGCTCTAAAGGAAAACTAAATTTACAGCAGCTGTTGTTACAGGAAAAGCTCAGCTGTGATGGCTCTATGTTTATGTGTAGTTTGCGACTTATATTTTTGTTGGCATCTCCTGATGGTTCTGGGAAAGGCTTCAAAAGCAGGCAGCTTAGAGGCTGCCAGAAGTCCCCCAGGTGTCAGCCATGCAGCTATTCCCAAAGTGATTCAAAGGAGCTGCTCGGCTATCCTACACTTAGCTTGGGAATTCCTGGTATGTGTGATTGCCTTCCTAAGGAAACTGCCAATGGAGCTTCAGAGGGAACATGGTCTAGTTGTGAATCAACCCCAGCCCTGAAGGAACAATTGGTTAAAGCACCCCAGGCATGCTGTGTGAGCTTGGGGTACCTCTGTCTCTGCCTGTCTCAGAGGCACGCTCAGTCAGCTTGCTTTAGTTTCTCAAGTAGCTGGAACTTGGCCAAGCTCATGGGTCCTCTTGCTCTACCCCATCCTGAGTCTAGCCTCAGGGTATTCGATTCTTTGGTGGCCTTTATTTTGAAGTCTGTGACTACCCACTCTTTCACCATGGGACTTGGTGTGGACAGACAGCTTCAAGAACCATCCAGGTTCTTCTGGCTCTCAAATCTGCTCATGATCCTGCCGAGCACTCCCCTGACCTATTCTGGGGCTCAGCCCCTGCTCCCAGGCAGTGTTCCTTGCTCCCTTCTGCCTAGGCCCACCTTGCTTGCCCAGATATTGTCACTGCCTTGTATCCCAGACAGAGTTTCAAATTCTAACAAAATACTCATTGTGGCTTTCTATATGGCTGCCATTTATGGCCCAGACATAGAATGGGCACATATCCTTGCTCATCTGGGGAGGCCTGTCTCACAGGAAGCTCAGCCATTACTTTTGAGCAGCTGATTCTGTGTCTAGAGCTTTATTTGTATGGTGGCCAAACTAGGAGTACTGGGCACTGTGGTGTGGTGTTTGAGGGACTTGAGTTAAGTGCAATCCCCTGAATAAATATCAATGTTCCTAGCAAGTTTCCCCACTCTTGCCTCCTTCCACTGGTAAACTTGGCTCCTTCCCCACTTGATATTTTCCTAGAATAGTTGGGGTCAAAGCAAGGTCACATGTTTAGGTGGTCCGTTCCAACTTGTTTTTTAAAAACTTCTTTTGGAAAGATGATGGGCCAGTGGGTTGCCTACATGCTCTGCAAGTTTTTAAATGGCCTTGATTCAACAAGAAAACAAGGCTCTGTGTGTTCCTACAGCTGTGAAATAGGTAAGCACACCTGCTTTCTCCTGACACAGTTCTGAAGCTACCCACTCATGCTGTTCCTCGGACAGCCCATCAACCCTTGATTTCCCTGGCGCACAGCCTCCCAACCCCTGCCAAGCCATTTCATGAACATCCTCCTTGCTCCTTATCTGATAAATGGTAATTCCATTCCCACTTCCATCTTTCTCCCCATTATTAGTATTGGGAATAGTGTGCCAATTCACATAATTACTACTGGGAATAGAGTGCCGGGATTAGCAGACGAATTATTCATTCTTCTCTTCCGTAAAACACTTTGCACTTCTAAGCTTTAACATTGCAAAATATACTGTAACAATAATCCATAGTTTATCAATAATCCTTGATAGTTGCTCTTGAAGAAGCAATCCCCTCTCTTTGTTGCATCATGGTGCCTGGTCTGCTGTGTGCCTGTTATACCTCCCTTTACTTTTGGATTGGACCAACGTGCCCATCCACGTGCGGATAAGGACATGTTTCGGTGAGATTCTGGGAATGAAATTCCAGGAAGAGCTCCCCCACCCATGTAAGAAGCGGGAAATATTGTGGAGGAAAACAATGCTGAAACAGAAACAAGATGCATGTGCACCTCCGCAGAGAACGTTAAAGCACATCTAGACATTCCTTTCGCGGGGCTGACTCATGTCTGTATTAACACTTTCGAATCAGGACATACCCCAATTATGATTTTCCTCTTACATTTTCAGTGAGTACTGTACCGCGTTTTGCAGTGTATTGCCCTCCAGATGTTTTACACTACAATGCCCATGATCCCTGACCACTGATCACTCTGGCTGGGGCTGATGGGAATTGTGGCCCAAAACATCTAGAGAATGTCATGTTGGAGAAGCCTGGTGCACAGCCACAAGAAACAAAGTAGATGTTTCCCCCCATCAGGTTGTGTTATTACTGATGTGACCTTTAGGGAAGAACAAAAACACACACCTGCTTGAAGATACATTATAGGTTGTGTTGAGTTGCACCAAGGGAAATTTAACATGCTCTGGAGCGCTTACATCCATATATGCCCGTCTGCCCCTTGAGATCTGCGGGAGAGGCCCTTCTCCAGGAGCCCTCCGTGAAAGAAATTAGGAGAGTAAGTACCCGGAGGAGGGCTTTCTCTGCGGTGGCGCCCAATCTATGGAATGTGCTCCCCAGAGAGGTCCACCTGGCGCCGTCGTTATTTGTTTTTCGGCGCCAGGTGAAGACCTTTTTATTTAAACGTCATTTTAATCGTTAACAATATTTACTTATTTATCTGGCCAGGGCGACTTCTTTTCTTTTATAACTTCTTTTATTTCTTTTATATTTTTTATTTTATATTGTTAATTTTAATTTGATATTATTATTTTTGTATTTTATTGTATTTTATTGTGTTGTAAGCCGCCCCGAGGCTTCGGCAAGGGGCGGCATAGAAATGTTCTAATAAATAAATAAATAAATAAAATTCAACATATACTAGCCACAGTTTTCATCTATTTCAAAGCAGCGGAATCCAAAAACTGATAAAACTGACCTTAAGATTAGTTTCTCCATCCAAGCTTGCAGTAGTTACATAACAAGAGCCATCCGCTCTATCAGAGGACAGAAGCACAAGATCAACAGGGAAGGTTTCATCTTTGGCTACTCTGACAATATCCCCCACCTGAGAAGACATAATAAAAAATATCTATGCAGACACTAGTTTTGGAGAACGAAAGCTGGGCTAGCACATTCGTATTATCATTCCTAGGTATTCTAATTCAATAAACCTGTGTAAAATTACATGGCAGTGACTCTTTAGTTGAAATACCATGTTTGTGAAACAGGGCTAATGTTTTCAATTAAATCAACACTATTTTTTCTGTTTTAAGTAATAATCAAATCTAATCTAATCACAAACATGGTAAGCCTATGCCTACAGTCTTATAAAAATAAATTAGGGGATCAGATTATCGTACACAAAGAAATGTACCAATCAAACATGGGCATTCATTTCAGCTTTTGCTCTGTAAAAGTGTCTCTGTCTGTCCTAACTGCCAGCTTGTGCCCTTTCAAAGTTCTGGGCTTTCAAACTGGGTGGCAGAGCATGGTCCGCCTGGCGCCGTTTTTCGGCACCAGGCTAAGACCTTTTTATTTTAAAAAAGCATTCTAACAATGCTAGATAATATCTATTGGCTTTAATTGTGCAGCCAGGGTGTTTCTGGGTTTTAATTGTATTGTTTATTTATTTATGTGAGCCGTCTCGAGGCTATCAGCAATGGGACGGCATACAAAAACTCTAAATAAATAAATAAAGGATGCAAAAGGTCCCTATAGGGGGTCAGAGAAAATCCTGCCTGAAAATCCCGCGTTTCACTGCAGTCCATACTGAGTTATGTGGATTCTGTGTAAAGCAGTTTGCTATGTCTCTCTCACTAAAGCAACATGTGCGAAGACATGGGCTATATAGGACTGTTTTTCTGTACTTATACCTTTTTGAAAGGCAAAGGAGTTAGGGCACAAAGACAGTGCAGAAAAGGACAGTCTGAGGAAGAAAGGAAAAGTGGAGTGAGGTAGAAAGAAAAGGCAGGCATTATAGTATGAATGCCACTTCCAGTTCAAGTATTCCCCCATGCTTTTGCTACCAAGGAGGAGGAAGAGAAACAGTTTCCAGACACAGGAGACCCCTAGATTGCCTTGATTTAAATTAATCCACCCTGTTGTGAAATTATGTGAATTATTTTAATTACTCAGTCACATACCAGAATGTTCTTTGATCTAGTTTTTACAAGGCCACCACTGCGGACGACATAGACTGGAGCTCCATTTACTTCATTGTCTGACTTATGCCGTAACCAATCTTCATAGCCCTGGAAAGATTCAAAGATTGGAAATGCTTAAAAACAAAGTAAGAAAACTAACAATTCACATTACCGCTCCACAGCGAGCATATGTGCAAGCACCTTGCCATGATCTGAGACAACCTTCAGGCAATCACAAACAGAGACTGGTAACTTGCAGCCCTTGGACAGAGTCTGATGTTAGATGAATCTGCCATTTTAAACTAGTGCCTAGAAAAAGCAACCTAACTTTCCAATTAGTTTCATGATAGTTGGACTGGTGAAAGATAAACTCTACATTGCTTTAAGAAGGGAAAATAGGCAGTAAAAGCTTCAGTAATCTGTGAGCTTCTGGTGCTGTATACCAAGGGCCAATTCACATATAATGCCAGTCCGTGGGTTCAACAGCTCATAGTCTTTCAGGGAAAACTGGAAACAGTGACTAGAGTGAACCAGGCACATGAGCTTTTAATCATCCACTTACACTCACCTACCCTATTTGCAGATTGCTGAATATGCTGTGGGATTCCAGAATGGGGACTGTTTAAGAGCTAAAAAACCTAGTGGTTAATTCAGCGCAAAGCCACGGGCTAATTGAAACCAACAACTAGAAAATGAACCGATGCTGACTAAAAGCGGATGTGCCATGTGTGTGGGAGGCCGTACACCCGCTCTTGCTCACTCTTGCATGACAATCTATGGGTTGTTTAACACCAAGGGTTGTCATTACATTCAAACCAGCTAACCCACGTCCCCCGCAAAAGGAACACAAGCAGCTCCACTGATGGGATAATGTATCAGTTGTTGCATTTCAACACGTGTCCTTCCCCATTAGATGTTATATTACAAAAAGCTTTTGGAAGTGGATGGAGGTGATGTGAGAAATCATTTATGCACACTTGGTCATGAGCAGATGAGTAGCCCTTCCCTCAGCTACTTTTAACTTGTCTGAATGTAACCAAGGGGACAGGCTGTCACCAAGGCACTGGCCTGAGAAATCCTACTCCACTGAGTGGGAAGTCCAGGATGGTCAGTTTCTATCCTTTGGAGCAGAGGAGACTGGAACTGGCATAAATCCTATGGCTATAGGCAGGGGAAAAACATAGAACTGAGTTTCACACATGAAGAAACCTACACATTAGCTTTTTAAGCCTCTGGTGTTTAAGAAAGAAATATATCTATATACAAATTTATATGTATATCTATCTAGATATAATTCACTATAGTAGAGCAAAACCAACAACTATTAATGCTTTCAAACAGGATGGAGCTTCTCTTAGTACCTAAGCCAATCCAAGTCTCTTCCTACAGCTTTATAATATAGAAACACAGAAAAAAAAGCAAGCCAGAAGGGGTCTCCTAGGCCATCCAGTATGACTCCTGGCTCCACTTGGCTCCAGTCATGTAATCCCCAAACATCTGGTTGTCCAATCTTTCCTTGAACGCCCTCACTGATGGGGCCTCAACCACCTCCCTTGGAAGCCCATTCCATATCCTAGGGGTCTAACAGTCAGGAAGAACTTCTGACATCCAACCTGAATATAAAATGATAAACAAAGCACACAAAAAATCTGTGTTGGTCTGTCACTATACACTTAAGGGTCTTACCATGACTCACTGAATGCATGACAGCGAGACAGCAAAATACTGTCCCCAGGCCAACCTGATGATGCACAGCATAAAATGTACCTTCTTGTTTTCTGCTAGAAGCTCTAGGCAACATCCAGCCTGTTTCACCGACTGCAGCTCCGCTACATACTGAAGAACAGGATTTCCTCTACCTCACCGGAGAGGGCATTCAGGTGCAAGTGACTCAAAGCCCTTCTATTTCTCACCATTCCACAGTGAGACGAGGGCCTCAGCTGCATCACCAGCTCTCTCGTTCTACTCCAAAATCCCAAAGCATTCAGGAATCCAATGAATTCCATCAGCCTCCTGGGGTGGAGGATGGACCTGAATGAGCCCGCCTCCCCGCCCCCCCACCACCATTCCTGCAATAGTAAAGTAAAGCCACTGTGTTCAAAGGAAATGTTCTGACTGTGCAAATGGAGTTACTTGGAAATGCCTCCACTCCAATTTTCAGAATACCCATTTCACAGCTTGGAGCAAATGCCAAATTAAGGGTATGCGCTACTTCATGGCTGACTGGTAATCCATAAAGCAAGCTCATATCTGCTCCCTAATCCACCAATTACACATTTCTACTCTAGTTTCTCCCCTCCCTGGAGAATCTGTACAGAAATTGGAACTGTAATATCCTCATAGGCTTAATTAAACATTATATGTAAGACAACATCCCTGTGTCAAGTTCCCCTCCTTTCCCCAGCAACATGCAGAATCACAGAGCAGCATCATGACAGCATGTATGTGTGCGTTGCCTTGCATCCATTCAACGTCACTGGCTATTGTGGAAATATCCAGTATAATGATGTCACCGCACAGGTCAAATGGACTACACCTTCTGGGAACGAAAGGAATAAGGTGACCCAGCGATGGTGCCTTCAGCTGTAGTGCTGTGCTGCACCTGACTGCATTCCCTTGGTATTTCAACCACAATGAGCCATGATGCTTATGGGCACCATCCTGGAAATTCAAGCCACAACTGCGGCTGGTTGCGTAACGGCAAAAGAGGGTTGTGCAAGGTTAACTAACCCTTGCATAAGCATAAAATAGGCCATGGGTTCTGAGAGTATTATTTAACTCTTGCACAACCCAATCCAGGCACAGTCAAAATGGCTGCCCTCACATGCTGCAACTGTTTGATCATGCAAACAGGCCCATTCTGTATGTTTACCTTAAGAAATTTTGGTTGCCTTACCTGCTTTATGGCTGTCACAGTTATTACAAAAAACAACGGCAATCCACTCGTAATTGGACTTGTAGGTGTATCTATCATGAGCTAGATGAGAAGAATAAAAATGAAGATCATGTCAGTATGGGCCCACTTTTAGAGCTGCTCCAATCAAAATGTGTATACCACATATAGGAGACTACAAATGCTGGCTTGTTCCTAGCACTAACCCTGATTAAGGGAGGAACAGTCTCTCTTCTTCAGTGTCACTTGAAACTTCTGCAAAATCTTATTCTCTCTAAGAGCTTCCTGAAGCCCAGCACAAGGTTATAAGGAACCTATCAATGTGAAGGGCTTGACCTTGATGTCACATAGGGCTTCGAGGAACTTATAAAGTAGAGAGAAGCCTTGCTACTTTTTTAAGTACATGCAATGCTTGGCAAGATGCCCCCAAATGTCTCTTGCCAGACTAAAAGATAACGCTGCTATTGGAAAAATCAGCAAGCCCACTGACAACCCCCCAACCATGCAATATAAACTGCATGGGGACCCATCAAGGAATGACCTTCTCCCTTGCTTCTCCATGGTGTTGCTCTGCAGACTGGCAAGGCATAAAACTCCTGCTGTGTTGATTCCTATTCTCCACACTTTCTCTAAAGCTGCAGAGAAGTATATTGCACCAAGCTGCAACTCCAGGAATTCACTTCCTAGATGTCCCTTTCCACAAAGGTAAGGCAGATCTTGGAGCTGCAGGAAAAAGCTCATATGCAAAACATTTCAGTGTGGCCTACACGTCCACGATGTACCTTAACCTTAAATAATAGATTCATTGTGCTCACATCGCAATCTGACCTATTACTACTGCTGTGCTAACTTTAGCAGAAAATATTAACAAGCGCTGTCGCTATCCTTTTGCTGCTGCTAGAGGAAAAGGTCTATCACGCAGGATAGCCAGCAAGTGTTCAGTTGTGGGGGGTGGGAGCAGCAGTTATTACAAAAATAACATTAATCCAAGAGACTTATTACCTTTAAGGAGGATTTGACACATTTTCTAGGCCATGCAAACAGATTTTATGTAAATCATCAAAATCTTTTCTCCTAATGCTCACCATCCTCCAATAGCCAGGCCTTATAAAACAGCACCATTTAGGAGAGATCCTTTGGATGAACTGGGTCTACCGGCAGGGGCTCCTGGCAGTCGAAATCCAAAACATCAGGAGTTCTGCCTTCTTCCCACCTCTAAATTAAAGGCACTTAACTGTGCTATTTGGTCGAGCACAGTGCTGGCTTGCTGTAATGCCAGACTGGAAGCGGGCCTCGTTTTGCATGGTGGCTGCATGGGAGACCACTTGGATGCCACACACAAGCCACTCTGGCACACAGCTTTAGTCTGAAACAGGAGTTTACTGGCTGCGATAGAATAGCTATCAACTGGAGGAATGGTGAAAAAGAATTTGGCTAATAAACTGTGCTAATACCAAATGGAGCACTTCAAGAGATTACAGAATAATGTCCCTTCACTTTTGGAACAAAGTCTGTTCATATGAAGTAAAATTCTTCAAAAAAAGGCCCGTGGAAATTATTGACCACTGCATAATAGCTCCTAGGACTATGTAAATCAGCGCGCGTTTGCTCTTTAATTGTATTCTTGCTGGCAGGCTGTTTTGCGGGGGGGGGGGTTTCTTTTACAAATGATACAATTTAAATCCACTCTGAACGCCTTTGAAAGAGAGAGGGAGATTAGGGAAATACATACATTCACAACAAATTCATGGGTGAAGAACTGAACATTACCATTTTATCATACTGATTCCAGCCAGCCTTATTTGAAAGTAAAACAAAAGCTGCAAATTAAATTATATTGCTAAATTTGTTCTGTAGTAGAAACTATAGGCTTTCAAGTACAGTCAAGCAAGAACACTGATAGACCAGAGTGAGAAAACAAGCTGAAATAACGCATACTGACATTACTGCTCAGTTCAGGTTATTGGATCAATGTTAATGTTCGGGCTCTGTTTATGAATCAGCTTTTTGCTGGGCGTTAGGAACCCCCTTCCTGCTAATGTCTATTTTTAGAGCTGAAGAGGCTTCAACAGAACTTATAAAATACACAAACGCAAGCTGAGAGGAAAGCCTGTCAAGGTATGACTCACAACTACATCCTGATGACATAATTATACCAACCTGCACGAACAGGTTGAATGACTACCTGGCAAGGAGAAAAGGACCTTTAAACACATTTACTGAGAACCTGCTTTTCAGGCGCTTCCTTTTCTCCTCAGTACATCTCTTTCCTTACTCGTTCTTTTTATTAAAGCAGCTATGAAATGTATTTTAATGCACTATTTCTAGGTAAGATTCCCACTGAAGGCATGCAACACAGACTTGGCCAATATGTGGAGGGGCTACAAAATATAACAGAAAACCCAGACGCAAATGTGTTTGCTCATATGGTACACTCACAAAATGAATCCTGAGATTCAGGTACATGGTGCTGAAAACACCTGCACCCTGCTTTAAGGGCCCAATTCCATGTGCATGAGGGGCAGATTGCTACCTCACAAACACAGCCCACCGTTTTGACAGCATGGCCTGAGTTTTTTCCCATTTTGAAAAGGGAACTTGTTAGAGCAAGGTTGTCACTTGAGAGGCCATGCCAGAAGCAGGGGAGGATTTCTTGCAAGGCACTTGGAGTAAAGTAGGACACCTAAAACCTCAGAAAGAAACTGGGCAGCCATCTGGGTGGGATGGTATAGCATGGAGTCCTGCAACAGCAGCGGGTTGGACTCGATCGCCTTATTCTATGATTCTGCCTTCTTTGGTAGAAACTATGGAATATGCATTCCTGCCTGGCTATGGATGATCTATCATGGGCTAGGCCAGGCCCAGTATTACAACTGGAGGAAAGCTGCACAGAAGTAAAAATGATGGGAGCTGGGGATTGGGAACCACACTTTGACTACTCCTTTCTAGTCTCCAAAACAGACTTCTAGATCAAAGACAAGCACATCAAGTTCTTCTACAGGAAATTAAGCTTTTTAAAAATACATTACAGCCTACAAGCTGAATTGTTCCAACCATTTAAGTACTGTGTAAATAAGAGGCGTCTTCAAACCTCCGTTACCTAGAAGTCTTGGACAACTTTCAGACTGCCATGCAGCAGAAGGTATCAATTCCTGCTATTACAAAGCTATTAACAGCGTTTTACATCTCTGCCAGAGCACTACGACAACTGCAGTAACATAACAGCAAATATTACCTTAATGGGAGGTAATCCAGAAGGAAAGCTAAGCTGTTGGTTGTACTGCTAACCAGGCTGAAAAAGCAACCTTCCTCTGACTAGTTAATCAGAGTAAAGAGATACACTTTGACTCTCAAGCTCCTTCTTGAGTTATAGATGACAGCATTTATTGATAGCATTCTAATAAATTTTCTGTCAGATTACCAAAGCAAACTAAAAGGGTGCCCCTTTCTAGTTTGACAGTAATGCTAATTCATGTCACCATGCATTTATGTTCTCAAGCTGACACCTGACAAGTGTGTCAACTTGACGTTTCTTGCATTCTTTTCCAAACACTGAAGGTGCTGAGTGAAAATATACAATCAGACAGTAAGCCAATTCAACAGAGTCTGAATTCTTAACAGAGAATAAATTCCTTTTTCAACAACTGAGAGACAATTCTGCTGTCAATGCTCAATCAAGGCAGTGGTTCACAGAGTTAAAAGTGTTTTCCAATTCTTAACATCCTCCCACTGAAGTGGGTGAAGCTAAAAGACAGTGCATTAGGCAAGTCGTTAGATGAGCTTCAGGGCTTACCGGGGACTGAATACAGATCAACCACCCCCCTTCACCATCCCACAATGGCCTCTCACCAATGCCCTAACCATTCTGTGATTGCATTTTGCAAAATTTCAAAATCTGCAGCCCTCGTTTCCTGTTTTGAAACTACTAAAACTACTGAAGAACTACTAAATGAAACTGTCATACAATTGTAGTATTACTGTAAAGCTGCCACCAAGGAGCAATACTCATATACCAAATCCAAAGTTTCAGTTATAAATACTTAGATTGTTCAACTTACCTGAACCAAAAATATAATAAGAAAATAAAAGTTGGCTACTCTTCTGAACTGCTCGAATAAATTCTTGGGAACAAAATTCCATACTGTATACTGCCAAAAACAAAAACAAAAAACCAAATAATTTTATGAGGACTTACATGATATGCTATTGATAGAAGTGATAACAATGCTTTGATTATAAACAACAGATTCCTGCCCCTCCCACATTTTTAAAATGTGCTTACAAGTGCACAGATATTTTAAGAATAAGCCTCCTTCAAAAATGCTGATATAAGCCAATTAATTTCTGTAAGTTTACTGCCATACAGGCAACTATGCAGGTAGTAAGTCTTCCCTTACCTTAGAGGAAATTATTCTGTTCTCTGCAAACTTCTGAGGAACATAATGGCCATGCTGGGGAAAACGATTTGCAATATAAATAGTTCGGCTATCACTTTGATGTGGTGGGTCAAAACCCTGAAATGCAAAACAAACAAAGAATCACTCATTATATTAATAATCATACATTATTTCTAAAGCATTTAACACACACAATGCTTTGTACATTTTCAGTTCCTCCTCACAAAACCCCTGAGAAATCATGCTGAAAGACAACAAGGGCAGCCAGTGAACCTCCCTGCTGAGTTTGAACTTGACGCCAGCATTCGTATACCTAATCCAAGGCTATTTTCATTATCTAGAGATTCTCAGCATTTTAATCATTAATTTCCATGCCCTAATCAAAAGAAAACTGCTGAACTGGATATAAGGTGGCAGCAGAATTGAAAGAAACCATATCTACTATTAATTCTGGAAAGCTTTTTATCATAATTTAAATACACTGATCAATGCTATACTTTTAACCTTTACAATGTGTACTAGAGCTTTTGGTAAGAGCAGTGAAATCTGAATTTATGTAAGCACTAAAAAGAGCCAAAATATCAGAAGAAGTGGCACCTGCAGGCAGTGCAAGTTCTGGGGAAATGGGGGGGTTTTGGCCAAAGTGCATAAAAAGCAGGAATCAAGAGTGACAGTGCAAATGTATGTGGCAAATAGAAATAGAAACAGACTAAAAGGCAAATGTCAAAAGACATTCTCTGTGTAGTCTTGACAGTAGCTATCAGAATGATAGGTTCAACACAGAAAATAAAAGAGGAATTAGTCACAGAAGACTCACTTATTGCCCAGACCTGGTACTCTGAGTAACACTAATCAGCCCTTAAACTCCTGACTACTGCTGCCAGAAACAATTTTTAACAGCAGGACGTGTGCATGCGTGCACGTGTGCGAGCAAGCTGCCAACAGAGAACTCATGCCATTGCAGTAAAGTGGACCACCTTCTCCTGAATCCTCCTCCGGCACCCCTTGACAATGTCACCCACCTCAGGGCTTCCCTTGCTAGTGAAAACCTTTCTTTATAAAGGCTGCTTTGCATTATACTTTTTGCACGAAATGAAATGTCAACCTTTTAAAATTTCATCCACCCTTCTCTTCTAGCGGTCACCATTCATTCCTGCTTAGGAGTGAACCTTTAACAAAGAAGTGAATCACTTGCACACATTCAAGTCTCTCCATGATTCCAAGTCTCCATGAGATGTACATAAATTTCAAGGCAGGATTTTTTTTTTTTTAAATTGGAAGCACCTTTCCACAGGTGTACTTAACTTTAGTATAAGAGAAGCACTGACACAGAGGCCACTGTAAAGAAGGGGATAAGGACAAGGCTGGCTAATGTATGTCAGAATTATGGAGCAGAGAACAGGAATGCAAAAATTGTGCAAAATTAATGGCAAGGCAACAGAATGTTGGGGAAAGGTGCACAGCTCTCATGGGAGAGTAGTAAAATAGAGGAGAAATACATGCAAACTTCCTAGCAGTGGTAATGTGCGCCTTCACACTCGTGCACAAGTGAAAATAAGTATAATTTTAAAAACCTGTGAATGCATTTGGGACACTCAAACACTTGACCCTTCTAGATTCCTACCAAATCATCATCATCATCCATCCTGAGGCTGAGAAGAGATGGAGGAGAATGGTGGAGGCACTAATGAGATCATGAGAAATTATTATTAGTCTATTAGTTGGGCTCAGACATTACACAAAGTTTCCTTGAGGGGGGAAAAAACCCCAAATAAACCCATTATAAAACATGGGTTGTTATGGTAACATTTGTTCTAAAAGACTCACAATGGGAAAACCTCACTGGGTTCAGACATCACATTAACTCACTCTGTAACCTCCACTGTGGCTTAATGTGACATGTGATCCACATCATCAAATCACTGCATTCCTCAGTTTGAACAAAACTGAGGAATTTAATTAGAACTAGGTTGGCATTCATGTTTCATCTCTTTTTCAAGCATAAATGCACTTTATTCCTTTTTCAAGTACAAGTGCACTTCATTTCCTAATGGTTTCCATCCAAAATCTTTTCAATGGAAAAAAGAAAGAAAAGTTTACATACAACAAAGCTGAGCTGCAATTGTGTCACCGGCATTCTGCCAGGCAGAGATGACCTTGTGTTTCCAAAAGTGCTTTGTCAGATCAGTTCAAGCTACTATTACCAGCTGGCTCACAAAACCTTCATGCAAGCAATTAAAAGATTCTTGAGCACACTCTAAAATGTATGCCTATAGTAACAAGGTAAAAAGCAGATATAAAGGCAGGCCCATAGCTATAACAGACAATGGAACTGTTAGGAGAAATCAAGTCACTTAAGTCACTACTGTAAAATACAGACAAGATGTTATGATTTTTAGTCAGAGTTTTTAAAAAATCTTCTAGTCCTTCTACAAGTACAACCTATGAAGGAATAAAGGATGTTCTGTTAACTTGTGAGAAGTCCTCCATAGATTTCTGAGTGACAGTCCCCCTCTTGTTAAAAAGAACACTTAAAGTCTTGATTTCACTTTAATTAGGTTCCTAATCTTCATGACTTGAAGAGGTAAATAGGAAGGGAGATTGTAAAAACAATTAAAAACCAAAATCAAACTCACTCTTACTTATAGACAGAGTGACTCCAAGATTTCTTTATTTGGAGAAATATATAAAAATAATACTGTGCCATGTGAAAAAGACTTTTATGTTACACATTTTAGGCATAGCCTCATAAATATTTTCCTCTGAACTTACTACTAATTTGCTTTCCTGTACTAGCTTTTGCTGCAATAAGAAAAAAGCCCTTGAATATTCTATCAATCCCAGAGAGAGAGAGAGAGAGGGAGGAGGATTCCAGACTGAAGAACAATTTGGTAGATACACATGCGAGAGGTATCAACTCCAATGCATGAGAAGGTGCGCAATATTGCTTCTGTGTAATCAGTCACCATGTGCATGTAGAAAGCTACTCCATCCCCTTCCTATGGAATAAGTCTAATGAACTGCCAGACACACCAAGTAGGTCCGTTCACAGGCTGACCCGGTAACCCCACTGTTGCACATGTGTATTCCTGGACCAGGGTCACCACCACTATTCAAAGGCAATTCTGATGCAAAAGGAACAAATCCAGTTAACCAATGAAAGTTCAGAACTTTGTGGTTCCGCCTTTAAAAGTTATCTTTGTTCAAATGTTGATCCTTCCCATTACCCCAGCTCCCAAGAACCCGTTTTGAAAATGTGTTGGGCCACACTTGGAAAAAGAAGCCAGCTATGAAAAACTTTGAAAAGCTATTGTTTACACTTGGATTGTAAACTGTTTGAAGCAAACACTTTGTCCTTCTGCTTGGCAGAAATGCCAAACATGCACTTGACAAGAGGTACTACCCAGGCACTGAAATGGGGCTGGACAGGTATTTTTGGACCAGCATCAACAACAGGAAGTTATCCTTGCACAAAAGCTAATTTATCACTGACATTTTAGATCTTGGTTTGAGGAGAGCACTCTAAGTAGTATTTAATGAAGCAGAGGTTCATGAAAAAGGTTCCTAATAGCCCAAGCAGATACACCTGAGAGAGATATTCCTGCAGCCCAAGAGCTTAGCACCAGGTAGGGCTGAAGTACCTCACTTCCAGCTTCAAGTTAAAGGTGGCATCCATATGAAAACTTCCACAGCACCCAGGAGGCACTCACTCAATGCCTGACTGAACAGTTAAATCCCACTGAGAGCACTGGAACTAAAGTAAATTTGCAACCGTTCATTTTCATAGCAAGAACTCCATCAAATATAGCTCTGTAAAGAATTTGTGCCTTGCAGGCTAGAACTATATTGCTGATGGTATTGTTTCCCAGACACCATATATGGCATCGTGGGCATCTCTTTTAAATATAGCACAATTGCTTCCAATTACCCTGGGACTGAACACCACATCCAGGCCCCTGCCTCCCCCGTTAGAGAATCAACAACCACTGGGCAGAACATCAAGGCAAAAGAATGGCCAAAAAAGCAGTGGTTGCAGTGGCATGTGAAAGAGAATTTAATGTAAGCAACTTTGAGGTTCATTCAATGAAAAGGAGAATATAAACAAACATCTCAGCTAAATGAAGATGTGAAACAAGTATGACCATTCTCCTTTCAAGTGTATGTTGTTTATGTGTGGCAAATGCAAGCGCCTGGACACAGTAACGAGCAAGTCTGCCCAGGTGTGAAGGGAAAAGCTTCAAGGCAAAAGACCATGTTCTGCATGTAGCCTACCATTTTTCCAAAAATGACATATCGTTTGGGAAGAAATGGTCTCTATAGTTCGTATCAACTTCTTTGCCGTTCTGTTTAGTATCTCACAAGACGGATATTTTGCACTTATCGATCCCTAGCTCAGAGAAGTACAACAATCTTCCATCCAGCACTGCACCTCGCTCCATCATTTACATCAGACACAACCGTGCAGGGTGTGTGACCTGATGCACAACACACCTAGAAGTAACTAAGAGCTGGCGAATTGATTTGCCACTACTTTGCTACATAATCCAAAGAAAGCATGCGACACCAACACAGAGGCAGTATCTGAGGTAAGGTTATTCAGGAAAGTTTGTCCTGCTGGTTTTTCCATATGCATTGCTGTCTCATCCCTGCAAAGTTATTTGTGCCAACATGCCTTAAGATACAAGCATGTATCTTAATATCAACTTAATATCAACTCAATATATCAACTTGATATATTGAAAATTGGCAATGAAGAGAGTTTTTGAAGCAGAAATGCTGATCGATTGAAAAAATGCTTGGAAAATTCTTCATTGCATTTAGCGACTTAACAGAAGTAGAACAGTAAGGTCATTTGAAAACCTTTTATTACTTGCTCTTTATGGTTGATGTTTAACTTTTTTTTTCCCAAAGATATAATTTACCTTGGCATTTCCCAAAGATATAATTTACCTTTACCTATAATTTACCCAGGCATTAATAAGGAATATTATTTCCTTTCTTCTTCCTATTGTTTTAAAAGGGGTTGACCAGACCAAGCAAAGAACCAACTATTTGAAGAGAAGCTCAGTGTTTCTAGGGTAGCAGGAACCCCAGAAAATCCCCGCAGTGCCCCTCCC